GATAGCAAGGGATTTGATACACACCTCGCACACTCGCAAAAAAGAAATGAGAAAGGGGGGAACAAAAAGCATAATTGTATTCAAATAAAGAAAAACGAAAGATTTGCCTATAAAAATCTACAAAAGCCCCCCATCAACTGTTTTTTTTTTCATAGGAGTGCGTGAAGATGAACTCACCCCACAAGCAACACTCGCGTATTGGCTTTGGAATTCTAAAAAACCCCCACAAAAATATTTCAAAGTAAAAGAAAGTACTTGCAAAAGCAAAGGTAAAAGTAAAAGTTGAAAAGTAAAAAAGAGAGAGAGAGAGAGGCGGCAAATCTTCGTCGGAGTGCGTTTATTCTCCTGCGGTTTTCCTCATTGATCATGTGAACGACCTCATTCAACTTTTTTATTTGCTATTTTTTTCCTCGTATCATTTACGGCCTTAGATATAAGACTATAACCATGTTTTACAACATTTTCTCTACATGTTATAGAGTGCTATATACCTCTTTATCTCTAATAGTTCTTACTTCTTAATAACAGAAAAAAAAACATAAGTTGCCTAAATACTTTCGAAAAGTGACACATCTCCAAATTCAGTGTAGTCCATTTTTGTGAAATCGAGAGAAGAGTTTTTAAATATTAGAAAAAGAGCTGAAAAATGGTAACGTTAATGGCCCGACCGAGCGGCCGGGCAAACTGCAAACATTAGTAACTTTATGCTCGTACGTGCGCACGTGAAGGGTATCACCATGTTTGGTAATGAACAGTTTATTATCGTTATGACGGAGTCTAATATCCCTAGTTTATGTATACGTGAAGATGACGTTGGAATGTCTCTACTCTCTCAGCTAGGCTTAATTTTTTACTTACATAAACCATTTTTTACTGTGAATGTCCAAAGCCACCAGCACTAATTCAAATCAAAATCAAACAGAAACATGTCTGTAGGGAATTTGTGAGAAAATAAGATTTGGATCATCAGTGAATACAAATGATACAATAGGTTATTTTGTAAAACTAGCTGACGTGTGAATGTGTTTCTTTAGTCCTAAGAACCGAGCCTAGATCGAAGCCCAACACCAACTTACTGTAAGATTTAATCATAAGAACAAAAAATTCATACGAAAATGTAAGGAGATTGAAAACAAAATGTAAGAGTCGCAACAAACTTTTAACTTGAAGAAATAGATTAGTGCATAAGCATTCGAATATAATTAGTGGGCTTATAGACTTTTAACATGTAGACTAGATGTAAGCTCTTGAGCCCACTCTCCTCTCTATTTTCCCCAAAATTTATGGTATGACATGTGATTTTTGGGGGTGTTGTTGGTTGTCTAAGTTTAAACCAACTCCATTAGATTTTAACTAGATCAGATTCTAAGAACTTTGGTTCATTTAAAATGATTCATTAGTTTTCTAAACTTGCACTACACTGTTAAGACAACCTATATATGGATGGATTGGCAAGGTTAATCCATGACCAGTCCACAGTCTGTTCTAACGTTCAAACAACGACATTGATGCCGGTGTATGAAAATTAGGGATTTCAGTCAAAATCTTGCGTTCCAAACTTATTTATCTATATCTATTAAAAGTTTAAATAATCAAATTTTCAATGGGACCGGAACCTAAATAAAAAACTGAACAGAGAAACGAGGACCATTTTTCAGACGACAGAGATTATAATATGACCACGTGTATATTCTTTAGTATATCAAGCCGCCATTTAGTTAACGGTTAATTGGTTATCAGATACTTTAGTATATGACCGATATTTAGCACATGTTTTCCTAAATAAATTCAAAATACAAACGCCAATAGCCGTCAAGAAAAAAATACAAACGCCAATAGAGAAAATGTAGGCTGCCACAGAAAAAAAAAAGAATCGAGTAAAATTTCTTCCTTGAAGAATATTTCCAAATTCATGAATTTCATTCTTATAAGAGCCGCGTTATGTAATCTTATGCTCTTAATGAATTATTATTTCTCATGGGGTCAACAATGGTTAACAGCCACTCTTTTTGGTTAAAACCCAATAGTACATATAATCTATTATAATATTTTGTATATCAAATTGGAACCAAATAAATATAACATGTAGTTGATTAGCCAACCATAAACAATTAGACAAGTCTTTCAAAAGAGTTCACGAATAGTGAACCCACCATCATTATAAATATATCAACACTTCATTTCTCTCTTCTCCATTCTTCTCTCAAACTCTTTAGTTTTCTCTCTCTCTTCCTCTCTTCCTCTCTCTCTGATCTCTCAGTTTACGATTAAATGGTTGAACAGAAGAAGTACCTATTGTTTCTTGGGGTGCCGGATTCAGAGTTTGCGAAGAAGACGTACGGTGGATACCATAACGTGTTTGTTTCTTTGCTCGGCGATGAAGGAGAGCAATGGGACTCCTACAGAGTCTTGGACGGAGAGTTTCCCGAGGAGAAGGATCTTGAGAAGTACGATGGATTTGTCATCAGTGGAAGCTCTCATGATGCCTTTCAGGATACTGATTGGATCTTAAAGCTCTGTGATATCATCAAGAAACTTGATGTGATGAAGAAGAAAGTGTTAGGTTTCTGCTTTGGCCATCAGGTATATTAATCTTTCCTCACATTTTATAACTATTTTTCTTGTTTTTTTTCATCCTGAATATTTTGATTTTTATTGTATGTTCATGGTTTGAATGTTTAGATGAAAATCCAATTTAAATGATCATATAATTATGAGTATATAGATAAGTAGATAGCTTCTATGAATGGTTCTTGATTGGAAATTTTGAAGTTTGGACGTATCGTCAAATAAACAAATAAAATCTTCATTATCATAACTTTTTCCCTTTGTTATGAATAATAAATTATGATAGATCCATGAATGGTTCTTGATTCGATCATGCAGTTGACAATTCGACATTGACCCTCACATTTCGTATAATCTGTGTTTTTAGTAATATATAGAATTATTCTGATATTTATATAGCGATTGGATATATAATATGCAGCTAATAGCTAGAGTGAAAGGAGGAAAAGTAGGGAGAGCAAGGAAAGGACCAGAGCTTTGCCTTGGGAACATTACCATCGTGAAGGAAGCAGCAGCGCCGGAAAATTACTTCGGAGAGGAAGTTCCGGCAAACTTGAGGATCATAAAAGCCCATCAGGACGAAGTTTTGGAGCTGCCAGAAAGTGCAAAAGTGTTAGCATATTCGAGTATGTATGAGGTGGAGATGTATTCGATCGATGATAACTTCCTTTGTATTCAGGGACATCCTGAGTATAACCGTGACATCTTGACCGATATCATTGATCGTGTTCTTGCCGGAGGCCACATTTCGGTTTGTTTCCTTAACTAATTTATTTTCATTAATCGTTATATACATTTTTTTTGTGTCTTTTACAACACATGGCTACTCCAAAAATTGGATCCGAATTATTAGTTGTGTGCGTTGCTGCTATTTCTTTTTACTGCATTATTAGTTTGTTACTTAATGACGGATTGATAAAAATGCAGGAAGATTTTGCGGAAAGGTCAAAGGCAACATTCGAGAAGAATGATGCAGACAGAGAATTTTGGCAGAAAATTTGCAAGAACTTCCTCAAAGGTCAACAACCCTCCTTAATAGTTTGACTCACATGTTAATCTGAAAATCTCGTTTGGCTATCGCTTATTTTACATTTACCACTTTGGTTTATTATTCGAACTCCATGTATCCACTTTATTTTTTTTTACAATCCGTAATGTATGGCATGTACTGTAGATGTGTTGTATCCATAATAATCAAATAAAGCTTTACGCTCACTATATTCACTGTGAATTGTTGTTAGTTGTGACGGTTAAACTACCACTTTAATACACTAACATGTTGTTATGAATACTTGTGAAAATTTGGAATGTTTCTGAGAGTTAAAAGAGAAATGAATAAACGTAAAAGAAAATTAAACTTTTATTATCTAAAATTTCAAGAAACTTTTATATACACTGTTTAACAAAAATGAAAAAGTGTAGTTAATACACTGTAAATATTTTAGTTTTCAAAATTTATTTCAATTTTTATAGAAACCCTGTATTGTTTGCGTGACATGAAAGGAAATTCTTCGAAATTTAAGGCTAGATTCTCATAATGCCATTGCCATTAATTAATAAATATATCAAGGAATTTTGAAGTCAGAGACATTATTATATTCTTGCACATTAACGGATTGATAAAAAAGTAGTATACAGTGTGTGTACCGGTCTTTGACTCGCGTCATTTTAGTACCCCATATTATATACATCATATTTGACTGGGGTCTTTAGTTTTGAAATCATAATTCTTTACTCCAATACTTTCTCAAAACTTTCAGAAGACCCCTAAAGTACTAAAATTTCTAGATATATCCACATTTGTGCAAATTATACATTTCAGTTAAGCAATCTAATATGAAAATATCTACAAATGAAACGAGATTTTTAATTCAAGAAGTACAGATGAAAAAGAAAACTATTGTTTTTAAACCAAGCAATATAATACTAGCGTGTTTACGAATTTTGGGTTTATTAGAAAAACAAAAACTAATTGGGTTTCATTGGTGATAAATGAATTATTGTTGCTAGTTTTTGCAAATTTCTCCAAAAAATAAACATTTTGTAAAAACTCGAAAACCATTCTTTTCTTCTTCTTCGTCGTCTTCAATACACTGATAAACAGAGAATCAGTGTATTCGTCTCCAATCGAGTGTCTTTGCTTGTACTTTCCAGTTGATTTCGTCTCACAGTCACAGGTACATTTCTCATCACTTTATCACCAACTCTCAGCAGCATTTGAAGATTTCTTTACTTTTTCGAAATTGCAGGATAAAGTTTAAGCCTTTATGATTAAATCGAACAGAATTTGGTTTATATTGCTTATTGTTCATCACATTCTTCTTGGGTTTCAATTTTTAACGAAGTTTATTAGGTGTGGAATTCAAAATTTGAGACTTTTCATATTTTGACAGGTTTTCCTTCAGAACATTCATCAGCTTTAGTTAGCAGAAATGGTAAATCCGCAAATGTCACGTTAAATTTCTTTTCTAGATTTCGCTATCTCAAACTCAAATAATCAGATGGAAATGATAACAAATTTGATGTCTTTGCCAATCTCTAACAAGGTTGAACATTCCGCGAGTGATGATGAAGGCGAGATCGATAATAACCTACAATGGTCTCCATCTCGATCGGTTAGTCTAAATTATCTTCAATTGTTTTCTCTAGAAACTAGTGTGGTTTTGGTTCTGTGATGTTGATGTCTCTTCATTTTGAGGTCTCTGTGATGTTGAATAAGAGTGATGTTTTGGTTTTAGCAATCAGCTCGTGATGGTAACGAAGTTGATTGGAGTGATGATGACATGATGGCGATTGATAACTTCCAGTGGTCTCCAGAGCATTATAACTCAGTTAGACCAGCTGGTGTAAGTTCTTTATCTCCGATTTGTAAGGACAAAATTCGAACTTTTTGATGCTAAAACATTGACTGATGTGTGTTCTTTTGTTACATTAGGTTGAGACTGACGAGACAGTTGCTAGATTCATTGAAATGGGATTCTCTGAAGAAATGATTGCGCAATTAAGGAAACCGATGGTGAGGAAATTTGGTTTACTTTGTGTTACTTTGAGATGTTTCATTTCCAATTTTAATGCAATGTTGGTCATTTGTAGGAGCAAATGTGGATCCTGCACAGATTCTAGAGACTCTTGTGAAAATTTCTGTGAGTTTCTTGTAATGTTTAGTTAAGGTTTTATGACTTCTTCTTGTGTAATTGTAACTCTCTGTTCTGTGTTTTCTTTGTGAAGGCGAGTTCGGAAGCCAACTCTTCGAAATCTAAGCTCATCGATGAGCTCATTTTGATGGGTTTCTCTGAGGAGATGGTGATAAAGGTCATAAATGAATATGGTAAAAGATTTCTCTCTAGCTCTTTTTTAAATTCAAGTAAATGAGAGAATCTAATGCAAACCGTTGTTGAAAATATTATAGGAGAAGAAAACGTGGACGAGATTACCAATGTGCTGCTCAGTTATGCAGTAAGTTTCTATACACGCACTCTGGAATAGTTTTGACAGACACGTTGGAACAGAGTTCACAAGCTCTTTGCATTTCTTTATCCCTTGCTTGTCTTCTGGTTAACAATGGTACTGCTGTCTCATTCTTCAAATGTTGCTCCATGAATCTTCTCGTTTTCAGGTTTCCTTTTAAGCTTTTTGGTCTAAGCTTGAGGCCCTAAGTACTAAACCACCTCAAGCTTCTAACATTTCTTTGTCCCTTGCTTGTTGTCTGCTTAGAATCGGTTTTGTCTCTTCTCCCAAATGCTTGGTATCTAAAGTTTTCTTGCTTTCTGGTAATTGTTCTTTGATTCCCCAAGACGTAAACCACCCCAAGTGTCTTGTATTTCTCTATATATCCCCCAGTTGTTGTGTGGTGAGAATTGGTTTCGTCTTTTCTTCTCCTGCTCTAGCTTCAGAACATGTTTCACCAGAATTTTGTCAAAAATCTCATAATCTCACTCGCTATTTTCTGCTTGTTTTCCATAAACTGCTTCTGATTTCTTGTTCCAACCTGTGAACCAGCTTAACCAAGATCTTGTCTAGGCTTCCCTCTTGATCATTAGATTTCTGAGTTTAAGTCTTCATTTTCTTTTCCCGGTTTATCTGTCAACAAACAAGAACTTTTCCCTACTGTTATAAAATTTCTCTTCTTTTGCTTCTTGGATTCTTGATCTAGCTTGTAGGCGTGTTTAACCATACAATTGTCTAGGCTGGGAACTTCAGGCAACACTACCTGCTTCAGTATCTTGTTTTCCCAGTTTCTTCACCTTCTCATGCATTTTCTTCCGCAGTGCCTTATTGTTTCTTCAGTCTCCTTCTCCAGTCTTGAAACATGCTTTTTCAGTAGCTAACTTTCCAAGTCCGGGATAGGATCCATTGACACCTTGTTTCTGCTTGAGTTGTTTCCGTAGTCCCAGCATTCTTCTTGGCTTCTTCGATCTCCTTCTCAAGCCTTGAATGGTATGATATTCCAAATCTGGAACAGTATCACTTGCAACAACTTGTGGTGACCATTCTGTTTATGTCAGATATGTCCTTTGAATCCCTTTTTGCTTGACTAGATACTTGCCAAACTCAGAATCTGTGACTCCTCGTTGTTTTTTCCTTCATTTGAATCTCTTCTCGATCTTGAATCCACTGAAGAAGAATTCCTATGGTCCGGAACAGTTGGTTCAATGTTTGCGCCAAGTTGCAACTATAGATTCAAGACTTGAGAGTTGATCTTCTTATAATATCAAAACATTTTCTCTTTCAAGTTTTGACTGACTCGTTGGAACATAGTTCTTTATATATGGTCTACACCACCCAAAGTTTCTTGCATTTCTTTATCACTTGCTTGTCTTCTGGTTAATAACTGGTATTGCTGTCTCGTTCTTCAACTGTTGCTCCAGGATCTTCTTGTTTTCAGGTTTCCTTTTAAAGCTTATTCAAAACGTTTTGGTCCAAGTTTGAGACCCCAAGCTTGTAACATTTCTTTGTCCCTCGCTTGTTGTCTGCTTAGAATCGGTTTTGTCTCTTCTCCCAAATGCTCGTTAACTACTGCATTCATGCTTTCTGGTCTCTTCTGGTAATTGTTCTCTGATACCCCAAGACCTATACATTTCCCTACTGCTATAAACTAACTCTTTGAGATCTTCTTTGCTTCTTGGACTTGTTTCTGCTTGAGTTCTTTTGGCATCAACCTCCTGCATTCTTCTTGGCTTCTTCGATCTCCTTGTCAAGCCTTGAAGAATGTTTCACGTAGCATGATTCCCAAATCTGAAACAGTATCACTTGCAATAATGAGTGACCTTTCTGTTTATGTCAGATACGTCTTTAAAGCACTTTTTAGCTTCTTAGATTTCTCTTTCTAGTTTGGTCATGTACTTGACTACATACTTGTCCAAACTCAGAATCTCTTCTCAATCTTAAATCAACATTACAACATCATCTGCAACTTCTTTATTAGACATATGTTGTATTAAAGCTTCATTAATGTTTTTGCAGGAGGCAGAGAAACTCTGTAAAAGAGAAGATGAAGACATCAACATCATCAACTTGTCAGATGGAGAGGTAAAACCTTTCCAAACCGTTGATGGATTATAACATCTCTTACACGTTTTGGTAGTTTCATTGCATCTGGTACATTTGATAACTTGTCTTAATCTATTCTGGAAAAATGACAGAATGAGCTAAACTCCTCCAGTGAAGTCAGTACATTGCAAGCTTTAATCAAAATTGGCTATCCGAGAGAGGAGGCTTCTATAGCTATAGAGAGATGTGGTAATCTCTCTGAAAATTTCTTTGTTTAAACCTTGTTGCATACTTACATGTGTTTGTCATTATCATCATCTCAAACTTTTTAGGAGAAACGGCAAATGTGGCAGAAGTTACTGACTTCATCGCTGCTGCTCGTTTGGCTCGAGAGTACGATGACTTTTTTGAAGAGGTAATTAAAGTTTAAGTACTCTTGAAAGAGTCATGTTCATGGGACATCAACGACTTGATAACTTTTGTTTTTTTACTGTGCAGCCAATAATACAACACAGTAAGAAGAGCCGAGTAGACAATGAGCCGTCTAGAAGAGGGAGAAACCCAAGAATGGCCATGTCCAGTGATCACCAGCTTATCACGTTACCAAACCCGATGATTGGGTTTGGTTTACCAGACGGAACTGGACTGATGACAGAGAGACCAGACCCAATCCCAGCTGTTGCTTGTGGTCCTCCATATTTCTACTACGAGAACGTTGCTATGGCGCCAAAAGGAGTTTGGACAACGATCTCTAAGGAGTTATATAACATCAAGCCAGAGTTCGTTGACTCCAAGTACTTCTGTGCAGCTATGAGGAAGAGAGGATATGTTCATAACCTTCCAATAAGGAACCGTTTCCAAATTCTGCCTCTGCAACATCAGAAGATTCAAGATGTCCTTCCTTTGACAAGGAAATGGTGGCCTAGCTGGGATGAGAGGACCAAGTTGAACTGCCTGGTGACCTGCGGTGGCAGTGCTACAGACACAGAGAAAGTAAGGGCTGAGCTTGAGAAGTTTGATGGGAAGCCACCTCCACATGTGCAAAAAGCTCTCCTTGTCGATTGCAAAAAGGGAAATTTGGTGTGGGTCGGTAAAAACAGAGTCGCTCTTTTGGAGCCTGAGGAGATAGAGAGGTTGCTTGGTTTCCCAAGAGACCATACTCGGGGAGGTGGTGTGAACACAACCGAGAGGTTCAAGTCTTTGGGAAATTCATTTCAGGTACACAATTTCTATAGTCAATTTTGGTTTTGAAGTCTTTACGGTAAATCTAATTTTTTTTGTGTGTGTTCAGGTTGATACAGTTGCGTATCATTTGTCAGTCTTGAAGGTTCTGTTTCCGAATGGAATCAATGTCCTTTCACTCTTCACGGGTATCGGTGGTGGCGAAGTCGCGCTTCACAGACTCGGTATTCCAATGAAGGTTGTTGTATCTGTGGAGATTTCAAGGGTCAACCGAAACATCCTTAGGAGTTTCTGGGAACAAACCAATCAAGAGGGAACACTGATAGAGATTACTGACGTTACAGAGCTAAAAACGGAGGAGATAGAAGACCTCATGGAGAGATTTGGTGGTTTCGATTTGGTGATAGGAGGAAGCCCTTGCAACAACCTTGCTGGAGGCAATCGGGTTTCGCGGAAGGGACTTGAAGGAGAACAGTCTCAGTTGTTCTATGACTATTGCCGTATCCTGAAGGATGTTCGTAACAAAGAAGCGAGAATGAGGAGAGGAGGACTTTAAAGCAGCTGCTTCCATCTGATAGTACAACTGTGAGTCATGTGAATGATTCTCAGAATTTGATTTTGCAGTTTCATTCTGGTTTGGTCGTTTCATAGTCTAGTGGTAGCTAGATCTTAACCATTCATGTGTTTTGATTGTGAGGAGAAACAATGATCTTTTATTGTTCGTTTCGTTGAGCTAGCTACTGGTTGTTTAACTAATTACTAGACTCTTTTGTTGGTTGAATCTTGTGCTAAAGGAACGTTTGGTGGTGTTTTGCAGAAGGTACATAGCAGGATTAGGGCCAGTAAGTACCATAGAAGATAATGGATGTTGGAGGAGATAGCTAATGCATAACCAAGCAGAAGAGAAAGCGAATCAGTGGAAGAGAAATCCACAATGATAACTGTTTATTTTAGCCAAACTCATGTCTTTTACTCAGCTTTTGACTGATTTGAGTTTGATTTTGAAACACTTTTGAGAAGAAAAACCAAGGAGAGAGACATGAAAAAAAGATTTTGATTTTAAGTTTGGCAAGTTTCTTTCTGACCAGAGCAAAATTACACTAAACCAAGTCGAACCAAATCAAATGAACAATGTTTAAGCTGTGGAACACAACACATAATAAAAGGATGTTCAAAATATAAGAAGAAACACAACACAGTCTTCTTCACTTGGCTAGAGTTTGCATCTCTCTTTATCTGTGTTTCGTAATGGCCTCATGGTGGAGCTCTGTTGATCGATCACACATCATCCTTTTGGTTCCTGAAACTGCTCTTAAACTCCTCTGTTTCACCATTGATGATACCACTGCAATATACTCTGTCCAAAAAAAGCAATGGTTAAGACCCATATTTTAGCCAAATGTTTTGGTTAAGAACCATTTACTCTTTTATGGTTAAAGAAGTTTAATTACTTAACCACACCGTTTATAACCTTTTTTCGTTTTAAAAGCTTGGTTGTATTCCTTTTTGAATAAATCATCTTATCTGGATTGGATTCGTTTAGACGCGTAGGAATATGATCATATAATTATGAGAGAAAAAAAAAAAAAAAAAAACTAGATTGCTTCTATGAAGTGTTTCTTGATTGGAATTTTTGACGTGTGGACAAATGATCATATAAAAGTTCTTCCTTTCTCTTTGAGTGCTCTATGATTTGATGATGCACTTTAGAATTTGACATGGACCGACCTCACTGAGTCACATTTTCGCATGGTTTTTTACCTAATATATATAGTTAATTTATAATTGAACTAAATATATTGATTGGATCATTTCCAGCTAATAGATAGAGTGAAGAAAAGGACGAGAGCTTTTACTTGGGAGCATTGCCATCGTGAAACAGGCAGTGACACCGGCGAGGAATTTCCGGCGAAAATGTCATCAGGACGTAGATTTGAAGCTTTAATCATCATTAACACATGTTAAAATTCGATTTAATAATAAAACACAAAAAATGTCAATTTATTGGTAAAACATGTGTACTACACGGTAACAAATGCGGATGTTGACCGAAAAAATAATAACAAATATGCACATGCCTATTATAATAATATATAATGTTGATTTAGTATCCAACATTATATTTCTTACTATTTAAAGATAGTTTGTTACTACAAAATCAGAACTAAAAGGAAACCAATCTCCAGCTGGCATCTGATAGTTAGAACAAATCTCTCGTGTTAAATAAAAATCAATCTCTCTTCTCCGTTAATCTCTCAAACAAACCAAAAACATTAAAAAAAAAGATGGTTGAGCAAAAGAGATTCGCTCTGTTTCTAGCGACGTCCGATTCAACGTTCGTGAAGAAGACGTACGGTGGTTATTTCAACGTGTTCGTTTCGACTTTCGGCGAAGAAGGAGAGCAATGGGATCTTTTCCGAGTGATCGACGGCGAGTTTCCGGAAGATAAGGATCTTGACAAGTACGAGGGTTTTGTTATAAGTGGAAGCCTTCATGATGCTTTTGGTGACGATGATTGGATCGTTAAGCTTCGTTCACTTTGTCTTAAACTCGACGACATGAAGAAGAAAGTTCTCGGTATCTGCTTCGGCCATCAGGTTCTGATCCAAAACTTTGAGATTTTTTTGCTTATTTTATTTTAATCAAAATAATAAATTAGGGCTTTTCAAAGACTCATCCAAAAGATAAACCCACTTGTTCATAAATCACATCACTCAGGTTAAACAAATTTTTAGTAACATTAGAAGCTAATGTGGTTGATTTGGATTGAATGTGTATGGTTTAAACGGAAGCTTCATATGTTTGTTTGCGTTTAGGATTAGCATTTGTCTTTAAATAAACACAAACCTATAAAAAGCTTTAGTTGTTAAATGCAGACAGTACACTTGTCTCTTTTTGTTTGTGTTTGCAACAATATTTTATGAAAAAGTACAAAGATGTATGAGATTTCACGTGTTAGTAATGTCCATTAGAGTCTGAAACAATCTGGACCGTAGTAGTAAGGTCGATTTATGAGATTTAACGTGTTACATTTCACACAATATTCTAGATTTTTGCCTAGTTCTTAATCAAATCTGAAATAGATTCAACGTGTGATACATCAAAATCTTGTGTATTGTGATGAATGATCAAATTTTCTTTGTTGTTGGAAAAACCAGATATTAAATAGGATCAAAGGAGGTAAAGTCGGAAGAGCAAGTAGTGGTGTGGACATGGGACTAAGAACCATAACAATGGCTAAAGACGCGGTGAAACCAGGTGGTTACTTTGGAGACGAGATCCCCAAATCGTTAGCCATAATAAAATGCCATCAAGACGAAGTTTGGGAGCTACCTGAATCAGCTACACTGCTTGCGTACTCAGACAAGTGCAAGGTCGAGATGTGTTCCTATGGAAACCACTTCCTGTGCATCCAAGGCCATCCTGAGTACAACAAAGAGATCCTTTTCGAAATCATTGATCGTGTCGTCAATATGAAGCTGATGGAGGTTTGTTTTCTTAAATATTAACCTTGTCCATTGTCTTGAATGTTATTCTAGTTCCAAGCCTTCTAATGTTTCTTGTTTCTTTCGGTTTTTCGCAGCAAGATTTCGCGGATAAGGCCAAGGCAACGATGGAGAACGCAGAGCCTGATAGGAAGCAATGGCAGACTCTGTGCAAGAACTTTCTCAAAGGAAGATCAGAGCAAGTTTAATGTATCTACTTCTGTTTGAATCAGTTTATGTAATGTCGTTGGAATATTCAGAAACATTTCTATCTACTTCTATAGTTATAAGAAAGAAAAAATCACAAATAGTCCATTATATTACAATATTTGGGTGTTAACAAGAATGTATAAACACCCAAAGTAAGCATTTTTCTGAGAACAAAACCAAAAAAATGAATCTTTTGAGTTTGATGTGTTCTTTAACCTCTTTAACAGAATGTGTACAAGTAAAGAAAGAAACGTTTCTTCAATTTACGGTTTCAAGAATCTTCAGCAATCAGCAGAGAAATCTGGCTCAGGAGGTTTCTGAAACTTGACCAGCTCTATAGTCGGAGGTGGCAAACTCGACTTCTTCTTCGCAGACCGGTTCTTGTGAACGCTACGAAGCGCATTCGCAGCAAACTTGGAAGCCAAGAAAGTAGCTCTGATGCTATACGGACTTCCTCCAGCGATAACCGAAGCCGTCTCTTCTTCTTCCTCCTCCTCTTCCTCTTCTTTCCTCAGCTGCTCCATCTTCTTCCTCTTCGTGTACCGTCTCCACGCGGCTTGTATGAAGCAAGCAGCCCAAGTCTTCCACTGCTGTGAGTAGAATCTGAAAGTGTGCTGCACTTGTCTGCTATGCAATCTCCTAAACTGACTCGCCACAAACTTCAGCTCATCAGCTATCAAAGCGAATGCTTCCACTTCGGTTAAGGCCTTGACGGTTCTTGTCGAGGACGGTAGGTTAGCACCGGACTTAGGATCCAGCGCCCACGTCAGAAGCTCGTCACCGCAGAAGTCTCCTTCTTTAAGCAAACTCCGGTTAAAGAAACCACTTCTCCCGCCATCGGTGGTTACACTCTCGAGCCTACCGCGGATTATGAAGAGCATCTCGTTCACCGGATCTCCTTCCCGGACCAAGTAAGACTTCTCAGTGAATAAACATGGCTTGAGCCTCTCGCAGATTGCATCTAACAGCCTCTCATCCATATTCTCAAACAGAGGAACCTTTTAACATAAACAACAAAATGTTCTTGGAGTGAATCAAGACTTTGAAAGAAAGTGATGTTCTTGGAGTGAATCAAGAACAAGAAAAAAACTTACTCTTCTGACTAAGGCGAGACAGAGATGACGTTTGATGTCTCTTCTAAGGTCCTTTGGGAGGTTCGAAACAAGATTCTCTTCATCGACTCCACGAGTCTCCAACCACTTGTACTGATCATATCGCCTCACCCGTTCTCGTAGCTCCGGTGGAAGCATCCGGTGATGCATCCACTGTTCTGAGTCACGTCTTTTCACTCGCATTTCCTCTAACCGGATAGTAAGCGATTGAAGATACGTCTGTTCACAGATTCATCAAACCAAACACCAAAGTTATATAAACTTCAATTTGAAACATCATAACCAAAACAAGCTTTGTTGTTTCTTTACCTGCATGTTTCCAATGAGAAGAGCAAAGAGAAGAAGTCCAGCAATAGCAAGTGTTATTGAGAATATAACCTCTCCAGGGTATGTGCTAGTTTCAAGACCTTGACCTAGTGTACTGCAATCACGCAACAGAGGAGGTTACTAAACCCTAAAAGACTCTTATCTTGATGATGAAACAACTATAAAGATGGTGCAATACCTAAGATTCTGTAACCCCCACCACAAGCAGAAGAAGTACTTAGAGACAAAGTTCTTAGACGAGACAATGCCAGAGGAGAGAGCTCTCAAGTAGATTCCGAAATCAAAAGGAGGCTCTTCACCTTCAGTGACATTGACAGCACAATGATCCTGAAGAAACGATCCTTTCATAGTGTCCCAAACATCATAACCTTTCATGTTTTGGTTACCACAAAACAAGAAGTCTCGTGTACAGTTGTCGCGGTGTTCGTTACACGCCTTAACCCAGCAATCGTTGTTACGTTCCAAGGCAAGCAAGTACCACAAAGCTCCAACAATCTACACATCACACAGACTTATGAGAAACATAAAGAAACACAAGAAACGGTTAGCAAGAAACTGGATAACTGACATGACTAGCGAGCATGTAGAGAAGCAAGTAGTAAGCTGCACCAGCCCAAGCGGTTTCAGCGAATACTCCGGCTGTTCTCTTCAGCTCTGAGCTTAGAGGATACATACGAAGAAACCTCGGAATGTATTGGACTAACACTATATATCTAAGCGCTTGTTTCGTTGCAAGAACATTCAAACCACTTGACGTGTAGAGAAATCTCCAAACTATAATCTGAAAACAGAACAATGTTAATAGAAATGAAGTAAACCCTAAACCCTAAGGAAAGTAAATCTTGAAAACTCAAAGAAGTTTTATACCTGTGGAATGGGAAGAACGGAGAGCAAATCGATGATGAAGTACTGTTGAAGATACCGTTTAGCGATCTGCTTAGGGTCGATGACGAGCTCTCCTCGACCGAAAACACGTGAGGAAGGAGCAACGTAAGCTGTTCTAAACCTGAGAGCCATGTGGAAGAGGTAAAAGGAATCTATGACTGTCCTCAACGTTGTGGCCACGATGGCCAGTTTCCGGTCTATGCCGACGCATTTGGCTTTGTCGTTGATGAAAGGAAGGTACAAGAAGAGCGGGTCCACGGAGACAGCGAGGATGCAAGAAGCTACAAAGAGCTTGTTGCAGAGCAAGAGAAACTTGTCCTGTGGATCGAATATCTTCTTCTCTGATACTTTGAGATCTTCGGGGAAGACAGCGCGAGAGACACCGAGTCCTATGGATCTTCCTATAGACCAAAGTCCCTCTGATCCTTTTCTGAAACCTTTCTTGAATGATCCGGATGATGTTTTGTTTCCTTGAGCAAAACGTTTTGGTCCTTGTAGGTTTAATGTGCATTTGTTTAAACCCGTATCAGAAGTTTGCGAGTATCTTGAGTCCATACTATCTAACCTGTTCAAAAATCCAAGAAGAAAGAAGAAAATTTCAAGAAAACAGATTCGTCAAAGAAGAAGAAGAAGGGCTTAAGCTTAAACTATGTGTACCTCACAAACTTCTCGCGTTGACCACTGATTACTTGAGATTTGACTCCATTTGTGCCACAATCAAACATGCTCTTTCTCAAAGATTCAACTCATGAATCCTTTAATCTGTGTTTGACACAAAGATGAAACCTTTTTCAGTTATAATCAATCACAGGAGTTACTTAATTGGAACAAGAAGAAGTGTTTTTTGTTTATTTTTTTCACAAATCAATGGAGTTACACGATTGGGTTGCGAAATTAAGTTACTTTAGCTAGTTGTGATCAATCACATCTATCATTGACGCAAAAAAATCGAAACTTTAAGATATACAAAATGGACTAAATTTATGTCTAAATCCCTAAAAAGACAGAATTGAATCAAACTTCGAACAATTGGAAACTTCAATTAGCTTAATTTCCGGAGTATCAGTAAGTGAGATCGGGAGGAACATGAAGTAGAAGAAGAAGAGCTTACAGTCGAATCTGGCGGCGAAGAAGAAGAAGAAGTAGAAAGTTGTAAAGAGACGGGGGAGAGAAAGAAGGAAGAAAGTGAATGTGTCTTCTGTCCAAATATTGACTTTCTTCTTCTTGCTGTCCGGGCCGGGTCCACCCGCTTCCTCTGCTGTCTTCACTTCTCATGCAAAAATAATTTATTTATTTTTTAAATAGTTTAAGTAATTATCTACAGTTTTTAATCAGTGTTAATTATTTACTGAAAGCTGTTGTTGTATCTTTTTACGCTTTTTTACGAATATGATCTATGTTTTTTAATTCGTTATAGCTTCTTTATGATTATTTCCTACATTTGGGGGTGATTTTTAAACTAAAATTTTAATTTGTGATAGCTTCTTTCTGATTGTTTCCTATATCTAGAGTTTTTACAAAGAAAATATGTTATTTCTTCGTGAATCACTCTCTCGACTCTAGCAAATTCATTATTTTATGCAAAACGTGGGACAACCAAATCAAAATCTAGGTGATAATAATAATGTAGCTGGTGGCGTATCATTAACAAATCACTAAACTATTAGAATATACCTTTACCAAAAATAGCTGTTCAAATTTTCCAATAACTTAATTAATAAATTAAATCCTATTCTTTCTTTTAAATTCGCGTTTGATATGATAGTTTTAGTTTTTTAGGTAGCAAGATGATTAGACAATAAGTAGGAAATAATTGAATACATTTGATATGAAAAAATAAAATTGTTGACAAAAACAAAAAAAATTGCAAATTAAATTTTAGCAATGTCAAATATGACATAAACTCTTATAACATTATTCTCTAAACCATAGATTTGGTTGCATAACAAAGATTTCAACTTCAAAAGTTTTTGTAGAGAGGCTTAAGCCCAAACGAGCCCAATGACAGCAACAAGAGCCCACAAGAAGCCATTTCCAGCCACCGATCCAACGGCGCTGCTCGGAGCTGGCGCAGGAGCCACCGGAGAAGTAGATGGAGAAGTAGATGGAGCAGCACCGGGTGCGGGTGCGGTCTTGGGATGGGGCTGGTGGTTAGGAGACTGAACCACGACGGTCAGTTTCTCACCTTTGCCGCAGTTACCGGTGGGAGCTCCACTGATGAAGTAGTGTGGACCTGAGACTTCAAGTGTCACTTTGCTGTTTCCTTCTTTGTATTCTTTCAATGGCTTTTCTGTTTTGCAGCTTTCGTAGTTTTCTTTTGTCACTTGTAGCACCGAATCGTTCTTCGCACCGTAGTAGAAAACTGTCACATGCAAAAATATAACGCTTAGTTTCTTTTTTTCTAATAACATATTAACATGCAGTTTATCATGTTTGAATCCATATGGTGACACAACAATAATATTTAATACAAACATGTATTTGTCTACTTTGATTTCTGTATTTGTATTTAATACTTTGATTACAAATAAAAACTGACACAAACACATATCATGATGTGATATCGATCTAAAGCAAAAAAACTCAAATAATTAAATCCACACTCAAAACTCATACGTTTCAAATTTTCAATGCTAATTGAAGATCCCGGCCGTGACCAAGAGTGAGTCAAACAAAAACAAAATATTCGATCTCACACCAAAAACTTAATGAAATATATAACATTAATTAAATAAAAATTGCCAAAATTCCCAAAACCCATTTTTGTTAGATCAGAAGATGAAAATAAAATTTGGAAGAAAGAATGAGAAACGTACTGAGAATGTCTCCAACTTTGAATCTGACGGACTCAGCCCAATGGTTGAGAGTGTTGTTGGCTGGTTCTGGCACCTTCCATCCATCCAATGTTCCTCCCACAATAATCAATCTGGCATCACCAAGGTGGTAGAATGTCGTGAACAACACAAATACTAGTGTCAAAACTGGAACTGAAGACGCCATATTCTTCTCCTTCTCTTCTTCTTTTCTCAAATATTAATATTTTTTTTCCTAGGACGAGAAAAAGTTCTGCCGTTATGATGGTTTGGAGATAAATGGGTTTCTTATACAAGGCTGGGGAATGAGGTTAAGAGGATCCGGACCAGATTTTTGGTCAAATCTGGTCTTAAATAAAATGTATTGTAATCCTCCCAATAAGCCAAGTAATTATAAGTTTCATATATTTGGGATTTTATTCCTCTTTTCTTTTTACGTATAAGAAAGTATATTTTCTATAACTTTAATTTGAAGAAAAAATGAAAAGTAGGTGGTAGATTTTTCATCTATTTTGTTTTTGGTTACTTTTACTTTTTTTTTGGTATAAAATTGTCAAGTTTTCGATTCTAATTTTTTTTTTTTGACGTGTAAAACATTTAAAACTGAATAATACTCATTTATTAGAAGGAAATCTCAATTATTTGAATATCAACAACTTCAAGATGTTGACCAGACGTCACAAAGTCATTTTAATCCAGGAGACGAGGCGTTAATCGTCAAGCTAAACCTCTTCGATTTATCAACGATTCCCAACATTACTGAGTAATTGGTATTTTTTGGTTATAGATATAAAAAGTAAAAACTAACCCATAACATTATTTGCGGTTGAAAACAATTTTTTATTTATTTATGTATGCTGACCAAGCAATTTTTTTTTTTTTTTTTACTATGTTTACACTATCAATTTTACCAAAAAAAAAAATGTTTACACTATCAAAACGATTTGAGTACTTGAGCGTTATCTTTCAAATTGTACGTACATGTAGTCATGTACTATCATAGTTTCACCAAAAAGTTATCAAAAAATCATAGTTTGACCAAAATACGACGCAATAAAATACTATTCCAAAGTAAATATTAGGGAAGATGTCCAATAGCTACAAATGATAAATCATAAAATAAAAAACCACTATTTTTATTTTAATATATTTACATTATTTAAATTATCAGCTCAAAAGCCATTAAGTTTCGTGTTTCTAATTAATCCATATATCTCATTGGTGGAATTTTTGGTTTTAATAGAAAGCCATACATATAGTTTTCCGTTTCTTAATTCAAAATGATTCGAGCCTATTGTTCTAGAACCAAGTACTATATTTTAGATCAGTTCGAAATGATGGAGTTCTTAAATTTTTGGTACGTAGCTAAATGAGGCTTGAAAGAAAGAAGAAACTTGATTTAATTTGGTATATTTGAACTTACAAAATCTTAAAATTGTCAATTTGTAAAATGTTACACTATCTCTACATAATTTTATTTCTAAATAGAGGGAGAGACAAAGGTCCACATTGTGCAATGACTCAGCAAAACACATTACATGACAACCTCCCAAACGCCATCAATCCATCCTTATGTCTCTTCCACACATGACATAAGTATATATACGTATACATTGTAGTATGTGTATAGTGTATACATATATAAATTAGAGGTCGTAGCACGTCCTTTTTCATTCTATTGAAGTATTGATATAACAAAACCCATTGAAGAAAAGGAGAGACTATAGTGAAAGGGTGAGAGGAAATTAAAGAGAAATGGCAAGAACCCATTTAATCTTTCTTATACTAGTGCTCTCATCAACATCAACATCAACACCATTAACATCAACATCATCATCAAGAGAGCAAGAGGAGGACAGAATCAAAGCACTTCCAGGCCAACCAAAAGTAGGATTCTCACAGTTTTCGGGTTATGTGACAGTGAACGAGTCACACGGTCGATCACTCTTCTACTGGCTCACTGAATCATCTTCTCCTACTCCTCACACCAAACCACTTCTTCTTTGGCTTAATGGAGGTTAGATTCTTTTTTCTCCATTCATACATATATACACACACATTGGTCTCTCTAGTGTATCTTCATATGTTTGGTGGCTATATTTGATTTAATGTGAACTAAAATGAAAATGAAATTTTGTTAAATTGTTCCCAACATGAATCATAGTATTTTCGACAGATGAGTCTATCTCCAAATTTATTTGTTCTAGGTACTCGAATAGTACCTAATATCACCATGTTGAGTTTTTTTTTTTTTTTTTCTCTACTGTATATAAAACACAGAAATTGCTTGTCGATTCAGCATGTTGTTACAATTGCAATGCTAATAGTATGTGTCACTAAGAGTCAATAATAATTATTTTCAACACCAGTTTATTCCTAATCATCGTCAACGTTAGAATCGATCGGAAGACGTCAAATGTCATTAACAATTGTTAATTAGCCTAAACAAAAGTGAAATATAAACAAAAATACCAATACGAATACTTTATGTCTTATCATTATTTTTAATTGTGATTAATAAAGAAAATCAGTGTCCATCAAAACAACATCAACAACCCAATATGACTCTCATAGGTGAAACATGCAATTGTTGTTAGAAAAACAAACAAAAGCAAACATGCAATTATTTGTACCCTTCACTTTTTAATTTGATATGGATTATTCCAGTCCTGCGTGCATTTTAGCAAAAGTCCACATTTCTGACTAAAATAAGTCTTATGGAATAATTGGAATATTCTCATGTCAAGATATCCTCAAAACCTCATCATTCCGATCATGCGCAATGACAGCGACATAAAAGCACTCACTGGCTATCCTTTTTCACGGCATCTTTACTATAATTTAAAACCATTTGCAAAAGTAAAGCAAATGTAGCCAAATTTTATACAACTAAAACAGTTAGAAAAGGAAAATATGAACATAGTTTAGTGATTTGTGCTAATAGTGTCGTTCTGTCATCACTTAACTATATTAGACAATAAACTATTTGACTAATTAAAAATATGTAGTCGTATGGACTTGTGTGTGATGATAAAGTGGTATTGAATCTAGTCATCTAGAGCCAAGAGTGTAAGTTCCATTTGGTCCCATATTCGAGTCTGTAGTGTGAAAACTCTACGCGTGAGCCACTTGGTCACTTGAGTTTCACTTCGTATGTTTTACGTGTGATATATTTGCTAGTTTTTTTTTAATCAAAGGGTATATTCACTTAGTCAAATGCTTTTGGTAAAACATGAATATCCAGTACTAAAGAATATTAAGTCGTAAGTAAAACTAAAGACAAAATCAAGAAAGATTAACCTTTAAGAAAAAAAAAACAGAAGCAGTTTCTTTTATAACTAAAACATTAGGCCGACAAAAATAAAGATCATTGAAGTATTATAAAAAATACTAACTAAAGAAAAGCCGGCAGAAGTTAAAATGTAGGGCCATTTGATCGTCTCAGGACCACAAAAGTAAGTGAGCAAAAATACGATTGGCCAAACATCTATGTAACTAGATCTCTAATTCTCTTATCACTTTCTCTTTTTGACATTCGGTAAGAACGCATGACGGAAACATGCACAAAAGGCTCGCCGCAAATTTTATATTTTCAAGGGAATTAGGAGTTTAAAATTTTATTTTAACTAACATTAAAATAAACGAGATTTTTGAATTGGTTGTCTAATCCAAAGGAAACGAATGTGGAATCTTGTATTCGTTTTTCTTTGACTTACACATAAGAGAAATGTTTGATCTTCGATCAATAACCAAAAAAAACAAAAAATATTACAAGAGATTTTACATGGGACCAAGGCATGTAATTAACTAGTAGTTTGTGATTGTCTCGTAAAGATGTCATTATTCATGTTTATAGTTATACCCACAAAATGCATCGTTATATATATAAAAACTTTATATGGAAAATAGCGATATTTGTGTATATGATCCGCAGGACCGGGCTGCTCGTCGATTGCTTACGGAGCGTCGGAGGAAATCGGACCGTTTCGTATCAATAAATCCGGTTCTAGTCTCTATCTCAACAGTTTTTCTTGGAACACAGGTACTAGACTACTCACTAATATAATTTCGATATGTTTCCATTCGGTTCTTCATTTATGCAATAACTTCTTATTACAACTCCAACTATGAAAACATTGCATGGAAATCTGTTTCCATATATGTTGTATAACATTTTTCAAATGTGCAAGAACAGAAGCAAATCTTTTGTTTCTGGAATCCCCTATTGGAGTTGGATTTTCGTATACTAACACAAGCTCCGATTTCAAAGAATCCGGAGACGAACGTACAGGTCGTTATATAAAACCTTAATTACTTATGTTCTATACTTCTATACATCACAGAAATTGCTTTTTTTTTCTCTCGGATAATTCACATTGGACGACTACAAAATTCATATAACGATTAAAAATCTCAAAATTAGTCTAGTCATTAAACCAACATAAGACTATAAAGATTTAGTTAAACTACAATTCAGCATTAATAAACAATTTTTTTTTTAGAGAAAGTGATTCAGTAATTGTGTGTTGCAGCTCAAGAAAACTTGATATTTCTTATTGAATGGATGTCAAGATTTCCACAGTACCAATACAGAGATTTCTACATTGCTGGTGAAAGCTACGCCGGTAAAATTATCTTAGTTTAGTGGTCTTTTAGTTAACCAACCTTTTCAATTTTGTTTTTTTAATTTTAATATCCATATTACAGGGCATTATGCTCCTCAGCTTGCCAAAAAGATTCATGACTACAACGAAGCCTTGAACAACAAACCCATCATCAATCTCAAAGGATTTATGGTAATTAAACTATGAAGTTTACTTATCACATTTGTAAAACTATTACTCCAAACACTCCGTATCAACAAAAACACAAATTCTTGACCCTAATCTCTCTCCTTCAAGGTTGGAAATCCAGAGACGGACAAAAGCAACGACAAACTAGGGACCATAACGTATTGGTGGTCTCACGCGATGATCTCAGACACTTCCTACAATTTGATCCTCAAAAACTGTAATTTCACAGCAGAGAGATTCTCTGAAGGGTGTGAATCCGCCATTTACAATGCTGCGGCTGACTTTGGCGACATTGATCAGTACAGCATCTACACACCCAAGTGCGTACGCACGAAGGAAATGCACAAAACGGTCATATCTAGACAGGTTTTAGCAGAGTACGACCCTTGTACTGAGAGCTATGCCGAGATTTATTATAACCGTCCCGAGGTACAACGAGCCATGCATGCGAACCGCACCGCTATTCCTTATAAATGGACTGCTTGCAGGTACCGTATAACCCTAACTAACATTATACTGCTCATCAAGGACACTGAACTAATGTAACGAACCAAATCAAGCCTAAAATATTTTACTTTAACCCTCACTACTGAATTTCACTTGAACCTTAATAATTCAACAAATTAATCACACTTACTGCTTAGTGATTCTTTTAGTCATGTATACTGAAATAACATATTTTTTTTTCTTCATTAAATTGGAAACGTCATTGAATTGCACCTCAAATAACATATATTTTTTGTTATTCCCTAATTCTGCAGTGACTATGTGTTTAACAATTGGAACTGGAGAGTCTCTGACAATTCGATGTTGCCGTTATACAAAGAACTCATGGAGGCTGGTCTGAGGATATGGGTCTTTAGGTACACTGTTTTTCAGTATATATCCTTAGCAACAACAAAAGAATTCAGTATATTGAAATTATTCCAAGATCACAACACTAAGAAGTATTTTGGTCATATTAAGACACATATTTCAACCAAATTGTGATGCAGCGGTGATACAGACTCAATTATACCAGTGACAGCGACTCGGTTTTCCCTCAGCAAACTCAATCTTCCGGTGAAGACTCGCTGGTACCCTTGGTACTCCGGCAACCAGGTCTCTTCATCACGCACACACACACACATATTTCTGTAGCATATGCTTATAATGCAGAGTCAGTTAATAATGTTTATGGTGGTGATAGGTAGGAGGAAGAACAGAAGTATATGAGGGGCTTACCTTTGTCACGGTAAGAGGAGCGGGCCACGAGGTGCCTTTGTTCCGACCGCAGAGTGCCCTAATTATATTAAGATCTTTCTTGGCTGGCAAGGAGCTTCCAAGATCTTATTAGTTTGAAAAAAGAATTGGCTCAAATGTGATCCTAGTAAACTTGGTGTTTTCCCGTTTTTTCCTGTTTTAAAATCGATTCATTTCCTATAAATCCAAAGATGACAAGCATTCTTGGTAAGGAAAATATTTTGATATTAAGGAGAATTGTGTTGTTATTCCAGACCCATTATAAGAATAGAGTTCAAAGCTCTATGCTTTGCCTGACCGAAATACCAAAAGAAAAAAAAACAAGGGTAGTAACAAAAAATAGGGTATTATAGGCTTGTTTGGAATAGATACAAAGCGTAACTGGTATTAGTCTTGTTTGGATTCCAACGCTAGTGACAAAAATTGTTATAAAAATGTACGTGATAAAAACAGGAAATCTCAATATAGTTAATAATTAAGATTAAAAACGTCTTTAGCAGTTAACAACAAAGGCAAACTGTTACAAAAGATACGAAGTTTGGTATATTTCTCTTTAATCTGCAGTGTCATTTTGCAAAGCACTAAACTCTACAAACTTCTCTATTCCATTACGTATCCAATGTGTCTGTCGTTAAGCTAAATTTGTTTTTTTGTAAATTTTGAACATAGATGGGAAATTTCAAACTAATGCAATTCCAATCCAAGTTATACGTATAAAATAATACTAATAAAATGAACTAACGTGTATTTCACTTCATCATTTGAGTGGTTCTTAAACATCAACTTTGGCATATTTTTCTCCGATACAAAGACTTCAGTTCGCTCTAAAGTCAAGATGTGTGGGGCTGACAGCAACAAGGCTGCACAACAACACAAAGACAATGTCGTTTTCTAAAACGCATGACACAAATTCTGAGAAAAAATATTCGAAATAGTTAAAAAGTCCCAATATGACTTACAGTGAGATACTACAAAGTATTCGGTCATATATCACCTGCTTCGAATACAACAGACAGACCCAGAGCCTGAGCACATAACCAATAGCCGCATGCAATTGATCAAGCATCACGTACATCGGTACATGCTAAAATGATGTCAAAACTTGGCATTCATTAAGGATTTCCCAGTATTCTAGCAAATGTCCCCTAAACCTACCAGACACTTAATTTCATCAAATGAGAGGCAAACAATTAATAAGGCCTTCTCACAAACAAGCCATACATAAAAGCTCAACTGCTTCAGAACACCAAGAAACAAAGATTTAGATAAATACAACCCAGATATGTAACGAAAATGTACAAATTGAATGAAAAAAATATAAATTAAAAAGAGACCGCAGATAAACTAGTGATAGTATTTTTGGAGTATAGTGAAATCAAAAATCAAAAGTTTTTCTCCCAGACACGAGTTTCGATAGCGATCTTTACCCGGTTTGACCTGTCTTAGTCTCCTCCGTTTACCCAGCGTATCTTTCTCCTTTTGGAAAGTTTTTTCAAATTTCAACCGCTCCTGATTCTTTGTTCCCGGGGTCCACCCCCGAAGGGTCTGCTCAAAGCACCGCCGGTAAGTCCTCTGCTCCTCCTCCTCCTCCTGGAAATCCTTCATCCTCTCAGCTTCGCCTCGTTCAACCTCTTCGATCTAAAGCCTCTCAACGCTCGCTGGTCACTAGTCATCGTTTCACCCCCAGTTTTCGTTACTGCTAAATTCTGCGTTCCTCCGACGACAACCTGACCACCATGGTGAGACGTTTTTCGTACGCGGAGAAAGGAAAAGCTCTAGACATACCCACAGCTCAACCACCGAGAAGACGAATAAGAGCTCCGGAGATGGACACATCCGATCTTGTCCGCCAAAACTCGCTTACACTCATAGGAAGACTCACAAATCCGCAGGAACAGAGAATGTGGACGATGATTCCCTACATCTCTAGCCGCTGGGAACTACGAGGGAGAGCGGTGGTTTCGGACATAGGCAACCACTGCTTCCAGTTCCGGTTCGACTACGACGAAGACCTGCAAAAAGTCCTCAACAACAGACCATATCAGTACGCAAGATGGATGCTCATCCTCCAAAAATGGGAACCAATCATCTCCTCGACCTTCCCATCTCAGATCCCGTTCTGAATCCAGCTCAAAGGTCTGCCTCTCCACTACTGGAAGAAGGAAATGCTCTGTAACATCGGACATGAGCTAGGAGAGTACAAGGAACAGATTCTCACAAAAATGACTGCAAAAATCAAAGTGGAAGTCAACGGCCTACAACCACTTTCAAAAGACGCAGTTATAGAATTTGAAGGGGGACAAGAAGCCATCGTTACCTTTGAGTACGAGAATCTCGGAAAGCACTGCTCCCTCTGTTTCAGCTTAAGCCACGAGGAAGATCTGTGCCCAGTTAAGCCTCAAACGCTAGACCTACGTGACCCCCCAACAAGACAGACGGAAAGAGGCAGATTTTCTCCGATAAAAGCAAACCCGACAAACCACCAACGTCCGTTCAATCTACGTCAAGACAGACATGGGAGACCGTTTGGGGAAAGACCGTCTTATAAGAGAGCCGAGAATGGCTTTGACCAACTTAGGACCCGGGGCAAAGGACAACCTCTCTATCATCAGCGTCCTAGGCTATCCCCACCACACCCAACGCTGCAACGAGACCCCCCTACTGTCCACCAGTATGCGCACGGTAGTACCCACACTGAGCCAAATCGAGGTGGGCAAGGAGAAACACGAAGAACGAACCCACTCAGGACACCGCCTCGTCAGATCTGGAGAGAGAAACCCCCGACGCTACTAGATCAACCGGAAGACATCTCTACAACTAACCAACTGGGACCTCTAGTGGGAAGGAATCTAGAGATAGAAGAATTCATCCCCCTCCAAAGAGTCAGATCTGAAGATGAAATCATGTCCTCCCTCCAAGATGTAACGGTGCAGTACACCAATGTTGACGACCCCATCGAAAGAGCAGCACGGATACAACGAGTCCTCGAGAGTGAAGCTCAGGGTCTAATGGTGAACACGGCACGGGCAATGTTCGAGGCACAGAGCCCCCAGCCCTGGAACGTTACCACGGGAGACCGGCTTGGGACCATCCCGCAGGAAGGTGCAGAGACAGCTACAGCAGACACACGCCCGATTCATTTGCAGACGCAAACTAAAAGACCACGAGGCAGACCACCTTCAAAGAAAACTACTCAGCCTACTGATGCTAATGAAGCTGGAACAAGTAAGAGGAAAACGAAACAAGCAAGAATCTCACCGTTCCTGAGAATCTCCCCCCTGTCTCGTATCATTCACACCCGTACTTCCCCGGTTACCCACGGGCATGGAACTCGACGCAGTAGAGTCACCTTACATCAAAGCTCGCACGCACCATCAACCTCAACGGTGATCCCTCCTTCTCCCACCATGGTCCCAGCAATTCGTAAGGCTACGAGGAAAGACAAAGCGGATTTTCACAATCTGCAAGATCCTCTTCCTTAAAAATTTTGAGCTGGAATTGTTGCGGTTTGGGAAATCCCTCAACAGTTCACAGATTGAAGGAATTGGTGAAAAACCATGTACCTGACGTAATTTTCCTCATAGAGACGAATAATAAGGATGAAGAGAATAACAGGCTCATCCCTCTCACCGACTACGCATCTCGTTTGTTTGTCCCACCTACAGATACGGGAGGTGGTGGCCTTGCGCTCTACTGGAAACAAGAAATCCCCATCTTGATCCTGTCTTCATGTAAAACCTACATAGACACATCCTTAAACTATAAAGGAAATCTCTTCTTTGCTACGTTCATCTACGGCGAACCAGACTTTTCATTGAGACACCTAGTGTGGGAAGAGCTCACAAACCTGGGGATATCCCGTGATAAACCTTGGTTCTTGACCGGCGACTTCAATGAAATCATCGACAACAATGAGAAATCTGGAGGAAAGCAAAGAACAGAAGCTTCTTTTGGAAACTTCCGGGACTTCCTCTCACAAAGCGACCTCTTTGATCTACAACACTCTGGAAATTTCCTCTCTTGGAGAGGTACCAGACACACGCATCTTGTGCATTGTCGACTCGACCGAGCTATGGTGAATAGCATGTGGCTACACATCTATCCAACCAGCCGGTGCCGCTACCTCAACTTCGAAGGATCGGACCACAGACCTATCTTGTCAGAGCTCCAACCGGAAAAAAAGAAAAAGAAAAGCATCTTCAGATATGATAGAGCAATGCGGCACAACCCTACAATCTCTAAGCTCGTGAAAGATACCTGGAATAAATTTGAAGATGACACAGTGGAGAGACGAATAGCAAACTGCAGGAAAGCGATCTCTCGCTGGAACCGAGAAAATCACATCAATAGCCCGAAGATCATTGAAGAGGAGAAAGCAAAACTGGATGATGCTTTGAGTGCCCCGATAGCAGACTCGGCTAAGATCCAGGAAAGCACAGAGAAATTAGATGCAGTCTACAAGAAGGAGGAAGAGTATTGGAAACAACGGAGCAGATCCCTCTGGCTTGCCCTAGGAGACAAAAACTCGGGTTATTTCCATGCAGTTACAAGGGGGAGAAAAGCAGTAAATAAGTTCTCTGTACTTGAAGAAAGAGAGGGACAACCTGTGTATGAAGAAGAGGACTTCGTCCGCGTTATTAGTGCCTACTTCCAAAATATCTTCATTACGCGATCCCCACAGTGCTCAGAGACAGTGAGCCAAGCCATCAAACCGTGCATCACAAAGGAGACAAATGAGAGACTTATCGCTATCCCCTCCAACGAAGAAATCAGAGCAGCTCTCTTTGCTATCCACCCTGATAAAGCACCAGGACCTGATGGATTCTCTGCAAGTTGTTTCCAGACAAATTGGTCAGTTGTCTGCAACAGAGTCACGACGGAAATCAGAGACTTCTTCATCACAGGACATCTACCTAATTCTATCAACGAGACCTATGTCCGGCTTATACCAAAGGTCCAATGTCCTAAGCAAGTGGCGGAGTATAGACCTATAGCTCTATGCAATGTGTTCTATAAGATCATCTCCAAACTCCTCACCAAACGTCTACAACCTATCCTCTCAGCTATAGTTTCCGAAAACCAAACAGTCTTTGTCCCCGGACGAGCTATCTTGGACAATGTGCTAATCACACATGAGACACTCCACTACCTTAAGGGCTCAAAAGCTACGAAATATTGCTCTATGGCCGTTAAAACAGACATGAGTAAAGCCTACGATAGGCTGGAGTGGAATTTCATCGTTGAAGTACTAGAAAGAATGGGGTTCCATGCTAAATGGATCAATTGGATTTTCCAATGCATCTCTACGGTCTCATATTCTTTCCTAATCAATGGATCAGCAAAAGGGAGCGTTTTACCTCAACGTGGTATCAGACAAGGTGATCCTCTTTCTCCGTTTATCTTCATCTTGTGTAGTGAAGTGCTCACGGGCCTCTGCAACAACGCGCAATTTAGTGGTCTACTACCGGGGATAAAAGTTGCAAGAGATAGCCCAAGGATAAATCACCTGTTGTTCGCTGATGATACGATGTTCTTTTGCCAAACAAAACATCAATGCTGCACCACCTTAGCCTCGATCCTGCAGAAGTATGAGGAAGCATCAGGACAACAAATCAACAACCAGAAGTCATCAATATCCTTCTCATCGAAAACACCCCAAGATATAAAAGATAGAGTGAAACAAGCACTTGGTATTGAGAATGAAGGAGGTCAGGGGAAGTATTTGGGACTACCTGAGAGCTTTGGACGGAAGAAAAAGGATCTCTTCCCCTTAATTGTTGACTGCATACGCGAGCGAGCAGTGAACTATTCCTCACAACGTCTCTCCGCTGCAGGCAAATTAACACTTATAAAAAGTGTGCTCTCAGCTATCCCTACTTACTCTATGTCATGCTTCAAGATCCCGGTTAGCCTCTGCAAACGGATCCAATTTGCCCTCACGCGCTTCTGGTGGGACCAAACGCCCGGTGTGCAGAAGATGAGTTGGACCTCTTGGACAAAGATGAAAAAGTCTAAAAGCTCTGGAGGTCTTGGCTTCCACGATATACAAAAAGCTTCAATGATGCATTGCTAGCTAAACTCCGCTGGCGAATCCTGAAAAACCCAACATGCCTTTTAGCCCGAGTCTTACAAGGGAAATACTGTAAAGACTATAGCTTCCTAGACGTTCCTACCTCCACTTCATCTTCGCATGGCTGGAGAGGAGTCCTCATTGGCAGAGACCTCTTGGTGGAACAACTTGAGAAGGCAATCGGAAATGGACAGACTACTCTGTGGAATGATTCATGGCTATCACACACCTCTCCGATACGACCTCTAGGCCCTCCAAATCTACAAAACAAGATGCAACTGTAGCTTCCTTGATCAACGGCACAGTATGGAGCAAAGAAAAGATTGAAGAGATTTTACCACATCACCTACCAATGATCATGAGCATCCGGCCTAGTCAAAGAGGAGCACAAGACGCTTATATCTGGTTGCCATCTAAATCCGGTGAATACACAGCAAAGACGGGCTATCATATCTCCAGAGCTCTAAAAGATCCCCCTGCAGAAACACAACAAACATCAATCAATTGGAATGCAGATATATGGCTAGGGCATTTCTCTTTGAAAATCAAGCTGTTTCTATGGAAGATCCTCCAAAAGGCACTACCTACTGGTGAGAATCTTTTAAATAGAGGCCTTTTCGACAGTACCTGTTGCATTCACTGTGGAGAGCTCGAAACGACAGAGCATCTTTTCTTCCGCTGTAAGTTTGCTCAGAAAGTCTGGTCTCTAGCTCCTTTTGCGAAGAACCTTGACCTGTCAACGATCATTTTCGACGCCTCCATCAACGTCCTGAAACGACTCGTCTGCCTACCACCTACTGGAATCAGCGCCGGACCTCTCTTCCCCTGGCTTTATTGGACCATCTGGACAGCCCGAAACCATTGTATTTTTGAAGACAGAGACTTGACCCCAGAAGACACTAGCCTTCTCGCGAATGGCAAGAAGCACAGATCTTGGAGAAGAAACCCCACCAAGCTTCACCAAGAGGGGTAATCAACGAACTCTCCATCCGGACACAGTGATCTGCTTCACTGACGGAGCTTGGAAACAGGACACAGCGATCGCCGGAGCAGGATGGATCTTCACCAACAGAGAAGGATCGAAGCTTGACTCCGGAAGCTTAGCGGAACCATTTGCTTCATCTCCACTCATGGCCGAAGCCATTGCCATTAGATCCGCTCTGATCCACGCATTGGAGAAGGATTTCCTCCACCTACAAATCAAATCAGACGCTTAGGATTTAATCCGAGCCCTAACATCGCAAGAGAAAATAAAGGAAATCTACGGTCTCCTTTTTGACATTCAATCTCTCGCAAAGTTATTTACCTCTATCTCCTTTCGATTTGTGCCGAGATCGGAGAATCTGGAAGCCGATCTGCTCGCAAAATCGGCTGCATGTGTTCTCAATTCCCGTCGTTTCGAAAGTTTGTAAAACTCTTATTTTCATTAATGGAAAGTTGTTAAAAATTCAAAAAAAAAAAAAAAAAAAGAGACCGCAAAAACATTTAAGGAAAAAACAACAGAGCAGTGGGAAAAAAGTAGAGGATCACAACATATAAACTTCTGAAGAATATAAAAATGCATACAACAGATAATTGATCCGAATTCATAACCTTCTTTAACATATAACAACATCAATACAAATTAAAGAGAACACAGAGACATATGATGCTTCCCTCTACAGAGGAGGGTTAAAAGGAGAGTATCTAAACCATCATTCTCTTTTTGTCCCAACGGCGACAACGAAGAGGATACGGTGGTAACTACGAGGAAATTTTGCCTCCAACATCTTGTTTTTGAGTTGCGTAGGCTCCAAGTTGCTTCAAAACTCTCACAATCACACACAAACTCCAGAAGTTGTGAGTATCTGTAGCCTGTAGGTTACAGTTAAATTTTCATAAAGCTAGCTTCAATTATAACCAAAATAATTCGGACTCATAGAAGCAAAGTAAGTAAATAAGAAATATGAGACTGTTCATTTAAGTATTTACATTTTTTTTTGTCTTAAAAAACCTCATTGTCTTCTTGTATTAATTAGTCACTCTGTCCCTCTCTATATATCACCCCCCCTTTGCTCACGCCACGTGAGAATAAAATCACAGAGATATATGTGAGAAGTTTCAAACTGGATGTGATATTCCAATCCAAGTTATACGTTAGAAAAATAAACCAATTTACTACAGGATTTGAGTGGCACTTAACCACTTTTAGCCACACTTTTCTCCAAGACCAGATACGAAGACTTCACACAGCTCTAACTTCTTGTAAGTGGTTTTTTGTGCTACAATGAAAAAGCAGATACTAATTTTCTATATATACCAGTCTTCTCTCTCTCTTTTCCTAAACCAAAAGCATTCTTCTTCAAAAGTTCTCATGACGACCATGTCGGAATCATGTATGCGTTTGCATTTTCTCTTGCTGTTCTTATTCTGCTGTGTCTCTCCTTCAGGCTTCGCCTTCTTTTTAAAAAATCCTGTTGTTGGTCTTGTTGCTTGCCGTCCCCACCAGATTCAAGCCCTTACGCAGTTCAAGAACGAGTTTGACACCCGCCGTTGCAACCACAGTGACTACTTCAATGGAGTGTGGTGCGATAACTCCACAGGTGCGGTCACAAAGCTGGGACTCAGGGACTGTCTCACTGGAACTCTGATGCCCAACAGTAGCCTCTTCAAGCTGCACCACCTCCGTTATCTTAATCTCTCTGGAAATAACTTCATCTCCTCTTCACTTCCGCCTGAATTTGGAAATCTCAACAGGTTAGAGGTCTTGTCTCTTTCGTCAAATGGCTTCCTCGGCCAAGTTCCATCCTCGTTTAGTAACCTAAGCCAACTAACCTATTTAGACATGTCCTATAACGAATTCATTGGTAGTTTCCCACTTCTGACGAATCTAAGCATGCTCCAAGTTTTACAACTTACGAATAATCACTTTTCTGGTGTTCTGAATCCCAACAGTAGCCTCTTTAAGTTGCACCAACTCCGTTTTCTTAATTTAGGTTATAACAACTTCAGCTCCTCGCTCCCTTTAGAATTAGGAAATCTCAACAAATTAGAGTCTTTATCTCTTCCCTCTAATGGCTTTGTCGGTCAAGTCCCTACCACAATTAGTAACCTTACCTAGTTAACCGAGTTATACCTTTCCATGAACCGATTGACTGGTAGTTTCCCACTTGTACAAAATCTAACCAAGCTCTCGATTATAGGACTTTTTGGCAATTACTTCTCTGGAACCATTCCTTCTTCCGTCTTCACTATGCCTTTCTTATCATATCTTAATCTCAGTGAAAACAATTTCAACGGTTCTATTGAAGTTCCTAATTCCTCTTCCTCATCTAGTCTCGAGGTAATGCACCTTGGGCTTAACCATTTTGAAGGAAAAATCCTAGAGCCAATCTCAAAGCTCACCAACCTCAAGACACTGGACCTTTCTTTCCTAAAAACAAGCCATCCAATTGAGTTAAGCCTCTTCTCCTCCTTCAAATCTTTGTTATACCTCAAGCTCTCCGGTGACAGTATATCTCCGGCCAGTTTAAGTTCAGATTCATACCTACCATTGAGCCTGGAAGTGTTGTTCTTGCAGCAGTGTGACATCAGAGAGTTCCCCGATATCTTAATGACCCTTCGGAATTTGGTTGTTATAGACATGTCTAGCAATAGAATCAAGGGGAAAATCCCTGAGTGGTTATGGAGCCTTCCTCATCTGAAATCGGTGGTAGTTACAGATAATTTGTTCGATGGTTTCCAAGGTTCAGCAAAGAATTTAGTAAATTCATCGGTGCAGTACCTAGGTTTGGAGTCAAACCATTTCAAAGGAACTCTTCCTCATCTCCCACACTCTCTTATCAGCTTCTCTGCAAGGAACAATAGTTTCAGAGGAGACATACCTCTTTCAATCTGCAACAGAAGGTCGCTTGCTGTCCTTGATCTAAGCTACAACAACTTCACCGGCCCAGTTAGAAAATGTCTGAGTAAATTGACGATTGTGAGTCTCCGAAGAACAACTTGGAAGGAAGTATTCCAGACACTTTCTATGCCTGTACCTCTCTCCTGACCCTCAGCGTTGGCTATAATCGCCTAACCGGAAAGCTTCCAAGGTCTCTCCAAAATTGTTCATCTCTAAAGTCTCTAAGTGTTGAACACAACAGAATCAAAGATACATTTCCTTTCTGGCTCAAGGCTTTACCAAATTTGCAAATCCTTACTCTCCGTTCAAACAAATTCTATGGTCCAATATCTCCTCATCATCAAGGTCCTCTCGGATTTCCTGAGCTGCGTATATTTGAGATATCTAATAACAAGTTTACTGGGAGCTTGCCGCCAAGTTACTTTGTGAATTCGAAAGCATCATCAGTCACCATTAATGAAGATGGAGGTCTGTACATGGTATACAATACCATGTTTTACAGTACAATTGCCTACTCATATATGGAATATATAGATTTGCAATACAAAGGTCTACAAATGGAGGAAGCGAACGTCATTACTTCCTACGCCACCATCGATTTTTCCGGGAATAAACTTGAAGGACAGATTCCTGAATCTATCGGTCTTCTGAAGGCACTGATTGCACTCAACTTGTCGAACAACGCCTTCACAGGCCATATTCCTCTGTCGTTTGCCAATTTTGGCAAGCTCGAGTCACTAGACCTATCAAGCAACAACCTCTCAGGGACTATTCCTAATGGACTCGGGACCCTCTCGTTTTTAGCGTACATAAATGTGTCTCACAACCAACTCAAAGGTGAAATACCACAAGGAACACAAATCACTGGACAACATAAATCATCATTTGAAGGGAATGCAGGACTTTGTGGTCTTCCTCTACAAGAAAGTTGCTTTGGAAGTCATGCGACACCAACACAACAGCCTGAGGAAGAATATGAAGAAGAGGAACAAGTGTTGAACTGGAAAGCAGTGGCAATAGGGTATGGGCTTGGAGTGATGTTCGGATTGGCAGTTGCACAAGTCATTGCTTCATACAAACCGGAGTGGCTGGTCAAGATAGCTTGTCTGAATAAGCGCAGAAACCGTTAGTATTGTTTCAGTTTTGAGTTTGATATTTCCTTGTGTGTCAAGTAGTTCTTGTGGTCTTTTATTGAAGCATTCCTATGTTTTTTGTATCTTTATGTGATACTTTTGAATTTTCTTTAATCATATTCGTATGCATCTCTGTTCTAAAAAGTGGCGGAAGCAAGGACCATTCTCTTGAAAAAAAAACTGATCATAAACTTCAAAAGTATTTCTCAAGATGGAGACAAATAATTAAATGGAGCTAACATTCCACAAATTAATATGTAGAGAGGCATCGCTTATGTTGTGAGATTTATCAACTATATGTTAGTTTGTAACAGAGAAATCATGGTTGATTTATTTAGTTAGCATAAAAATAAAAATAAATTGTGGATTGAAGAAAACTGTAGGAATCCAACATTAGATACAGTATATATGTTATATATCGTATATATGGATATAAATATATATATACTATAACCGTCCTGATGTACAGCAAGCTATTAGCTATGCACGCTAATCTCACCTCCATTCCTTATAAATGGACCGCATGCAATAATGATATGTTTAAGAACTGGAGAGATTCTGAAAACTCGATATTGCCTATATACAAGGAACTCATGGACGTTGGTTTGAGAATCTTGGTGTTTAGGTAAGCCAAGAAACTAACTCCAAAAGTGATATACACGTTAATTTGGTCATTTCACCCACATTTTGTTGATGATGCAGCGGCGATACAGACTCGGTGGTTCCAGTGACTGCGACTAGACTTTCCCTTAGCCATCTAAATCTTACGGTTAAAACTCCTTGGTACTCTGAGAACCAGGTCTTTTCCATCACCACAAGCACATATATTTGTATAGTATATGGTTCTTTTGCAGAGCCATTGATGTTACATGGTGGTGGTGAACAGGTAGGAGGATGGACAGAGGTATACGAGGGGCTTACCTTTGCGACTATAAGAGGAGCGGGACACGAAGTGCCGGTTTTGCAACCGGAGCGTGCACTGACTCTTTTAAGATCGTTCTTGGCAGGCAAAGAGCTTCCAAGATCTTATTAGTACTCTAAAGAATAACAATTCTTGTATTTGAGGAACATATATTTGATACAAGAAGAATTGTGTTGATATTCAAGAATATACCAAGGGGAATAAAATAGCAGAGAGAGACAGAGAGTCAAAGTTTTAAAAACTCTATAACTTGATTCCATAAGAGTAGTGTTACAAAGTTCTTTGCTTTTTCCTGACTGATACATAGAAAAAAGGACCTCTCATAGACTCATACCTGCAAGTTGAATGAGACAGCAACAGAAACAGCTTCTTCTTACTTGAGTCCTTCGCTGAGGCCCGGTGGCATGCCTAAGCTCTGCGCAAGGTCACTCATTCTTTCTTTCATAGCCTATAGAAATTCACAAACTTTCAATTATAAGAGATGAAGATGAAAAGAAACAAAACACTTAGCTGCATTGTGAATAAATGGTTTTGTGATTGCTTTACCACTACACTCTTTGCATGTGCGTCTTTGTACGCTGCTGTAACCAGCTGTGAAAGTTTCTGCCATGAAGAAAGAAATCACACAACATGAGAAACCATTCTGATTAACAAAAGGAGAAACTGATGAAAACATAGCTTTTCATAGTATGGTTTACTCACTTCAGAACCTAGTTCCATTGCTGCATCAGTTATATCAGTACGGATTGGTTGCTGGTTACCTGATAACGTAACCTGAAACCGCACTCAAAAGGTTTCCGGTCATCGGTTACCTGATCGAACTTAAAGGGAAAGAGACTCAAATAAGACCAAAAGCAAGTTTGTGTTACCTTGACAAGCTCGCCTTCACAATAACCATCAAACTCTGCGCTGAGATATTAGAACAAGAAGCAGCATGAAACTCAAAACACACTTCAAAAAGAAATTGAGATGGTAAAAAATGAGACTTACGCAGCTAACTCTTTTTGCACTTTCACAGCCTCAACTTGAACAACCATTTGAGCTTTCTTCACAGTCTCATACATATTCTGCATATTTCCAAATATCCCTGCCTACAAACATCACAAAGGAGAGAAGAAAGAAAAACAAACTCTTAAAGTTCCAAAACAGACGAAATAGTATACAAAAGCACACATACAAACTGTAGATTTTTTCACAAGAGATTATCTTCTTTAAGATCAGAAAGTTGATATTAATTTTCACATATTGCAGAATCTGTTACCTTTGATTGTCCATCCTCAGTATTGTCTTTCTTTCCACCTCCGAATAATCCATTCACACGAAGGGACCTGTTGCAACTTTTAGAGCTTGTCTGTTTTGGCCATGTCATGATGATGTTCTGTCTAGTTCCTCTCTGCGAATTCAATCTCGCATTTCCTGCAAAATTGATTCAAGATTTCTTCAGTTCATTAAAAAAAAAAATCGAATTTTGCAATCACAAAAACACTCAGAGATTCGATAAGCTAAACAGAGAGAAGTCAGAACTCTTATCACCACAATTGCGAACACGCTTAAGCTTATTCAAATACAGATAAATTAGAATCTAATTACGAAAGATTTAAGCATTTTCAGATGAAACCCAAATTCACGAACAGAGAAATATACACTCAATCAATCTCAATCATACATTTGGATTCGAAATCGAGAGAGAGAGAGAGAGGGAGAGAGATAGAAGTGAGGAAATTAGAAAGACTGACCATGGAGGAAAGGAGATGGCAGAGATTTGGAGAAATCGGTGGTCGACGCCATGGTGTTTTGCCGGAGGAGATAATAAGAAGAAAAAGGCTTTCGAGTTCGAGAAGATAAAACCGAAACCAGAGGAAAATAAAATAAAAATCCCGACTTTATTTTTGGTAGCTCAGGGTTTGTTCAAGCTCTTAACCAGTGATTTAACGCCACGTCACCTGACAGTTTTGCGCTTTGTAATTAGTTTGGTCTGAATTTTTGGGAATTAGTCACAAACTTTAAACACATTGAAAATCACATTGTGTTACAAACTGATGTCCATTCAAACTCTCAAAATGGCCCCATTTGAAAGGCTAAAGAAAAATCTAAAAACACAAACCAAAACCAACATACATAGACAAGTCTGAACGAAACCAAAACCAAGCTCAAATTCAGATTTGAAAAAAAACTCATCAACTACTTTGTAGTCCAAGCAGTCTCTAGAAAAGACTAAATTGTTGAAAAAAATTAAAAGAAGAAAAAAGCTTAGAACATGCATGAGATCTAGCAAAAGCATATCCCACATAAAATCTCTCCTTTCATGTGTACCCTCTTGGCTCTTGCTCTTATTCTGGAACAGGAACTAGACTTGGAACGTACACATTGCAAGATATATATTCAAACCATCCACGTCTTCCTTTCAAATGAACATGTTCTTTGACCTCACCCTCCTCACTCAACTCGTAAACATTGGTGTAAATAACATTATCCTCGACATGCTCGCACCATAACATGATCTTCTTGGTCTTGAGGATGAACGTTCTTGGATAATGGTCATGGAAACTGGAGCTTACTAGTGAGGGATCAGTGGTAGATACATCAAAGTACTTGCTCCACGAGACAACCCCATCATCATCACCCACCTTGCTTGTAACCCACACTTCAAACTTGAGATGTTTATGTTGTTGTAACAAAGCAAGCCTGTCTCCTCCATAACTTGACAAGACTAGTTTCTCATCAGAACTCGCACAGATTCCATTTGGAACACAACATATGGGTTTGAATGTTTCTGTGGAAAAATCAAAACTTTGGATCAAGGTTTGGACTTTGTTGTCAGCCATCTTCTTTCGAGCAATCCAATACACGTTTCCATTCATAGACACGTGTTTCCACGGCGGAGAGCATTCGAGAGTTGCATTGACACTTGTCCAGAATTTAGACTTGAACTCATACACCTCGATATCTGTTGATTCCCTTTGGAACACGGCGACATTGATTCTCAAGATCTTGTAGTTGTCACGGGATACATTGTCGTATCCGAAACCGTAAACATCAGAATATTCGTAAGAACTCGAAGGTTCGATCCAATTGACTCGGCTCAAGACCGGGTTCCAAACCGCGAGCTTTGTACTTGTATCACCAATGCTACCTCTCTCAATACACCTACATAACAACAGTCCATCGCAGTGATTCGTTTCCACAATATTATAACTGTGTAAAGCTTCTGGCTTTGGTACAGATAAGAGAGCTTTGGCCTCCAGATTTAAGAGTTGAATCGATTTTTGATCAAATGCTATGATTCCTTCCTTGGAGAGATCCAAGTGTTTGTAAATGAATCTCTTGTGGTTAAAAAGAGCGTACCATTGTTTGCTTACGGATTTGAATCGTACCAATGAGTTGATGGGAGTTCTGTGAAGTATCTCTTCTACTAACTCAAAAGGCAGCAACGACGGCGAAAGCTGCTTTGATGAATTCATGGAGAAAAAGAAGAAGAGAAAACTAGGTCAAATGAGAAAAAAAAAACCCTAAATATTGATTAATTGGAAAAAAAGGAGAAACACGGATTCGACGACGTATTATCTGTTCGAAGTTTTAAAGAGTTATTTTTACTTTATACTGGTTAAAATTAATATTGTAATAAACAATTCATTAATACAAATTATATTAAACATCAGAAAGAAAAAAAAAAGTTTGAAACTTTAAAATGAGGTCCAGAGGTGCAGATTTCTACAAATTTTTGGAGGCTAATAGGCTTATAAGATTTTTTTTTCCAAAAACGGTGCAAGAAGAAATATTCATGGTAGGTTCTTTGTAGAACAGTTTAATTATCTGTTAAAAGCTGATTGAAACTACATAATATCGTCCATTTTCAGATTTTAAAATATCTGCAAAGCTAGAAAAAAATCATCAACTAATTTTGTACTCTAAACAATCTCTGCAAATGTCTAACCGTTGAAACATAAAATTATATAAATAGAAATGCAGAGTACATCTTATAGATTAAAGAATTAAAAGCTTAGAACATGCATGGAATCTAGCAAAAGCAACCCTCACAAGTCTCTTTTATGTCTACTTTCTTCCTCTTATTCTGGAAGAGAAACTAGACTTGGCACATACACATTGCAAGCTCTATCATCACCCCATCTTGGAACAGTCACATGGCAAGCACTATCACCTGGTCTTGTAAACTCAACTTGTTTTTTGATCTCACCCTCACCACCCAATTCATAGAAAGTGATGTATATATCTTTCTTCTTGACACGCCTTTCCTCGCACCATAACATGATCTTACTCTTACCGGTCTTGAGGATGAAGTTTGTTCGAAAATCGGAGAATAGTATCAGGGGATCAGGAGTTACATTGAAGTACTTGCTCCAAGAGACAATCCCATCATCAGTCAACTTGCTTGTAACCCACACTTCAAACTTCACACATTCAGGTCGTTGTAACAAAGAAAGCCTATCTCCTCCGAAACCTGACAAGACTATCGTGGTACTACTCCAACGCGAACAATCAACTCCATCTGGAATACAACATATTGGCTTGAATGTTTCTGTGGAAAAATCAAAACTCTGGATGAGCAGTTCGATTTGGAAGTCATTTATCTTCTTTTCAGCAATCCAATACACGTCTCCATTCATAGACACAGCTCCCCTCAGTGAATCCCAGTCGAGAGTAGCATTAACACTTCTCCAGAGCTTAGACTTAAACTCATATATCTCAACCTCTGGTGATAATTTGCCTTGACCATCACACTTGGTATGGATCCTCAAGATCTTGTAGTTGTCACGGGATACATTGTCGTATCCAAAACCGTAGAATTCACCAGTTTTGTAAGGACTCGAAGGTTCGATCCACATGACTCGGTTCAAAACCGGGTTCCATACTGCGAGCTTTCTTGTTTTACCATACAAATAACCATCGAACCGATTCTCAACCCGTTTCTCAATACACTTACATAGCAATAATCCGTCGCAGTGAATCGTTTCTCCAATAGTATACTCGTGTAACTCGTCTGGGGTTGGTAGAGATAACAGAGCTTTCGGCTCTACATTGAGGAGCTGAAAGGACTTTTGATCAAATCCTATAACTCTTTCTTTGGAGAGATCCAAGTGTTTGTACATGAATCTCTTGTCGTTGAAGAAAACATACCATTGTTTGCATACGGATTTGAATCTGCACACAGATTCCAACGGAATCCGGTATAGTATCTCTTCTACTAAATCAGAAGGCAGCACCATTAGCGACGAACCCTGCTTTGATGAAGAAAAATATATTTAGAAAACTAGGTCACGAAGAGAAAACAAAAAGGGGTTCTCTTGTATACTCTAGATAATATACCTTTGAGATTTCTAAAGAAAAAGCGGTGGGCCCGCTAACTCAATGAGGCCCAAACTCAATGAACCAATAAAAAAAAGAGGTTCTAGGTTTGGTTTTCTTCTATGACAGACATGTTTGTATTTGGTGCTTTCTGTCTAGGTAAAGAGCACATTGTCCGGTTACATGTACCTAGGCTTTTCTTTTCCTTACTGTATAGTACTATTGTATATTCAAACCAAAACCAAGCTCAATTTCAGATTTATATTCAACGCAAAACTAGAAAAACTCATAAAATAAATATGTACTCTAAAACAGTAATTAAGTCTCCACAATATTTTAAATGTTGAAACATTAAATTATATAGATAAAGAACAAGAAAGACAAAAAAAACTTGGAACATGCATGAAATCTAGCAAAAAGCAACCTTCACAAGTCTCTTTTATGGGTACAATCTTCCTCTTATTCCGGAACAGGAACTAGACTTGGAACATACACACTGCAAAAGCTATGATGACCCGATCCATATCGTCTTGTCATCTTAACTTGTTTGATCTCACCGTCATCACCCATTTCGTAGACATCGGCGTAGATATCTGTCTTCCTGACATCTATTTCTTTCATACAATAACATGATCTTATTGTTCTTGAGGATGAAAGCTGTTAGAAAACTGGAGCTTACGATTGAGGGATCATGCCGGAGAGATACATTAAAGTACTTGCTCCACGAGACAATCCCATCATCAGTCACCTTGCTTGTAACCCACACATCAATCTTCACATGTTCATGTCGTTGTAACAAAGAAAGCCTATCTCTTCCGAAACCTGACAAGACTAATGTATTATGATCAGAACTAAACCACTCAACTCCATCTGGAACACAACATATGGTCTTAAATGTTTCTGTGGAGAAATCAAAACTTTGGATGAACTTTTTGTTTTTGTTGTCAACCGTTATCGTCTTTTGAGAAATAAAATACATGTCTCCATTCAAAGACACAGCTCCCGACGGTGGACAGCATTCGAGAGTAGCATTGACACTTCTCCAGAGTTTAGACTTAAACTCATATATCTCAATCTCTAGTGATTTGGCCTTCTTATAAGTAAAGTCAGTATAATTGATCCTCAAGATCTTGTAGTTGTCACGGGATACATTGTCGTATCCAAAACCGAAGAAATCAAGAATTTGGTAAGACCTCGAGAGTTCGATACATTTAACTCGTCTCAAGACCGGATTCCAAACTGCGAGCTTTCTTGTTTCATGACCATCCTTACGTATCTTAACAAAGCTAAATAGTAATAATCCGTCGCAGTGGATCAATATACAATTGTGTAACACGTCTGGCTTTGGTAGACTTAAGAGAGCTTTCGGCTCCACATTAAAGAGCTTAAACGATTTATGATCGCTTAGCATGAATCCTTCTTTGGAGTGATCTAAGTGTTTGTAGAAGAATATCTTGTCGTTGAAGAGAGCGTACCATTGTTTGCTTACCGATTTGAATCGGAACAAAGCTTCTATCGGAGTTCTTTGAAGTATCTCTTCTACTAACTCAAAAGGCAGCGACGACGCCGAAATCTTCTTTGATGGAGCCATGGAGAAAAATCAGAAATCTAGGTCATTATGAGAAAATAAAAACTCCTTTTTGTAGTTTGTAATTGATTTACTGAAAAAATACAACTTGAATTAAATAATATCCCTTTTAATAAGAAAAAAGATCTGATAATATTAATAAATACTCTAAATTTATTTATATTTGCAAATTGAAAAATGTAATAATAATGTGATCTTGATTACTAAATTTATCAGATTTTTTAGAGAGAAGCTCCTCCCATTACATGATTTCGTCAGTGTCCGTGGCTTTTGAAAAAGTCTGCTATGGAGAATCTATACAGTATACTCAATGTATTGGGCATATGTATATTAGCTCTAGCCTCTAATATGTATTTAGGTCAAGAGATGTACTTTACATAGTTTGTATATAAAGGCATTGCCTTGTATCGTAATCAATAACAAAACCCTTTACACCGCTATGGTTTCATGACACAATGGCTTCAAGAAAGAGAGCTATTGAGATTGACTTGCTATGCATGTGTAGCAAGAAAGACCTTCATTGGTTTTTGCTTGAATTATTTTCGAAGCTGAGTTGTCTGAGTCTGACACTAGACGCAATGCTATTAGTTCGAAATGGAGTTAATCTAAATCTAGATTCTAGACTGTATGCGATCTAACAAAAGAAGAAAAAAGAAGAAAAAAACTTACAACACGCATGAGACCTAGCAAAAGCATATTCTAATTTTGTACTCTACGTCTAAAAAATCTCTACAAACGTCTAACCGTTGAAACATTAAGATTTTATAAATAGAAATGAAGAGTATATCTGATAGATAAAATAAACAAAATGCTTGGAACTTGCATGAAATCTAGCAAAAGCAACCCTCCCAAGTCTCTTTTTATGTCTACTTTCTTCCTCTTATGGTTGAAGAGGAACTAGACTTGGAACATACACATTGCAAGATCTATCATCACCCCATGTTGGAACATATCCATCGCAAGAAGTATCACCACCTGGTCTTGTAAACTCAACTTGTTTTTTTATTTCACCCTCACCACCCAATTCATAGACAGTGGTGTAAATATCTTTCTTCTTGAGACGCCTTTCCTCGCACCATAACATGATCTCACTCTTCCTGGTCTTGAGGATGAAGTTTGTTCGAAATTTGGAGATTAATATCAGGGGATAAGGAGTTAGGTTAAAGTACTTGCTCCACAAGACAATCCCATCATCAGTCAACTTGCTTGTAACCCACACTTCAAACTTCACATGTTCATGTTCTTGTAAGATAGAAAGCCTATCTCCTCCGTAACCTGACAAAGCTATCGTAATCCTATCTCCTCCGTAATCTGACAAGGGTGTCGTAATCCTATTACTCAAACGAGAATAATCAACTCCATCTGGAACAGAACATATTGGCTTGAATGTTTCTGTGGAAAAATCAAAACTCTGGATGAGCAGTTCGGTTTTGTAGTAACCAATATTCTTTTCAGCAATCCAATACACGTCTCCATTCATAGACACAGCTCCCCCCAGTGGATACCAGTCGAGAGTAGCATCAACACTTCTCCAGAGCTTAGACTTAAACTCATATATCTCTGGTGATGATTTGCCTCCATAACCATCAGACTTGGTATGGATTCTCAAGATCTTATAGTTGTCACGGGATACATTGTCATATCCAAAACCGTAGAACTCACGAGCTTTGTAAGGACTCGAAGGTTCGATCCATATGCCTTGGCTCAAAACCGGGTTCCAGACTGCGAGCTTTTTAGTTGTAGTTGCCTCATCATATAAATAACGAGGTGTATAACCATTGGACCGATTCTTAAACCGTTTTCGTTTATCAATACACTTACATAGCAATATTCCGTCGCAGTGAATCGTTTCTTCAATAGTATAATTGTGTAACTCGTCTGGGGTTGGTAGAGATAACATAGCTTTCGGCTCCACGTTGAAGAGCTGAAAGGACTCTTGATCCAATCCTATAATTCGCTCTTCGGAGAGATCCAAGTGTTTGTAGGTGAGTTCCTTGTCGTTCAAGAAAGCGTACGGATTTGAATCTTCCCACTGATTTGATCGGAACCCGGTATAGTATCTCTTCTACTAACTCAAAAGGCAGCATCAGCGACGAACGCTGCTTTGATGAAGTCATGGATGAACAAAATAATAATCAGAAAACTAGGTCACGAAGAGAAAACAAAAAGGTTTCTCTTGTACCCTAGATTTTGATTACCTAGAAGAAAAAGAGAGTCAACAAATTTAATGGAAAAAGAGAAAATTTGTAAAAATATTACCAAAACTTTTGGCATTTTGAAAACTATTCCATTTTTTTTTTCGGATTTTTTTTTGTAAAATATTAGCAAAATCCACACTCAAAATATCTTTATATATAAAAATCATTTAAAAAAATAATAAAATATGCTTTGAGATTTCTAAAAGAAATAGGCAAAAAGCGTTTGTGTAAAGAACCCGCATGCTGACGTGGACGTTTGTGGAACAGAATATTGTCATTTGAAAAATAGTCCTGGTGTCTTTCAAAATTTGAAGGTTTGTCGACATAGAAGAATCAAAGTGTGATATGGATATTGGTGAAAAATGAGAACGAAAGTCAATGAATCATTTGGGAACTTGTGGCAAAAAATTTGTCAACTCAAGCGAAGATGATTAGGCTTTTCTTTTCATTACTGTATAGTAGTATTGTATATTCAAACCAAAACCAAGCTCAATTTCAGATTTATGTTCTCCGCAAAACTAGAAAAACTCATAAAATAAACTTGTATACTCTAAAACAGTGAGTCATGATTGTTAGGGTATAGTATACAATTAAAGAAGTCGAAAAAACCACCATTAAGATTGTGTCATGATTGTTAATGCACACCAAATTATTAGTTTTCTCATCTATAGATTTTACGATATTCATTCCACTAGTAATAATATTGTTTATCTTCACTGTATATACAGAACACGAAAACCAAGCTCAATCAACTAATGTTGTACTGTATATTCTCTGAAAAGGATTAACTGTTGCCAAAAATCATCATATAAATAGAACTGCATAGTATATATGTCAGATAGAAAAAGAAGACGAAGAAGAAGAAAAACAAATAAAAAAGCTTAGAACATGCATGAAATCTAGCAAAAAGCAACCCTCACAAGTCTCTTTTATGGGTACAATCTTCCTCTTATTCTGGAACAGGAACTAGACTTGGAACATAGACACTGCAAAAGCTATAATCACCCGATCTAAATCGTCTTGTCATCTCAACTTGTTTTTTGATCTCACCCTCATCACCCATTTCGTAGACATTGGTGTAGATATTCCTGTCATCTTTTTCTTCGTACAATAACATGATCTTATTGAGGATGAAAGCTGTTAAGAATATGGAGCTTACTTTTGAGGGATCATGCCGGAGAGATACATCAAAGTACTTGCTCCACGAGACAATCCCATCATCAGTTAACTTGCTTGTAACCCACACATCAATCTTCACATGTTCATGTTCTGTTAATAAAGCAAGCCTGTCTTTTCCGAAACCTGACAAGAAGACTATTTTACCAGAACTCACATAAATTCCATTTGGAACACAACATATGGGCTTGAATGTTTCTGTGGAAAAATCAAAACTTTGGATGAACATTTCGTTTTTCTTGTCAACCATCTTCTTCTTTTGAGAAATCCAATACATGTCTCCATTCAAAGACACAGCTCCATACGGTGGATAGCATTCGAGAGTAGCATTTACACTTCTCCAGAGTTTAGACTTAAACTCATATATCTCAATCTCTGGTGATTTGGCCTTCTTATAATTGATCCTCAAGATCTTGTAGTTGTCACGGGATATAAATAACAGAATTTCGTTCACGAGTTTCGTTCTCATTTCTTGCACCAATAGCCATCTCAAATGTTATATTTCGTACTCTTTTATGTATACTTTCTTCCTCTTATTGTGGAAGAGGAACTAGACTTGGAACAAACACATTGCAAGATCTATCATCACCCCATGTTGGAACAATTATTTGTTTTGTCAAAAATGCTGGAACATACCCATCACAAGAACTATCATAACCCCATGTTGGAACATACTCATCGCAAGAACTATCACAACCTGGTCTTGTAAACTCAACTTGTTTTTTGATCTCACCCTCACCACCCAATTCATAGACAGTGGTGTAAATATCTTTCTTCTTGAGACGCCTTTCCTCGCACCATAACATGATCGCACTCTTCCTGGTCTTGAGGATGAAGTTTGTTCGAAATTTGGAGATTAATATCAGGGGATTAGGAGTTAGGTTAAAGTACTTGCTCCACGAGACAACCCCATCATCAGTCAACTTGCTTGTTACCCACACTTCAAAATTCAAATGTTCATGTCGTCGTAACAAAGAAAGCCTATCTCCTCCGTAACCTGACAAGGCTATCGTAATCCCATCTCCTCCGTAACCTGACATGGCTGTCATAATCCTATTACTCAAACGAGAATTAGCAACTCCATCTGGAACACAACATATTGGCTTGAATGTTTCTGTGGATAAATCAAAACTCTGGATGAGCAGTTCGATTTTGTAGGTATCCATCTTCTTTTCAGCAATCCAATACACGTCTCCATTCATAGACACAGCTCCCCCAAGTGAATACCAGTCGAGATCAGCGTTAACACTTCTCCAGAGCTTAGACTTAAACTCATATATCTCTGGGGATGATTTGCCTTTATAACCATCAGGCTTAATATGGATCCTCAAGATCTTGTAGTTGTCACGGGATACATTGTCGTATCCAAAACCGTAGAATTCACCAGTTTTGTAAGGACTTGAAGTCGAAGGTTCGATCCATATGACTTGGCTCAAAACCGGGTTCCATACTGCGAGCTTTTTAGTTTTAGTTGTCTCACCATATATATAACGAGGTGTATAACCATTGGACCGTTTCCCAATACACTTACATAGCAATAATCCGTCGCAGTGAATCGTTTCTTCAATAATATAATTGTGTAACTCGTCTGGGGTTGGTAGAGATAACCGAGCTTTCGGCTCCACGTTGAAGAGCTGAAAGGACTTTTGATCCATTCCTATAATTCCTTCGTCGGAGAGATCCAAGTGTTTGTAGGTGAATCCCTTGTCGTTGAAGAAAGCGTACCATTGTTTGCATACGGATTTGAATCTGCACACTGATTTGATCGGAATCCGGTATAGTATCTCTTCTACTAACTCACAAGGCAGCACCATTAGCCACGAACGCTGCTTTGATGAAGTCATAGAGAAAAAGAAGAAGAGAAAACTAGGTCAAAAAGAGAGAACAATAGGTTTCTCTTGTACCCTAGATATGGATTACAAGAAAAAGAGAGTCAAAAAATTTAATTGAAAAAGAGAAAATTTGTAAAAAATAATACCAAAACTTTGGCAATATAAAAAATGAAAAAAATGTAAAATTTACCAAAAGGTCGAAAACCCCAACTCAAAATATCTTTGTAACTAAAAATCCTTTAAAAAAAACGAAAGATGTGCTTTGAGATTTCTAAATAAAACAGTCTGTAGAAAGATACCCGCAAGCTGAAGTGGATCTTTGTGGCGGATCTTTGTGGAACAGAATATTACATTTGGGATGGCTATTGGTGCAAGAAATGAGAACGAAACTCAATGAATCATTTGGGAACTTGTGCCAATAAGTGGCTTGGGAAACTTTGTCATCAACACTTCTCCAATAGTTTTGCGTCTCTGTTTTTACAGTTATTGCCACTCTTAAGGTTGGGGAATTCATTATTTTTTTGAGATGAAAACCACAAATCTGCTAGTTCTTTATAGAGTTTTATAGAGTATAGTATACAATTAAAGAAGCCGAAAAAACCACCATTAAGATTGTGTCATGATTGTTAACTAGGATTTAACCCGCACAAATATGCGGGACAAACAATTTTAAAATATTATAAAGAAATTAGTATAGTTTTTATTGTTTGTAAGAAGAAATTAGTAAGATTTCAGAAGTTTATAGATTATAATTAAATTAATGTGGTGATTTGCTTATGATTATGATTTAGTAATCGGAAAAGAGCTGGTCATTTTGTGATAAAGTATATATTTTGTACTGTTATATTAAATTTGGTAATATACTTTAAACATTAAAAGATAGTCACAATAACACTCAAATCTGAATATAAACATGATTGTTGAATGTTATGATTGTTGAATGTTAAGACAGTAAAACATAAAACTGGTAAAAAAGAACATGAGACATGGAATAACCTAATTCTTTGATCCAACCTGTGTGAATGACAACTATCGACACGTGAAAGAATATTTTTAATATGTAATTGAAAATTATTGTAGGACCAAAAGAAAATTATTTTGACCCTTGAAAAAAATTATTCAATACATCAAATTGATTTAACACGTCAAAAAAGTTATTGACTCTTAAAAATTATGTGACATGTAATCGAAAATCATTCAATTCATAAATTCACCCCGTGAAAGAAACAAATTCAATTCGTGGAGAAAAATTATTTCACACATAAAAGAAAGTTATTCAACCCGTACAACTTATTCACCATATAAACTAAAATTATGTAACCCGTAAAAGGATATTATTGAACGTGCAAAAGAAAAATATTATACCACCTGGAAAAAAATTATTCAATCCTTGTACATTTGGAAATTATTGTACCTCTAAAAGATTATATGCAACCCGTATAACTTATGTGAAAGAAATAAATTAATAAATTCACCCCGTGAAAAAATTATCTAACATGTAATAGAACATTCAATTTATAAATTCACCCCATGAAAGAAAAAAATTAAATTTGTGAAGAAAAATTATTTCACACATAAAATAAAGTTATTCAACCCATATAACTTATTCACCATGTAAACTAAAATTATGTAACCCGTAAAAGGATATTATTGAACGTGCAAAAGAAAAATATTATACCACCTGGAAAAAAATTATTCAATCCTTGTACATTTTGGAATTATTGTACCACTAAAAGATGATATTTACCCCGTATAACTTATGTGAAAGAAACCAATTCATAAATTCACCCCGTGAAAGAAACAAATTCACTTTGTGAAAATATTATCTAACATATAATAGAAAATCATTCAATTCATAAATTCACCACGTGAAAGAAACAAATTAAATTCATGGAGAAAAATTATTTTACACATAAAAGAAAGTTATTCAACCCGTATAACTTATTCACCAAGTAAACTAAAATTATGTAATCCGTAAAAGGATATTACTGAACCTGCAAAATACCCATGGAAAGAATTATTCAATCCTTGTACATTTGGAAATTATTGTACCCCTAAAAGATGATATTCAACCCGTATAATTTATGTGAAAGAAAAAAATTCATAAATTCACCCCGTGAAAAAAAATTATCTAACATGTAATAGAAAATCATTCAATTCATAAATTCACCCCATGAAAGAAACAAATTCATCTAGGATTTAATCCGCACAAATGTGCGGGGCAAACAATTTTTAAAAATTATGAAAGAATTAGTATAATTTTTGTTGTTTGCGAGAAGAAATTAATAAGATTTTATAAATTTATAAGTTTAGAGATTATAATTAGATTAATGTGGTGACTCGTTTATGATTTAACAATTAACGAAATAGAGTTGGTTGTATTCACCTTGTGATAATGTATATTTTGTATTGTTATTCTCAATTTAGTAATATATTATAATAATTAAATCAGAGACTCAGAGTGCCTAATAATACTAAAATCAGAATGTAAACAAAATTATTAAATGTTAAGAGTGTAATACATAAAAACTGGTAAAAAGAATATGAGACATGGAGTAAACTCCCTAATCCCACTTGTGAAAGACATCTGTGGATAAAAATATTATTTGATATATAACTGGAAATTATTGAATCACTAAATAAGATTATTTTAACTCCAGTGTCCAGTTCATGTTAAACCTTTCATGAAGGATTCCTTGGTTTCCACCGTGCATGTGAAATCAGATAACTCAGACCTTGTTTCTGTTTCTTCAACGCTTCCGGCGAGGCTCGAAATCGGATTCCACCAGGTTTGGGAAAACTGAGGTAATAACATTTACCTAATGCCAAGTCTCTCTTCCGAAACAACCTTTCGATAATTTCTTCTCGATTGTAAAACAGTGACTTTTGTCTTTCTGCAGCCGAGACCTGTTTTGTAGAATCCTTTAAAAAAGTTCATCCCTGATTTCTTGTTTGAAAGTCAAAAGAAAAGGACATTTGACATCTTTTTATTTTCTGTGTAATAAGACAACCTACAGATCACACCCGAGAAATCAATCTCCACCTGCTTCAGAAAACGACTTTACCTCACCCAGTTTCTTTATCGAATCAATTTATCAGTTTCTTCTTAATGTGCATAATCGCAAAGTTTAACATTTGCTTTCAATTTATGCAGCTTCTCACATGATTCAAAGCTTAACTCCACTGATGAGGGTGTTTATATCTGCATTTCTCTACTCAGCTTTCTTCACGGTGAATCCTCTGAATTCTCAATTCCTGTTAGATTTAAGAGACGGAAGATGAAACCTTACGTCGTCTTGTTTTTTCTATTCAACTGATTTGCTTCTTAGCTATTTTGTATCACCTAAAAACCACGCTTATCTTTTCTTGTGTGTTCTTTTTTTTTTGGTCAAAGTTCTTGTTTCGTCTTGAAATTAAAAATTGGTGTTAGAGTGTTAGTGTGTTAGAGAATCAGTAGTTTAATAAACAATGTTGTTGATGGAGGCTTAGACAGCATCTCATCATTAAGTTTACTTAGTTTTTGATCTTTTGAATCAAGGCCTTTTCTCTAGTAGACAAACATTTAGGCTAAAAATCTAGAACACTTCATTATGAAAAAATGAATTGCAGAAAGCCTTAGAATCAAAGAAATCAAAGAAAATAGGTTGATGTCTAGTCTAGTCCCTCTCTTTGTCTTGCTTTCTTTTGCCTTATATTCAGTCCTCTAACAACTTAATCTTCTTAGCCCCCCTCTCCTCCTCCAAAGTCTTCTCTAATTTAATGGCTTCTTTGATGTAGATTGCAGGTTAAGTGCATCTCCAAGTTCTTCTTTGCGCATGGATGAAGTGCTGCAAAAGTCGCTGATCATCCTGGACCATAACAGGTAGCTTAGAAATGTGTTGGTAATTGGTTTGGAATTCAAGAACGAGCTTCTGGTTTCTTATCCATTCATGATTTCCCCTAAAATGAATACAATCAAAACAAAAGGTAATTAGTAAACATGAAATATATAAGAGGGAAAACATGTCTTCATTACCTCAATGTCTGATAGAATGATTCTTATTGTCTCTCCTTTACTAATTGGGTATTGCTTCCATAGGTGCAAACGCTTCACTTGAATTCTCCACGCGGTTTTGAATGGGTTCACGACCTTCTTGGAAAGCGTAACCCGAAGAACATTGGCCATGATTCTACTTTCTTTTCCATTTCTTGCAAATTGTGAGGTATGTACTCATATGTCTCACGTTTACCATGTATTTATACAGTTTAAGAGATTTTTCATTAGGTTTAAAATCATTTAATTTCGAATATACTTGATGAGCTAAGATTACGCAATTTCATATCTGAAATGGTATATATCTGTTACCAGTAGATTCATGTTAGCATAATTCTTGTTATTGAATTTTGAAAATTTGAAAGTACCATATATTTAGGAATATCTCTACTTAATTGTTTGGATTGGGGATATTCACCGGCTCTAATTAGATTCCGTTTTTGACGGTGTAATATTTATTGGCAATTAGATATTTTCCATATTTATTGGCCTCAATTTATTTTCCGATTATGTTGATCTTTTTAATTATCACACTGATTTCGGTTCAGTATCTTCCATATAAACAATTGCCCGGTTCAATTTAAGTTTAAGAAGGTCCGCGTGGGTCGGGTTTTTTTCAAGCGAATTGAGTGGACTCGCTCAACTCGGTACTTTTAACCCGGAATTGGCCCTCTTAAATCTGTTTCCAAACACTTTTTGGTCGTGATTGCAATGGTATTTTTCGTAATAAAAAGGTTTTTTTTGGGTATCTCTAAAAATGTACGTCTACAATAATATATTAGAGATGCACACCAAATTATAAGTTTTCTCATCTATAGATTTTACGATATTCATTCCACTAGTAATAATATTGTCTATCTTCACTGTATATACAGAACACGAAAACCAAGCTCAATCAACAAATGTTGTACTGTATATAGTCTACCATATGCTCTGAAAAAGATTAACTGTTGCCAAAAATAATCATATAAATAGAAATGCATAGTATATATGTCAGTATAAAAAGAAGACGATAAAGAAGGAAAACAAATTAAAAAGCTTAGAACATGCATGAAATCTAGCAAAAAGCAACCCTCACAAGTCTCTTTTATGGGTACAATCTTCCTCTTATTCTGGAACAGGAACTAGACTTGGAACATAGACACTGCAAAAGCTACGATAACCCGATCTATATCGTCTTGTCATCATCTCAACTTGTTTTTTGATCTCACCGTCATCACCCATTTCGTAGACATTGGTGTAGATATCTTTTTTCCTGACATCTATTTCTTCGTACAATAACATGATCTTATTGGTCTTCAGGATGAAATCTGTTAGAAAACTGGACCTTACTTTTGAGGGATCATGCCGGAGAGATGCATTATAGTACTTGCTCCACGAGACAACCCCATCATCATCACCCACCTTGCTTGTAACCCACACTTCAAACTTCACACGTTTATGTTGTTGTAATATAGCAAGCCTGTCTCCTCCGAAACCTGACAAGACGACTCTATTATCAGAGCTCACACAAATTCCATTTGGAACACAACATATGGGCTTGAATGTTTCCGTGGAAAAATCAAAACTTTGGATGAACATTTCGTTTTTCTTGTCAACCATCTTATTCTTTTCAGAAGTCCAATACATGTCTCCCTTCAAAGACACATGTTTGTACGGTGGACAGCATTCGAGAGTTGCATTGACACTTCTCCAGAGTTTAGACTTAAACTCATATATCTCAATCTCTGGTGCTTTGGCCTTCTTATAATTGATCCTCAAGATCTTGTAGTTGTCACGGGATACATTGTCGTATCCAAAACCGAAGACATCAGAGGTTTTGTAAGTACTCGAAGGTTCGATCCATATGACTCGGCTCAAAACCGGGTTCCAAACTGCGAGCTTTCTTGTTTCATGACCATCCTTACATATCTTAGCATAGCTACATAGTAATAATCCGTCGCAGTGGATCATGTTACAATTGTGTAACTCGTCTGGCTTTGGTAGACTTAAGAGAGCTTTCGGCTCCACATTGAAGAGCTTAAACGATTTATGAACGCTTAGCATGAATCCTTCTTTGGAGTGATCTAAGTGTTTGTAGAAGAATCTCTTGTCGTTGAAGAGAGCGTACCATTGTTTGCTTACCGATTTGAATCGGAACAAAGCTTTGATCGGAGTTCTTTGAAGTATCTCTTCTACTAACTCAAAAAGCAGCGACGGCGCCGAAATCTGCTTTGATGGAGCCATGGAGAAAAATCAGAAATCTAGGTCATTCTGAGAAAATAATAAAAATAAACTCCTTTTGGCTTTTTGTAGCTTGTAACTGATTACGGAAAAAAAGTACAACTTTAATTAAAAAATAACCCTTTAATAAGAAAAAATATCGGTTAATTTTATGATAAGATACTCTAAATTTATTTATATTATTAAACTGAAAAAATAAACTAATATCTTTTGCAATTTGATGAATACAAATTTTAAAGGTCTGTGACTCTGTTGGCGACAAGGTTATGCGTTAAACTTGGACATCATCTCTTTCAGGAAAGAATGTAATTTTCTTGAGAGAGAAGCTCCTCCCATTACATGATTTCGTTAGTGGTCGTGGCTTTTGAAAAAAAAGATTGCTATGGAGAAGCTAGCTATCCTCAATGGCTTCAAGAAAGTGCTCTTGAGCTTGAGTTGCTAACTTGCTATGCATGTGTAGCAAACAAGACCTTCATTATTTCTTGCTTGAATTATTTTGTCTTACACTAGACGTAATGATATTATAGTTCGAAATGGAGTTTCCTTGTATAAGTCTTTGAATGCAATTGACAAGAATTGCTGAGAACAATTTTTTGTTCCCTTTTTTTTTCATTAAGGAGGTGAAGCAGATCGGTGTTATGTTTCAGCTTGAAGAAACTGTGAAAGGGTTTGTTCGCAACATTTAAGCATAAAGTCACTTCATATTCTTGTTTATCCCAAGATACCAGTTCAACTATTACAAGGCATTAAGCATAAAGTCACTTCAACTATGGAAATGCATAGTACATATGTCTGATAGAAGAAGAAAAATAAAAAGCTTAGAACATGCATGAAATCTAACAAAAGCAACTCTCGTATACGTCTCTTTTATGTCCTCTTATTCTGGAACCGGAACAAGACTTGGAACAAACACACAAGACACACAAGGTTTTTCGTAATCATCCCATCTAGCTCGTTCTGTCATCTCAACTTGTTTCTTGGTCAGACCCTCAACACCCATTTCGTAGACATTGGTGTAGACATATCTCTCATCGACATCCTCACACCATAACAAGATCTTATTGGTCTTGACGACGAGGTATTTCGAACAACATCTATTAAAGAGACTGGGGCTTAATGTTGGGGGATCAGGGATAGATACATTAAAGTACTTGCTCCACGAGACAATCCCATCATCAGTCACCTTGTTTGTAACCCACACATCAATCTTCACATGTTCATTTCGTTGTAACAAAGAAAGCCTCTCTCTTCCGAAACCTGACAAGACTAATGAACTATGATCAGAACTAAACCACTCAACTCCATCTGGAACACAACATAGGGTCTTGAATGTTTCTGTGGAGAAATCAAAACTTTGGATGAAGATTCTGGAGTTGACCCAATACATGTTTCCATTCATAGACGCATATGTCCACGGGGGCTCGCATTCGAGAGTAGCATCAACGACAACACTTCTCCATAGCTTAGACTTGAACTCATATATCTCAACCTCTGATGATTTGCCTTTGATTTTAAAAACGTCTTTGTTGCTGATCCTCAAGATCTTGTAGTTGTCACGGGATACATTGTCGTATCCAAAACCGTAGACATCCAGATTTCTGTAAGGATTCGAGTGTTCGATCCATTTCACTTGACTCAAAACCGGATTCCAAACTGCGAGCTTTCTACTACCATAGCAACTACCTTTCTGCAAACACTCACATAGCAACAATCCGTCGCAGTGGAACGTTCTCAAAACGTTACAATTGTGTAACTCGTGTGGGGTTGGTTGTAATAAGAAAGCTTTGGTCTCAGGATCTGAGAGTTGAAACGACTTTTTATCAACTAGCATGATTCGATCCTTGGAGAGATCCAAGTGTGTGTACATGTATCTCTTCCTGTCGTTGAAGAGAGCGTACCATTGTTTGCTTACCGATTTGAATCGTAACAAAGCTTCGATCGGAATCCTGTATAGTATCTCTTCTACTAACTCGTAAGGCAGCTTCAACGACGAATACTGCTGCTTTCTCGAAGCCATGACCAAAACTTTTCTAGAAACCTAGGTCACAACGCGAAAGCGTAAACAGAAGTGTTCCTTTTGTACCCTAATCGATTACTTGGAAAAAAAGTCAACTTTATATTTATTTTTCAAAAATAATACAGAAATCATTTTTTGAAAAGAAAGATGCTTTGAGGTTTAAAAAAAAATGATATTATTATTATTAACACCACAACAAACATGGCTTTTGGCCTTCACTAAAATATGTGTAAGTCGTTAAATCAAATCCCAAATTTGTGCAACAATACCAATAAACTTTTGGCCAACCATAAAACCAAAAAAAAATCACAGTTTAGATTGATTTACAACAGCAATGAATTTGAACAGAGATAAACAGTGCATGTATACAACAATAAATAAAAGTTTATTTACAAAACCATCCATCTCTATTCGATTTACTTCTTCTTTATTTCCTGGGCCATAGCCATAGGCCCAACTCTTAATCAAGATCGATTCTGTTAGATTGCTGTTTTTGTTAGCTGTTCGAAGCTGTACCATAGCTTCCGTGAGTCAGACATAAATCCAGCTAAATGAACGGTCGTGATCTCGCTGTAGAATCTTCTGTTGTCCACGTCACAAACCTATAATTTATTATTTTATTTCGAAAGGTTTCTTCTTTCTTCTCCTTCTTGGTCAAGTCTTCAAAGCTAAGCCAATCTCTCTCTCTTCTCTCTCTCTCCTTGTGAATCAAATCAATGGTGAGTAGTTGCGAGCTTTGCTGCGAGGTCATAATCGCGATCCTTCTTCCTCCTCTCGGCGTTTGTCTCAGACATGGCTGCTGCACTGTAAGTTCTTCTCTCTCGAATTCATCGGATTGAGAATTGGGATCTCTAATAAAGAAACTGAGAGAATCGTAGCTTACTTTCTGGATTTGACCGGAAAGGAACAGTTTTTACTTGGGAAACTGAATCACAGAATCCGTATAAGATTGAAATTGATTACTATTTTTGCGTTCCTGTTTTCTGGGAATCGTTGTTGACACAGATCAATTGATTCAATTACTGTTCGATTGGATAGAGACCTTTATATTGGTGGTGTTTCCTAAATAAGACAATAATGAAAGGACTAGAAAACAAAAAAAAATTGATTTTTTGTTTGTTTCTGTCTCACAAGTCATGATGATTCTTGTTTATATTTGCAGGTTGAGTTCTTCATATGTTTGATCCTCACTATATTAGGATACATTCCTGGAATAATCTATGCAATCTACGCGATCTTGTTCCTGAACAGAGATGATTACTATGATGAATACAGACGCCCAATCTACTATGTTGCTTGACCCATGATATATATTCTTGTTGTCAAGTTTTGGTGTTTCATTCTTCTTAAGAACATATATTGTATTCTTTAAAAAGTGAGATTACTGTATTTTATTACGTGGTTTGTGTGTATACGTTACAATATAAACCTGTTGGGTTATGATTTATCAACCCTTGTTTACACTTCTATGCCGGCTTTTATTTTCCTCGAATGCAAAAATGTATTCGCTCGACAAGAGCCAAGAGATATATATGTGTCACTAAACAGTTTGTCACCGTATTACAATCATATGAATGTGATGTGGTGCGCACACTTTTATGTCATATGAAACCTATAAAAATAAAAATAAACAATTTATCAGTTACGCTTTACAGACCAGGAAGATTAGGACAAGATAAGTAAGTTAACAAAGTGAAAAGACGAAGAAAACACTCGCTTACTTTGGAAAATAACAACAGAGATTTTTTAATAGTGTTTTATCATTTAGAACGTGGAGAAAATCAACAGCACGGAACTAAGAAGAGCAGTTCCAAAACTAAAGGAGCTCAACAGAGGAGAGCGATGGTTTGATGATGATGGGATGAAGATAGGAATGATTCCTTTTCTTCTAACGAAAATGTGAAGGTTGTTGTTGCCGCCGGTGCCGTGTTCAATAAGTTTCCGATCATCATTTTGATCTGACAAAATAGGATGACATTGAATTATTAACAAGAAGATGACCAAGAAGCAACAACACACCACTAAAGATCTCATCTCTCTTCTAAACGCTTAATTGAATTTAAACACTGTTTCTGAAACTGAAAGCAAAAGGTTTATGAAAAAGAACATCCACTTGGGATGGAAATTTATAATCCCTTGGTGGTAGGTACTTCATTAGTTAAGCATGTTTATTTCTAAACCATAAATTAACATAACTCAATTAGAGATAAGGTTTTTTGTATTTCGAGTTGTGAGTGGCAAAGATAATATTTTGTTTAAGGACTGTTTTAGCCTTTTAGGTCATATCTTATTTTTTATATGGAATTCTTAATATCTTCCCTCTTCTTTATCTTTTCTAAATGGTTTTGTGGTCTCGCAAACGTTGACTCTGGAATTGTTATTTCGTAAATGAATTTTGTAGATTATTCACGTCAACGATTAAGGTTTTTACTTTGAGAGAGTTGTATTGAACATTTGTCAACTTTGTGCACGCCACATTTGCATCTTTGTCAACTTTAACCAGCACGTTTACTCCTAATAACATATGATCGTAGGTTGAAAATTGTAGCAAATGGTACAAATTCTGGCAAATCTCCAAGACTCTTAAGCATAAGATCATAATCAACAAATGTATATTTTTTCTGTTCTCATCCTGAAATGTTCAAAACTCAAGATGAACGAAAAAATTAAACTACAATAAACAAGAAAAAAAAGTAACAAAACTGAGCCCAAATCTTCCAAAGTATATATGATATAAACTCAAAATTTTGTATAAGAAAAAATTATTCCAGACTACTCAAGAAAAACGTTTTCAACACTTCGCCGGCGAGAACAAATATTACTTTTCAGAGCAAACTACGGCAAGCCTCCACTTCCGCCGCCTGAGAATCCAACAGAGACTGTCCCGACGAACTCTCGGTAACGCTCTTCATCACTGCATCAAGCACAGTTTTCCTCAAATACTCATCTTCCATCTTCTTGAGAACTTCTTTCACAAGCTCAAAGTCCAAGATTTCAGCTGAGACAAGCTTCCCAAGAATCTCTCCAAAGCTGCTTGGTGCTTTCGGCAGATCGATTCCAATGTCATCCAACATAGCACCGTACAGCAAACAACCCGAACCGACGTCTTTCTGAGTCAGAGCATTCTTTGAGATCAGATGTTCCAAGAGCTCGAAAACCGGTTTAACGAACGGAGGGTTTTTCTCAAGACCGAGTGACACTGCTTCTCTGACGAGCTCCGGGTGGTAAGCTGGACATTTCAGCTCCTCCACGCATTGCAATGCCTCACTCAGTAAACGAACACTGAAATATTCCTCAATCAGCGACTTGGTTTTCCTTTCAAGCTCTTCTGCGTTCATGCTATTAGCTACTGGAGCCACCTGAGCCTGAGCCTGAGGCTGTGCCTGCGGCTTCTCTACAGCTGGAACGGGTTTAGGGGAGGCTTGAGGAGCTGAGCTTGAACCGTTGCTACCTTGCAAAAGCGCGCTTGGCCTACCACCACCGTTGAGGAGGCCTCCACTTCCCTGAGGAAGAAGCCTTGAGTTGACTGAGAATGACTTGTTGATAGCGGGAGGAGGCTGAGCACGCGGCTGCTGCTGCACTGCTTGTTGTCTATTGCCTCTTGGCATGGACCTGGTTCGTGCCATTTCCCAGCCGTCATCATCAATAACCATCTTCCTAGTTCCCGGCATGCCAGGCATCATTCCTCCAGTACCAGGACGTCCAAGGATGTTTCCGTCTGCTGCAGCAGAAACCGCACCGCGGCTGTTATTGTTGTTCCTCATATTCGCCATTGCACCGGGGCGTAACCCAAGGTTCCTCTCTGCCTCTGAATGAATCTCAGTGATTGTTTTGGCTTTCACCTACATAGGTAAGACAACAATACGTAAGCGCAGATCATCAAGATCACAAGATTTTAAGATATGAGAACAGAATGTTAAAAAATTCTTACCTCCTCTCGCCTAGGCACCCAGTTGTTAGCTCTCATGTCAATAACATTCTGGACCATGAATCTGAGACGCAGCTCTATCTGAGGGTGCATTGATACTTCCTTCAACCGTTGGAAGTACCTGTCGTTTATACCTCGAGATCTTTGGTTCTCGTCGAGTTGCTTCCCAATGATTTTGAAAAACTGGCAGAGAGCCTCAACATCTCCTTCTGCTGGACAAGCTTTATTGTCAACTCCTAACAGCTCCTGCATTACAAGACGTTAAGTTCAATAAGCTCTACAAGGAAACAACAAAAAACGATATAAGGTTTCAAACAAACAAGATGGCTCATACAACATACCTGGACCATATAGTGGACTATCTTCTCTGTCACCATCTTTTGCTTGAGAAGCTCTCCAATCAGACGGATGTTTCCTAACGTACGGAGCTTCACAAGTTTCTCCTTGTCCCTTCTTTCCATTTCTTGATCAGGATGGGTCATCTGTTTGATCTCTTCCTTCAATTTGCCAGCACCTTCAAACGCCTCTTGGCAGTTGTTCAAAAGAACTCGTTTGAAAGTGATTTCTTTCCCACCCTCTTCTTCGGGAGGAAACGAAGGGAGCTTGCCGTTGATATCACAGCACAGAAGAGCATACATCTCACAGAATGTTGGCTGAAGTACAGCATTATCAAAGATAAGCTGAATCACTCCCTGCAATCAAAAGGTTAAAGAGAAAATTAACACCATGAAGAGAGAAGCGATAATAACATACAGAACAATTCACATCAGGACTTGTAAAAATACCTTTAGGATATCGGCAGAAGTGATTCCAGCATCGATCAATTGACCTTTGAGTAGCTCGTACTTCTCAGGAGTAAGCTTGTTCAGAATACTGCAGAGAATTATAGTTGTAACGAAATCAGTCACCAAGCACAAAAGCTAAACGAAGACTAGTAATATATCGTTTGACACATACCCTTTAACGCTCTTGAGGACTCTGTCTTTATCTGAAAGAGGTCCTCTTTTAGCTGACCATGCGGACTCAGCTTTCACCAGCACAGGAGGAGGACCAGACTGTTTTCAACAGATGATCATGTTAAGCAACAAGCGATAATAACAACTAGCCAAAACATATGCCACAAAGTAATGTACACTACTTACCATTTGGTTAGACCTGGCATGTGATGTGTTTTGTGAGCCTTCGTCTCTTGACCAATCTTTACCAGGGTTTGCAACCTGGGCGCGAGTATGCCAGTCACGGTTATCAGGCTCGGAGTAACGATGCTGAGGTTGTTGATTTGTTAGCTGATAAAGACACCAAAACAAAGAAGAATTGGATTAAACATACGATTCTAAAGAAGCCTGAAAACTAAAAACAACCAAATCCATAAGGATAAACACTCACTTTACTCTCAGCTCCACGGCCAATCCAGCTCTGCTCTTCGCCGAAAAGCTCGACCGCAATTTCCTTACTGCGTCTCAGAATGTCATCAGAGACTTTGAGTGACTGTAAATCAACAAAACAAAATGGTGAGTGATTTGGTTTCACAAGTACAAAAGCAAAGCCACAAGAATCAGAATTAGCTTAATACCTCTTTGAGCTGAAGCAACTGTTCTCTGGTAAACTTCAAACGTTCACCACCGTCTCCTCTCTGCAAAACATAAAACTTTGTTAGCTCAGTATTCAATTCCACAAGAGAGGAAGAAGAAAAATCAATAAGGCTAAACAGAATATATCTGTAGGTTTCTTCATGAGCTTCTAAAAGCTGATAGAATGCTCACCTAATAGCCTACAAGTATCAATCTTTGTCTATATTTACAGCAAGGTCGCATTACTTAAGCGCCCCACCAAGAATTAAGACATTGCATGACATTCAAAATTAACAACCTAAACCTTAAAAGATCCAAACTTTCTTCAAAACACGATTCAACCCTCAATTAAACAGCTCGTTTAAACTCATAAGTGGCGAGAAAATTAGGGTAAACTCATGAAATCAAATTGAGGATAAACAGAGATTCGAAAAAAGCAAACCTTTGATTCTAACAATCTTAAATCTAAACCCAAAAGATCAAAACTTTGTTCAAAATTCTATTCAGCATCACGGTAACGAATCAAACCCTCAATTGTGTCCGCTTGTATTAACTCAAATAACGTGAAATTGAGAGAAGAAAGGACCCATGGAATCAAATTGAAGAGGAACATGGAGGGAAGGAGAAAAACAGAGGATTGGTGAATTTCAATGTTTTACCTTGACGGAAGAAGTAGTTTCCTCGCCACCGCCATTGGTGAGATCAGAAGAGGAAGAAGAAACAAAACGCGGCACGAAAAACCTGCTTCCGCCGCCGCGGCCGCCACCACCGGGCCTCAAACTCAAAACCGACGATTCACCTTGTTGTTGCATTCTCTGTTCTTGTTGTTGTTCACGATTAGGATTTAGGGATGGGTAATAAAAATCAAAATTTTTAGCAGATAGCAAAAGGGCGATGAATGTATGTATGTAGATGTATATATATATTTTGACGGTGGAGAAGATAAATCACTTCGATTTCTCTTTCTCTTTAGGAGTTTGCAGCTGTGTGTTGCCCTAGTTTCCTTTTTGATGTTTCTCTAGTGTTAATTACGGAAATACCCTCTGTCTTTTTTTCTCTTCTTTTTATTTTTGGTTAAAGAAATTGTCCTCTGTCCCATGTAAATTTTATTTATGTAAATATTTGACGGAGGATTCTATATAGGCATTGAAAGTTTATTTCACATGTGCACTTGCATGCGCAAAGAAGGTCAATGAATTCAAAGATTATAAAAATGGAAGAAAAAAACTTTGACCATAGATCAACTTCAACCTGTTTTGTATGATTGTAGCATTTGCTTGCTGATTTGTTTGGTCTTTTTGTATGATTGTATCATGGGCTTATTTATTATTAGTAATTTAATTGGGCCATTTGTTTTAAACCAGCCCAGTAATCACAAAACTAAACGCCGTCGTTTCATTTCAAGCAATAACTTTGTAAACGGCATCGTTTTGCAATCTCGTGATTTCTGGATAAGAGCTTTCTTCTTGCAGATTCGAAAGGTTTCAAGTGAAGAAGCGCCATGGCTGGGATAACCAGCACCGTTGGATTCAACGCCGTTTTTGCCGGAATCTCCAAAACACTGTCCCATTCACCATTTTCGGTTGCATCCGTCGATTCCAAGCTCTGTGGTCTTCGTCTCTCCAAGTCCGAGCTGTCCACGCCTTCTCCTCGCCGTGGCCTCGCCGTCACTTGCCGTTTCGGCGGTGGAGGTGGTGGAGGAGGAGCTTTTCGTTTCTCTGGAGACTCTAGGCGTGGTAGGCCGAAAGAAGCCGAAGTAGATGATGCGCTTGATATCTCATCGATTAGGTCAGGTTTCTTAGCTGAAATGGAAGCTTTTTATGTGCGATTTTTTGAATTTGTTACTGATTCGACTTCTTCTGATTGAGTAGGTCAGCTACTGTTAGGCTAATTGATGAGAAACAGAACATGGTAAAGTCACTATTTTTTACACTTTCCCTTGAAATCAGCAAGAAATTAGACCAATAAATTTGCAGTTTGTGTTTGCTCTCTAGCTTGGTTTAGTGTCTAAAGACGAAGCAGTTCGAATGGCTGAAGATGCTGAGCTTGATTTGGTATGTGATTGAAATGGTTTTCTCTTTAGCTTTTAGGTGAGTCTTGAAATTTCATATGTTTGTGTTGTTGGCTTTTTCAGGTGATTCTATCGCCGGATGCAGATCCTCCGGTTGTTAAAATGATGGATTATAGGTGAGTGAGTATGTATTGGAATGGCTTCTTAATTTTGTATACAGATAATGCAAATGATGTTTCGTTTGTTTTGGTTATCAGTAAATACAGATATGAACAGCAAAAGAAGAAAAAGGATCAACAAAAGAAAAGTATTTGACTGCTCTTCTTCTCTTCCATAGTTTTAGAGATTAAGCTAATTATAACTAGCTCATTTGTTTGATCTTGTACACAGCTACTCGTATGGACTTAAAGGAGCTCAAAATGGGGTAAATTGTTCAAGCCTTTCTCTTTTTATGTTTGTGATGTTGCAATGACAACTTTAGGACTACTTCTTCTCAAAGGTTTCTGCTTTTTTTTTTACAGTTATAACATTGATCAGCATGATTATACCGTACGTCTAAAAGCTGCTCAAAAGTTCTTGCAAGATGGTGACAAGGTTTGTTTCCATATTCTTCATAAGCTGATAGAGTTTCTGTCCCATCCAATTGTATATATTGTTTATGCACTACTTCGTGTAATGCACTCAGGTTAAGGTGATTGTGAGCATGAAAGGACGAGAAAACGAGTTTAGAAATATCGCTATTGAGCTCCTCAGGCGTTTTCAAACCGAAATAGGGGAGGTAAAAAACATATTCTTTCTCCTCTCTTATCCGTATAGAAGTGTTTGGGTTGTGTTTGTTTGAGTCGCTGAAACTTGTCCTGCATCTGTAGCTTGCGACTGAAGAGAGCAAAAACTTCCGGGACAGAAACTTGTTCATCATCTTGGTGCCAAACAAGGAAATGATTCGGAAACCACAAGAACAACCACAGTCGAGAAAGAAGAAAAAACAAGCTGAAGCGGAAGTTTCAGCTACGGGAAATGAGGTTTTAGCGACGGAAAACGAAGTTTCCACGACGGAAGACGAAGTTCCAGCTGCAGAAATAACGACGACGACGCCATGAAATTACAATTGTCGTTTGCCTGCAAAATTGCAAATCGAGTCTGGAGTTGAAGTCGCAAGGTAGAGGATCTGAGAGCTAAAGTAAAGTTTTGTAAGTTTACTTTTCTACCATTGTCTCAAGAGCTGTAACAAATAGAATTAGTCCTATCTGAATGATGTTCTTCGTTTGTAGATCTTTCCCGGAATATTCTTCTGTAACTTTATCATCAGCTTAGTGGATTCATACAAATTGTCTACCGAGAAACTTATAAATATAGTTGAAATTTACTTGCTGATCACTAAACTAATTGAGATTTATATATGTAGTAAAGAAGAAAACCTAAAACTGAGCTTACATGTGAGTGAGTAAAATTGCATTTTCTTCATTGGTTTTCAGTAAGCCTGAATTACACATCTTTTTCCTATGAGCTAAAGACAAAATGGAAAATAGATGGTGACAGAAGAAAATGCGAGCCAAAAAAGAAGCAATTTACAAGTCATTTTTTCAAGTGTTGGCGTGTGAAACTTCAAGTATGTTGTTGTTATGGCCATGGAAACTTGTTTAATGGCATTGATGGAGACTCTGCATCATCTCTTCTTCTTCATGCTTCTTTTGTATCAAATGAGTCATGAGGCTACTCTCCTCTATCTATTTTCACACAGCAAAACTCGGTTTACAATCACACAACTTTCATTTAAAAACTCTTGGATTGTGATTGATTTGTTACCTCCATGACTGCAGTTGATGCCAAGAGATCTTCACATTTGTCAAGCATAAAGTTCTCTTTTGTAGCTATAACAGCGAGATCCGAAACAAGTTTATTCATCTCCTCCATCTGCAAAATAGCAATAGAGGGAAGAAGAGTTTAAGCACATATTTGAAAACCGGACTTCGTTATGATCAAGAAAATTAGTCTCACCTGCGAGTGTAAAGACCATATGGACGATCCCATATTCTGCATTACATCAAGAGCTGAGGACATAGCCAACTTCAGAGATCCAATGTCCGCCTGTGATCACAAGAGGTTTTTACTAAATCATAACTCTGTTTCTTGCTCTTCGACTTGGTTTCTACGGAAAGGTAAACAATACCTTTGTTCCTCCGGTTAGTGGAAGCCGGAGAGTATTTGCTTCCAAGTCTCCAATGGCACCGGTTAAAGAACTGATGTGGTTTCTCTCAAGCATGGCCCAATCTTCAAGGCAAGCCATCTGTGAAAAGATCACCACGATGATAATCTGATGAACACAAAATGTTGTTTCATAAGAGAGAGGTTGAGAGAATACATACCTGATCATTTAAGATTGACTCAAGCTTGATTTCTAGCTTCAACTGTTGGAGACTAATTCTTTGATCTGTCACAAGATCACGTAGCTCTGATGTTGCATGCCAGACATTGTATAGAGTTTCCTGCAACCTCAAGATTGTTAAAAAAAAACTTCACAACAATGTCACATTAACAAGAAAGATGCAACTATGAGCTCAAAATGAAAATTTTACCTCTGCAATCAACCTCTGAACATAACTTACTCCCTCAGCTCGAGCATTCGCAAACCGCCACTGCGAATATCGATTATAGAGCAACCGTAGCTGATGAACATCTTCTATGTAAGTTGTCTTCTTCCCTTTCTTAACATCCGCAATGAAACTGAGAACCGAAGTTGTGTTGCTACAGGACTGTGCAGAGGCATTGGTTTGTCTAATCCGAGAAGGACTCACACCTCTTGGTGGCGGCGTAGAAGATCTTAAACAAGAAAGATTCGTTCCTCTTGAAGGACTCAACCCTCTCAATGGACTCACTCCTCTTAAAGGACTAATTCCTCGAGAGTTAGAAGATGATGATGAAAATGAGGATCTGCTTGGAGAAGCAGCTCGTGATCCAGGAGCAGACAATGGATGCACTTTAGCAGACAAAAGCCTTTCTGAATGTGTTGGAGACATTACTAATCCACCTCCATTTTCATAAGATGACAACAACCTCGCCGTGTCACTAGAAGACTTCTGCAATGGTTTAGAGCCTTTATTGGACAAAGGAAGAGACATTCTTCTGATGGCTTTATCATCACCAAGATCTAAGCTTCTGTTCATTGAATTCGAAGTGATCTTTCCGCTGATTCGACTAGGCCATCGATGCTGTTCTATTAACCTACTATGAGGAGCATCAACAGGTTTCGAATTCTCTGATTGACCAGACACATTCTTCCCTTTCAATGGACTTCTTTTCCTCTCATTCTGCTGCTTATGCGCTATATTAGAAGACGGTCTCAGTGTCCGATCAAATGAAGAAGTAACAAGAGGTTTCTCCTTCTTAACAACAACAGGAACTGAGACTGAATCAGACTGAAACGAAACGCTGAGACTTCTCATAGTAGAAGGCCATAAGCTTTCAGGTAAACGACCAGTAGATACTCTCCTAGACGAAACAGGTAAGTCTAAAGATACATCACTAACCGGTGTGGATGGAGTAGCTGGAGAAGAAGAGCGTTTCCTTTCAGCTGAAACAGCTCTTTTCGATAGAGCTTGTGAGCTTGATGAAGAGACAGTAGTCCTCGTGACATTAGGTGAAGGACATCTCCGAGTTTTAGTTGGAGTCAGTGAAGGTGATCTGTATCTTGAACTGACCTCAACTGTTCTTGACCGGCGTGTGACAGAAACTGCATTGTTGTTCTTCTCAGCTGGAACAAGAGGCGGTCTTGTAGTATCTGTTACCGATGATTGATGTTGCTTCGCCATTGTTGCTTTCTTAGACGACTGATACAAAATTTCCATTCAAGCTTTGATTTCAGCAGCTCATTGTAGAGTCTTTTATTCTGTCAGAGATAAATCAAGAAGATAGGAGAGAAAAAGTAAGATACTTCACAGATGAGCAAGATGGAGAAAAAGCAGAGAGAATATAACTTATTAGACAACGCAGATGATAAAGAAAGGAAAAGATTACATCTTTACAACAGAGAGACAGATCAAGAATCTCTTAAAAAGCAATCCAAGAGAGATCTTTAGGTGTTTATATTTACATCAAGAAGCCAAACAGATCAAGACATGGAGATTGAAAATGTAACGGAGAAAAAGACAATCATTGGTCCATGGGACAAGCTGACCGGTTTTCAAATCACCAGAAAGCAGAGTTCTATATTAGTAGGGGTCCCCTAAGAGAAAAGCAAAAGGGACAACAAGAACAGCTTGAGACCTAGGAGTGAAAAGAGATAAGAAAGTTGTGACCTATAAGACTATAAAATCAACTGTCAAGAGACAGAGAGAAAGAGAAAGAGAAAAGGCAGGTCTAGTACTACTAGGAGTTAATTGCACTTTCACATTTACAGAGATATTCTTGATTTCAATCAAAGACTTTAAATTTAACATCTGAGCAAGAGACTTTTGTTTCAGTGTCATTGTCACGGGTCTGCCATGGTCGGATGGGCTGGAGATATTAAATGGAGATTTCAAGTTTCATTCACAGACCCACCTTTCTTCCTCTTCTTCTTCTCTTTCCATCAAAATCAAAACTTAACAAAAAGAAGTTTCCTTTACTAATAATTCCATTGAGAAAGAGTCTGATTATAATAATGTAATGCTTACTGAGTTTAAGTATTTAACAATTAGCAAAAATGGAGATTTGCAGATTCATCTGTTTCCTTTCCTTTTGAGAAGTGACAAAGAGGACCACGTGTATAGAAGAATCAGTGTCTACTCTCAGATAAATGGTGAAAATTTTGCAGTAATAGTGACAAGAAAAAATCAATAATGGTGATGGATTTAGCAAAATCACTCAGTTGATTCCTGGTGGATTATAGTATAGTTTATGTTTTGACCATTCCAGGAAAAAAAAATTATATGTTATCGGGAAACTGAAGCTCGTGAAACAATGAAATGTGGGATTCAAAAAACAAATTTGGTTTTTGTTTATAGAGTGAAATGAGCATGAATCCAAAAATTGTCTGAATTTGGACACAGGCTTGTGTCTCTCATGAAGGAGACAACTTTTATCGATCGAAACTATTTTTGAGATTTATTCGAAAACTTTCTCTGCAAATCTTAAATTGTTCTTCGTTCACTAAACGCCAGAAATGGAAACTGGAATTGGCATTGTCAATTAAATCTAACAAAATATTCGCATTGATCAGACTGAAAATCCAGGAAGATTTAGGGTTCTTCATGGGAGTTAAACAAAAAGTTTTAACATTTAATTGAAGCTAAAAGTAAAACCCTGGGGATTCGAAGTGTGGATTTCGAGAATCTTACCTTGAAATGGAGAGAGAAATGAAGAACAGCTGATCCCAATGTAATAAATTCCGAGAAAATTCCTCTGTTCTTGAGATCAAAATCAACGATCCGAATGTGATTGGAGTAGTCCAGGCTGGGAAGTGTGAAATCCGTCACCGGGAATGGAGAAATCTCGCCGGAAGAGCACCGGGAAAGAAACTAATCGGAATTTTTTGAATTTGAGGAATAAAATTTGAATTTTCTTTACTGCTGCATTGTTGGTTTTGAATCGTTGCTCTTTTCAAATTTCAACTGTGTTTATTATTTTTGCGGTAACCTAAAGAGAAAATGTTAGTCTTTTTTATATTAAATCAAGGACCCTACTAAACATCGTATGATGAATTGATGATATCATGATAGTGATTGTTATGAGTTATGACTTCTGAAAGTAGTGTGTTAATACTTAATACAATACAAGTGATATTTTTGTAATTTAAAACTGAAGTTTTGGTGTATCATGACAAAAAATGATAAGAACGTTTTTGTAGATCATTCTAACATCTTCATTTTCTTTTGTAAATTTGGTACTGTATGTTTAATAAAAGAGTATCCAACCAGAAACACTAATTACATTGGTATTACACTTAACCAACTAGTGTGTAAAGAAACTCCAAGCTTACCTAACCACATTCATGGGTTTTGGATAGGAGTAATAATGAAGCTACATACTAACAAAGTAATGTATTCAGCCCCCAAAAAGACAAAGGAATGTACAATGATTGTTGTAAGAATGTATATAAGACAACAATTACCGAGTATTATTGCAACCATCAAAATTTTAAAAAATGCCGAAAGTGAAAGATAAGTTAGATTACTCTTCATTTTTGTTGGCGTTTGGTGTTGTTAAGTATGTAAGCAAAGACCAAATGATGAGCATTCATGTGCTTAGCATGATTATAATGTGGCCACCATTTAGTTATTGCATATGCCATGCTTCTCCATTGTTCCCATCCCTTTTTTATTAAGTTATTGGATCTAATTTGCGCCATCATATGTAATACGATAGTGAATTAGTGATACGCGGATTAACAGAAGTATGAAAATTAAGATTTGTATTATAATGAATCCTTATGAACTTGAGTGCAAAATGGTTTGTTTTATGAGTTTAGTAAGGCAAGTGGACAAGACTAGAACAAGAGATCCATGTTTTAATATGAAGAGGAAACAAACTGTACTTTTATTATTTGAAAATGTAAAATAATGAAGTTGACATTGGATGCCATGCCATATAAGCAAATCATGAATCACAAGGAAACACTAGGAACTGGAGATCACGGAGACATAGCAGAGGATCTTATGTGATGTCTGGATGATCTTGTCTCCGCAAAAGAGTTCGATTAAATAAAAAAATGAAAAAAACGAATCCAAAAACCATTCATATGTTCAATTACACAATCATCAAATGTATCAAAAGAACAAAAATGGTCTTGAAATTTGTTTTCCAGTGTGCTTTACTAGTGTTTATATAGCTAGCCAAGGTACACTTAGATGATTCAGTAAAGCTTTTGGTATAATCTAAATGAAACAGCTTCTGTTCTTGAAATATATTATCATCATTGATGTCCTTATTGCTTAAGAAGCTAGTGAAGAAATTAGAGAGAAATGAGACTTTTCTTTACTGTTACCTTCCTCACAAGTCAAGCATTTTGAGCATTCCCAAGAACTAGCTGATCCTATGGCTATTTTCTCATCTGTATACATGAGTAGCATATGAATGTGCACATATACTTCGTACTCTAGTTAATTACATGATTTTGTTCAATTTATTCCACGTAAAAATGTTTTATGTTACTATACGATTTCTTCTTACAGTGTCTTCGACCAAGAACATCAAATCAAAGTATCAAACCCAACAAGAAATTATGTGAATACTTTGGCGTTGGAGATAATGTTTAAGCTGTTGTGTCATTTCATCATTGCCTTTTGCATTTCGGTTTACTTAAATAAATCTGACTATCCCGGTTTACTCATCATTAACCGAATAAACCGGGAAAAAACGCAATTTCTGTTTCCTCATCCGTTCACTCTCTGAGAAAAAGGCAAAAAGCTTATCTTCTTCAATCTCTTCCTCCCATTCCCATTCCAATTGGAGTTAGAGTGCAAAAGATTCAAAAGACGCCGAGAGCACAAACACACTAATGGCTTCTCTCTCCATGGCTTCCGTTAACCTCAGTTTCTCTCCGTTACGCGCTTCTCCCAAAGCTTCTTCCCCTCACGGCTCCGTTCAATTCGCTCGATTCAACAACACGTCGACTCTTGGCTCAACTCACTGCATTTCTGGGCTTCGCGCGGTTTTCCCTCAGAAGATTTCCACAATCGTTTCGACGAATTCTCAGAGGCTTCAGTCTCTTACCGTTTTCGCTCACAAGGGCTACAAGATGAAGACCCACAAGGTCTTTTCTTTTTTTCTTCTCTCTCGCTCTGCATTTCTGATTTTAGTTGAATTTAGAAGAGAAGACGAGGAAGACTCTGATAGTTTCCTTTTCTGGTCCAATTGAGCTGAAACTGAATGAATTTGGAGAATTTAGTGGCGGAAATTGGAATCATTGATTGTTTAATAGCTTCGAAAGTTTCGATTTTGCTTCGGTTCACTTGTCAATGTTGTGACTTTCTTTACTTTCACTGATAGTAACTTAATAGCTTCGAAAGTTTTGATTTTGCTTTGGTTCACTGGTCACTGTTGTGTCCTTTCTTGGATGAAAAATTATTTGACATTTGCTGAATTTTGCTTAAAGCTTCCATGTAACACTATCAAGGACTGTGATTTGTGTAACCTAATCGGCGTCATAGTGATACACTTTGTAATAGTATATCTGATGAAATTTGGAATTCTGAAACTGTGAACTTTGTGTTAGCTGCAGAAGCTTGTAATGATTTTTATTAAAACTGTTTGCTTTTTCTTGGTTGATGTTAGTCCTTTGGTGGATGAAAATGCATATTGTGTTTTGTCTGACAGGCCTCAGCGAAGCGGTTCAGAGTGACGGGTAGGGGGAAGATAGTGAGGAGGAGATCCGGAAAGCAGCATTTGTTAGCTAAGAAGAACAACAAGAGGAAGTTGCGTCTATCGAAAATGGTTTGTTTTTTCACTTAACAAGGATTTATTGCTTTCTTTTTGTGTTTGTTTCTGCAATCCACAATCTTTTTCATTGTTGATTCTACATGTCTTGAAGGGTTATATAGTTTTTTGTGTGTAAAACTGCATTCAAGCTTTTAAAGTTAGCTGTGAGTGGCTTTAGTTGAATACAGCAAAAGGTGTGGATCTGTAAGGAACAGATGAGCTCTTACCAAAGAATGATGATACAACAATTTGCAAAAACTCATATTTTTCAAGCTAGTTTCTTCTGAAGTTGGGGCTGGGCTGCTGATGTCTTAATGCATGGTTTCGTTTTTCAAAACAGTCATGTTTTCGAACTTCAAACAGTGTTTTTCATTGTTCATTCGAAATCTTTGCACATCTAGATGAATCTCTTAAAGCTTATGGCATCTATATCTCATGGTCACAATCACAAGCTCAAAAATTGTAGTACTTGTTTTGGTTTTGTTCATTTTGCAACTTCACTCCTCTGTTCTTTTTCCCTTTTTTTCGCTCCTCTCTTACATGTGTTATGTCTTATGTAATGCAGACCGAAGTGAACCGGAGCGACTATGACAACGTGATCGGCGCTCTACCATACCTGAAAGTCAATCGAAAGGCGACTTAAGCAGAGCCTGCTTGATCCTTTTTCTTACCTTCATTTCTCTTTTTGTAATATAAGTTTGTGATAATATATCATCTTGTATTGTGATAATTTGGTCAATGAGTTGATTTTGTTTCATATTTCTGTCTTCCTTCTTCCTCGTTTTCTTGACTCGCATGACAATTTACTTGTAGGTGTAAGAAATACATCACCAAGAAGTTTGGTCATGGATCAATGATTGGGTTGAAAAACAGAGACAAATATCTTAAAAGATTTCAGATTATTATAATCAGACCAACGTCACCTGTAACTCTTTTCAACACTTAAGTCTCAAACCATCCATTTTTGTTTTGTCAAAAGTATTAAGAGATAATTGCGGCTGAGATAGTGACTGACTAGCTTATTGACAATGAGACTTCATTAGTGTGTAATGATTCAATTGCCTTACTAAAAACATAATATTCAAAGGTTTTTAGAATGCTAATGCTAAAAATATTTGCTGATAAAAATATTGAAACCATATATGTGACGACAAAAACAGACCAAAGCCAAAGAAAGGAGAAAGAAAGAGGCATTTCCACAGTAGATAAGAGAAGCTACCTCCGAATAACTCGACACGTGGCAAATTCTCTATCAATAGCCGTCATTTTAAAAAAGCAAACAGCGGGACCCACTCTCTCGATATATCCATAACACACCCGCGTGTTCGCCAACGAATCAAGTAATCAACCAAGTATTCGAAAGCATAATACGGAAAGTACAAAAATAGCCTCCTAAGTAAAGACAAAGACGATGGGCCAATTTGGGTATTTTCTAGAAATTCTGCTTCTCTTTTTAATAACCAGCGAGCGCGTGTTTCCACAATCGCGTCTTTTTCGCGTTTTTTTAGATCTTCGAAATCAAATTCGCTACGCTTGTTCATTTCCAGGGGTTTATTGATTCTCTCTTGATCTTACTCAAGTTTTTTTAAAACGATTTTGTGATTGAGTCTTCGCTTTTTGGATGGTTGAAATGATGAAATCGAGGAATCTTAGACGGGAGACTGAACCGGCGTCGAAGTTCCCGGTAAAGTTAGAGATCGCCGAGGACTTTCTAGAAGAAGAACACGGTCCTCTCAACAAACGATCTAAGGTTTTTTTTTCCCTTAATTCTAATCAAAATAAGCTGATTTGGGTTTGCGTAGCTTCTAAGCAGCTAAAAATTACATTTTTAGTAATTTGACCAATTGTCTCCTAAAACTCCATTTTTGATTTAAAAAAAAACGAATCAGCTATGGAGCAATAATGGAACAAACGTCTCTCTTATGCTACCGACAAAGTTAAACTTACTTGAAGAGCCAAGTCCTTTGGGACTTAGCTTAAGAAAGAGCCCGTCTTTGCAAGATCTGATTCAGACGAGACTCTCTCAAAGTGTTGGTGTGAAGAAAGAAAGTACCGGTTTTGCTTCTTCTCTTGTCGGAACCGTTGAGAAACTCAAAGCTTCTAATTTTCCCGCTACAATTCTGAAGATTGGCCAATGGGAGGTGAGTTTTTTCTTCTAATTTTTGTTTGTTTCTGTTTTTAATGTTGTTGTCGGAATCTAAGTTTGAGTTTTGGTTTCTGTTTTATTTTGTTTCAGTATAAATCGAGGTATGAAGGTGATTTGGTTGCAAAATGTTACTTTGCGAAACACAAACTTGTATGGGAAGTGTTGGAACAAGGTCTCAAGAGCAAAATCGAGATCCAATGGTCAGATATTATGTCTTTGAAAGCAAACTTTCCGGAAGATGAACCTGGAACTTTAACAATCTCGGTATATAAAAACGCATTTCTCGTGATCATTTTCATTCTCTAGAGCCAAGATTTTGATTCATTTTCTCGTCTCTGTTTCAGCTTGCAAGGCGTCCATTGTTTTTCAGGGAAACGAATCCACAGCCTCGAAAGCATACGTTGTGGCAGGCAACTTCAGATTTCACCGATGATCAAGCAAGCATGAACAGGTAAAGAGTGTGATTTGATTGAATAAAGTATAGTGCAGTTCTTAAATATACCACAAAATTATGGTTGTCCAAAATTATTACCATTAGTTTTTCCAATTGTACCACAAAAATTGAGTTTTTCCAAAAATAACCCAAAACTAAAACTAAACTTTAAACCCTCAAAAGTCAAAACTAAACCTTAAACTATAAAAACAACTAAAAACCCTAAACACTACACCCTAAACTCAAAATACTGAACCCAAACCCAAACATATAAATTATAAACCTTCAAATTCATTTTTAGTGTTTGTGCTATTTTTGGAAAACAACCATGTATTGGTTTTTTTTGGAAAAAAAACTAGTGATGATAGTTTCAGAACATACCCTTATTTTAGTGGTATTCCTCTAAATGATGTTACGACTTGGATTGACAATGGTGTTTCTGTGTGTTTTGTGATATGGTATAGGCAACATTTTCTGCAATGTCCACCAGGGATATTAAACAAACATATAGAGAAGCTTCTCCAATGTGATCATCGTCTGTTCTGTCTAAGCCAGCAACCGGAGATGAATTTGGACTCACCGCTCTTCTTTGACACACGACAATCTATATTTGAGGATCCTTCTGGATCTCAGAACATTGCATCATCTCCTGTTGGTGCTCAGTCATCAACATCAGAACATATGTCTCTGTCTCATGACACAGCACTCTCCCCTAGCTCAGGTTTTGTGTCTGCCTTCTCGTGTCCTCACATGTCTTTTATACAATCAAATTTAAAGACTGTGAATGTTCTTTTTTCTCTTCTTGCTTTAGTTATGGACGCTCATGCAATCGAAGGAGCTGCTGGTAGTGCTTCGGTTGAGTCAAGAGTTACAAAAGATTGGAGTCAGGTACAAGTGCCTGGACTACGACAATCTATCTCCATGAACGACTTTCTTGCGTTCTTGTCAGATCCAGCTTCTGGTGATAACCCGGAACTGGAAGAAATGAAACAATTGCTGCTAAGTGACAACAACACTCAACCGGAGACAACATCTGATGAGAAGTCTGTCATGTCAAAGGTGAACTCTTTCTATAACCTCTTGCAAGCAGCTGCAAACGATGATTTGGACATCGGGCCGAAAACCGAATGCAAGGATAGAGTTCTTGATCCTGCTTCAAGCAGTAAGCCACAGGGCATGTCGAGGAAAGACTCGTTTAGTGATTTGTTGGTACATCTTCCTCGGATCACGTCTCTACCGAAGTTCTTGTTCAACATCTCAGAATAAGAAGCTGTCTATCGCCAATATATGATTATTCAGAATGTGACCAAAGTCTTGAGAGTCTTCAACAAGTAGTAGCTGTATATCAAATTCTCTGTCTCGGTGAATTTGTGCTCTTGTTTGTAAGTGTTAAAATCTTAAGACTAAAAACACAAAAGGATTTGGAGGAACTTTGTGTTTTGATGATAAATCCTTCATTGTATAGAAAAAATGTTTGTTATGGCGGTTTTTCTAAAGCCATTTTGTTTGAAACATTTGTATTATCCAAAGCTCTATTCTGGTTATTTTTTTGGCAGAATTTACTTCCATGGTGACTTTTACTCTCATTAGATTTACCATTTTTGAAAAGAGGGCACACACCTTTTGGCCTTGTTTTAGGCCCAGCCCACTTATTATATCTATGAGCTTCAAGTTGCGCGCTTAGGGCTTCTTCTCCTTCCACAAGCAGATTAGGTTTAGTGAGGTTCTCTCTTCTCTGGACACTGTTAGCAACCTCAACAATGGCGGAACAGGTTTCTAATCTCTCTATTGGCCTCTACTACTTTCCAGCATTGTTGTTTACTAAGCTTATGAAATTCTTCGACCTCTGCGATTCGATTGTATATTTTTGTTTCTTTTGCCTTCTCTGAGCTCCAATTTAATGTTGGATTCGTTTGTTGCAGACGGAAAAGGCGTTTCTGAAGCAACCAAAGGTTTTCTTATGGTACATACTAGAAACTCTTTTGTATCTACAGTTTCAGAGTATCATTTCTCATGCAATTCATCATTATTTTTTTGGCAGCTCGAAGAAATCTGGCAAAGGCAAGAGGCCTGGAAAGGGAGGTAACCGTTTCTGGAAGAACATTGGTCTTGGCTTCAAGACTCCCAGAGAAGCTACTGAAGGTAACACATTTTGCTCCAATCTCTATTTGTGATGTGTTGAATCGTTTAGACTGTGCTATTCATCTACTTAGGACCAATTATTGAGAACTGTGTTGAGTGTTCCCCAATTTTGACACTTTGTTTCTGAAATTGAAATGCTACTTCAGGCTTTGGCTAGTGGATAAACTTCTGTGTGTTTCTGAGTTGTTTTGTGTTTCTGTAAATTTGCAGGTGCATACATAGACAAGAAATGTCCCTTCACTGGCACTGTTTCTATCAGAGGACGTATCTTAGCAGGCACTTGTCACTCTGCGAAAATGCAGAGGACAATCATTGTTCGGAGGAACTATCTTCATTTTGTTAAGAAGTATCAAAGGTGAAGAAAAGATCTTTACTTTGTGATGATTTTGAGTTCCTTCTGCTACCAATCACTATCTTTGAGACTTGTCATAACATTGATTTATATCATTAGGTATGAGAAAAGGCATTCAAACATCCCAGCTCATGTCTCACCATGTTTCCGTGTCAAAGACGGAGATCACGTGATCATCGGGCAATGCAGGTGAGGACAGTAATCTTGAGTTCATTAGAATCAATGTTATCTATTAGATGAAATCCATACTGTCAGAACTTTGATACTATCGTCTTTAAATTTTGTTGCAGACCATTGTCAAAGACGGTGAGGTTCAATGTCCTCAAGGTCATTCCAGCTGGTAGTTCTGCTTTTGGAAAGAAAGCATTCACTGGAATGTAGAGAATTTCAAAGTTTATTTAAGAAAAAATGGAGGGATCAATCAACTTATGAGAGGATTTTGAGTAGTTGTTTTTTGTTTTGGTTCACTCATGTTATATTATATGGTCAAGAGAAACCTCTTTTTCAATTATGTTTGGTGCAATATGACTTCATCTCTTTCAAAGACTCACTATATAAGAATTAAGAAGTATTCTCTGTTGTTGATCCTTATGAATATGCTTTCAGGTAAATTCAATGCGTAAACCAGTTCTTGAGATCATCAGAACACAAGGAAATGTGTGAGGTCAACAAGATAGTGAATCAAACTATGAAGTATGAGCTAGTTTACAATGAGTGTTCAACCAATGCGTAACTGGTTCATGGCCATTTTTACTACAAAATAAGATTTGTTTTTCATTGTTTGGCTACAAAAATCACAGAGAGGTTACTTACTACAACACTAGCCCTTCTGTTTTTTGTGTTCTTGTTTCTATATGAAGTCTCTCTCTCTCTCCCTGTACAACAAACAGAACTGATACCTACTCTAGTCCAAAAGTAAGAAGCTTGGTGCAATGAGTCTGCTGCACTAACATGTGCACCTCATGCCCTACCATCCATTATTCAAAACTGCCTATGACCTAATTGAAGAGCTAGAAAACTTCTTCAGTGATGCCCAAATTTCTCCAAAAGCCTCTTCTGCAAGATTTGTATCAGAATCTTAGTGTGCTGCAGTAGCAATCTTTCGTGCTCATTCTGCTTCTTTCCATGTCCTTTTGAGGTGGATGTTTATTTACAGGCCACCAAGAACGATCCCCGAGTCAAAACTTTCTCCTCTTTCCAACGACTCAGTTGAAGAAGTATTGTGATCTGAGGACCTCCTTTAAATCGAAATTCCCTCTCTTTGGTACTGGAGGAAACACGAGATTCGGGTATGATTCTTGGAAACTTTGAAGTAACTGGATCAAGAACACAAACGATGTCAACAAAAACAGATGAGGCTGTAATTAACACATGCTTCAATCAAATCCTAAATCCAATTGTAGAAAGAAGTGCTAACTAACTAGAGCTCTATTTGTTGTTTTTACAAGTGAGTCCATGATCATAGATTCTCATTCAAGCTGGAAAAGACTTCACACACAAATTGAATATTGTCGAATGGTTTAAGATCTACCACATTGTTTGCTTTGGCAGATGTGTAGAAAAAGAAAGTCAGATGTTCAGTCCTAAGATTCTAACCAGAGAGTTATCCGAAAACTTACATCTTCAAGGATCGGAGTGTTGTAAAGCTCAACGAATTTCTCTCTGAGTATTCTGTTCATTGTGTCAACGTCACATGCATGTGTCCAGTAGGAGTCATGCACACCTGCAAAGTTTAGGCCGGCCATTGAATAAGAAGAGATTCTACTTTTTTTGTTTCTGTTGTTGGCAGCCATTAGTTGAACTTACCTGCAAAGTTTAGGCCGGCCTCTCGACATGCAACAGCAGTCATCATCATGTGCGTGCCGTCCAGCGAGTGCACAAAGTTGGGAGGAAATGCAGTTCTTTGTTTCCTAACATCCACCTGAGAATTAAAAGTCTTTTAAGCCTATGTATAGATCATACAAGTGAAATCTTGCTTGGTGCTTACAAAGAAAAGAACAAATAGGCTTTACCGTGTTACCCTCTCGCTGCAAAGCCAAAACCTGAAGAGATGTTCGTATCTGCAACCACAGTAGCCATATTTTATGGTCAAATTATTGGCTCTCCCAGTGGGATGATGCGTAGCTTAAATGAATGATTCAGAATGGACAACACTAACCAGATGTCTTTCACTTCTGCAATAGGGCTGCACAACAGGAAGTCCAAGAGGTGTGATCCATCGCACTGGATGATTATCGGAAGCGATGATCTGTAAAATTGACACGCCAAAAAAGACAACACAGCTCTATTAGGTCTCTCATTTACTAAGCTTAGAACAGCAGAGGTAATAACATGATACACGACCGCACCTTTGCACAATCACCAAGCCAACTCATAATGGCACGTGCCGCTTCAAATATCTCTCCAAGAGCTGCTAGTGTCACCTGAGGAGAAATGTTGTAAGTACAACAATAACACCACACTAGTAGAAACCAGAGAAAAAAGTTCTTCGCGTGAATTTTATAACTCTTCTTACTTTTGCAGAATAGCAAGCAGCAGCAAATAACATTCTCTCGTCAGTGATTACACCTTTCTCTTCTAATCTTCTTTTTATTTGTTCACGCGCTCCAACATAGGTGACACCATATACTGAAGTCATTACTGTCTGCTTTACCAGCTTCCTGTCGACCTGAAATTAGAAGAAAACTTAGCATCATCAGGAAGAACGTTTGCTGTGCCTATGCCTATATATTTACTCAAAAACTGCTGAAACTCACTTGATTGATAAGGATCTTTGCCAATGCGGCGGTTGGGTTTGACTCAGGATCCTTATTGCTGTCCTTCTTCATTATTTCATGAACTCTATTTCAGTACAAGCATAGAGGAAAAGAAAGAGAGACAGAGAGGAAAAAACCATTAGAAACAACGGTTGACATGATTCTAACTCAATTCAAAACTGAAATGGTACCTCAGTGAAATTTCAGAATAGACATCAGCTGGTTTTTCTCCTGCAACTAGATTAACTGCCGCAGCTTCAAACTAAAAGAAGCCAGTTTACAAGAAGAGAACTATATCAGATTGCAAGCCTTCGAATAAGAGAAAAACAGCAGACTATAAATGTTCACAAGAAAACTTACACTATCTCTTCCTAAAGCTGCATAATGCTGTAGACCATTGCACGACCCATCCTGCACATACAAAAGATTAAGAAAAGAAAAAGTTAATTAACAGCTTACGAATGAATAGATAGAGGTATACAAGCGCTGATTCACAGCTCTGGTGAAACTAATTAATAAACTTATACAATGGGGCAAAAACAAACAGCCTACTAAAGGAAGTGTCAGGTAACAAAAACAAGTAGACTAACTTTGGATACAAGATTATGGTGCTTACCTGATGAATAGGCAAGTGGGAGATTACAGAACTAGGCGAAGGGCTTTTCAAGGCTTGTGTCAGAATAACACATGCAGCTAAACACTGAAAAGGATCCTCAGCCTTTAACCACCATCGTTTTCCATGAACAGGGTTTTCAGCTGACTCCATTATATCATCCAAATGGTTTTCCACAAAAGCCAGGCGCCCATCGTGTGAAAGCTTTTCAACACCACCCGCAAAGAGGTTTGCAAGATGTATTTTAAGCCAATACAGGCCTTGCTTTCCAAGTGGTCGTCCTTCAGCAAACTCCAGGGTTCCACGGCAAAGATCAGAACTCAAATGATTCAGATGAGGATGCATTGGGTATGCACGGCCTCTGAAGTCAACGTTGTGAGGGTAGTAGAATCCTTCCTCATCTTTCATTTTTCTAGCCACCTGAACTTATTATCTTTAGTCCATATCTTTTGCTACTTAAGTGAAGACGGAACTAAATGTTGTAGGCAACAAGAATGGATTTCTTACAGAAAGCTTGAGCTCAACATCACATCTTAGAGAATGCCTCTCTCTGTTAATCTTGTTGGCCTTTCGAGCACTCCATTTCCAGGATTGCATTTCTTCTGGGTCCTCAGAGGTTGGTTTCTCTGGTATGGGAACCTAAACAAACAATCAAAAAAACGTGAATCCAGATAACATTATAAACTGTAACTTTGAAATGAAACCCTGAAAGAGAAAAGTCCATAAATCCTATAAGATTTCTAGTTACTTACGTCTTCACGATTTACTAAGCCTGCAATGTTGCCTCCATCAGCCCAGAGCTTTTCCACCACATCGAGTATTTTCCTATTCACCCTCCACTTGGTGTTCCCAAGTGTATCCAATGCCTGTTCAGGTTACATTTTATAACATTAACATAAAACATTACCAGACAGAAACGACAAAACAAAAACTACAAGAGCAAAGATAACAATGTACCTCAAATACTCTATGAGCAGTCTTGGAGCTAATATCTCTTAGTGCATCTTGCTGCTTTTTGGACCCATGAGTACGCATGATATAGGAAGGCAAAAACAAGTAACCACCCTTGTCATATCTGAAGGAAAATCCCGTAAGTAAGATTCTCATAAACACCGCATAATTCATATGTAAGGGGATACAATCTAGAGCCAAATAAAAAAGAGTTTATCAAACCATACCCTTTCCATCTCTTTGGCGGTACCAACATCGGAACATAAGGAATTAACATATGCTTAGCCTGCATGAGACAGGAGCAATAAAAGATCACCTAAAAGCTCATGAATGTAATAAATTTAAATCAGAAAAGAGACGTCTTAACTCACAGATTTATCAAGTCCTGCAAGGAGGAGCGAGTCACATTCAATAACTCCATATCTCCTCACCAACTTTGACCTACAAAATCCAAATTTTAAGGGTTAAGAAAACACTGTGTCAGAGCAACTTTATCATATGAATATGCATTTCATGGATTCTTTCTCACCCTGGATATTTGGTCACGGTTTTAAACTTGTGTCTGAATGCAGGTCGAAACTCAGGTATTGAGTCCCCTGACTGAGTCAGTGGAGGTTGCACATACGCTGTTTCGATCAATAGCTCTAGCAGACGGCTTCCAAGCTGAAAAATTGATATGATTCCAACAGCCAAAATGAGTTTTTTTTTAGCTACAGAATTATCAAATTCACTCAAAAGGCTTAAAAACGCCACAGACCTTAGCTTGTGTGGCTCTCCCCCATGGTTTAATACCTTCACATTTCACCACTTTTAGTGCATCAATCATCCTTTTCCTCCGAATCAAACTATTGACTCGTTTCCTAAGCAATTGCTTCTCCTTCAATTCCTCTTGTGAGTCTCCTTCATTGCTCTTCCGAGTTCTCTTCAAGAAATTATGAATCCTCACCTAAAATCAACCAAAACCACCACTCATACATAACCTAACTTCTTCACTGAAATGAATTGATTACACATTCATACATTTACATCTTATATCATACCTCCTGCTCTATAGCTATGCCAATACTAACAGCAGCTTGAACAACTTGTATACACCCATCTTCATGTCCAGACATAACCAAACCCATCATCTTATGCATCACAATAACCGCCATTTTATCAGCAGGTAAAAGCTCAATGTGAGGCGCATAAGCTGCTCTAACCTTCTTGCTCTTGTTCTTCTGCAGCTTCTGCTCTCTCTCAATCACATCCTTCAGCGGCTGAAACCATCCCAAGAACATGTGCTTCACATACGGCAGATTCGGAGCTAGATTCTTCTCGCACATTTCCTTCTCCAAGTCTCTGTACTCATCGACCATCCTCTCCCAGGCTTCAGTCTCTTCCTTCACCTGTCGTCTCCTCAAGGAATCGAATTTCCTCTTGTCGATGTCTTTGCGCTCGATTTTTAATGTCTGATCAACCATTTTGCTTAGACCCTTGAGGAACAACGCAGAGATCCATGGTGGGTCTTGCATAAACAGCCGCCTCCTCCCGGAAAGTCCGTTCCTTTGGACTGGATTCTCGAGCTCGTCGATTAAGCTGGTTCCGTTGATGGTTCCGGCGAAAGAGTCCTGATTCTCGAAGCTCTCGATGAGATTGCCGTGGAAATGGACGGAATTCGAAGTGGGTTTCTCGGTGACGGAGAGAGAAGTAGAAGAGGAGGAGGAGGAGGAAGAAGCTGAAATCGGAGGAAGTGAGAGGCGTTTGACCGGAGAAGATAAAGGGATGATTTTGCGGCGGAAGAGGGCGGAGGAGGAAGGAGGTTTAAGCCAGGTGGTTAGGGAAGTTTGGTGTTTGAAGGGAGGGGTTTTGTTTAAGGAGAGAGAAGGAGAAGCCGCCGCAGCGGAAGCCATGGAAGGAAGGTGGAGAAAGTAGGAGAAGATAAGGTCTAAGGAACATTTGAAGAAGAGAAAGAAATGTTGTGAGAAAACAATCCAACAAACCTCTCTAAAACCTCTACTCTTTTGTATTTTTCCCAATAAGATATTTCTCCCCGAAATATTATGAATTTTACAGAAAAAATATCATTATATTTCTAGACTAATTTAAAACAAAAAAAACTGAGGAAAACAATGGAGAAATAATTATTTGAAAAATTGTTACGGATATAAGCAAATAAATAAAACATTTTTCCACATTTTCTCTCTTCTAAATAGCAACCTATTTCACTTTTGCACAAAAAAAAAAAAAGAATAGCAACCTATTTCACTGGGCTGCTCTAGCACTGAGCTCTCAACGTTGGCTTTGGAAACTTGCAGGTGCATTACCAATTCATTGTTCCTTCAAATCATGTCTCATGATTGATGACCAATCTAGATCCAAAAAGCCTTCTTGTTCACTTGTTCTACGCTCCAAAATCAGCAAATCAAGTTCTTTGTAACTCCAAGCATTTCAAAGCATATTTGAAACTGGGTCTCTGAGACTAATGGGCTTCAAATTAGTTACCCCACTTAGCTTGCAGCCCATGTTACTTAGAATGGTTGGTAAACTTGGCGGCAAAGTCAAAGAAAGAAAGAAGCACGTGGAACCACGCAACAAGATTTACACCAGTCCAAAGACATTAGGGGGTGTATTGGAAAAGGTATTTTTAAGATTTTAGGTGATTTTGAATGATTTTGTAAAAATTCCTGTTATTCAATTAGGGATTTCTAAATGTCATTTCAAATTCAGTGTTATTGAAAATAATATTTTTCTAAAATCATTCAAATCACTTACACTGCCCCTGTTATTCAATTAGTCATTTGTAAATCTTAAATCACATTTGTTATTCAAAAGTAAACAGTCATTTGGATAAAAATTTGTCACAAGTTTTTTAGGAGATTTGACACCTATTTTGTGTCAAGAATATGACTAACCAAAATAACACCTTTCAAGTTGTGATTTGGAGAAGCTTTTTACAAAAATAAATAAGAAATAAAAAAAAAAAAAAAAATTAAAGGAGAAACAGACATCGACCACGGGAAATTTCTTCACAAACATCGAGCTGCCGATTTGCCCCGGAATTCAGTGAATCTTCGTGTCATGGATCGGAAAGAAGCTCTGGCGGTGAAACCGTCGCCTTTCCGCCGCCTAAGTTTATTTCGTGGGATACCGATAAAGAGTGCTGGAGGCTGCGGCAGAGATGGAAATGGTGCTTGTGATGATTGCGGCCGGTTGTTTTTATTGCCGTGTTTCCGGTGTAACGGAAGCTGTAAAGTGGTGAAAGGATGGCATAGCGCCACCGTTGCTGTGAGATGTACCGAGTGTAACGAGAGAGAAGCTTTAATGAGAATGATCTTTGATTTTCTCTGTTTCGTTCTGTCTATGAAAGCTGTTAGTGAAAACAGAGAAAATCTTGTTGTCACATAGAAACTAATGAATGAAATACAAATCCTAATGTTCTATGATGTCTTCTTCTTCGTCTTCTTCTTACTCCTTGTTTAGTTACAGCCAATGAATGAAATAAGCTTTGAGGGAAAAAAGAAACATCAATCACGCTCTCCTCTGGTAAAACTAATTTTGTTTCCAATGTGTTCTTTCTACTTTTTGCTTCCTTAAACATGTCGAGCTTTCAATTTCTGTGTATTAACGGACCAAAAACCCTCCCTTGAGGCATCCACAAGCAATAACTCAGCCACCAAACAATGATACTGATAATGATGAGCCGTATACTAGTGTCATGCCCAGCATTGGACTTGCTGGTGGACGCTCAATGAGACCTCACACTCCTTTGGTAAATTTATCTCGTTGCTCTTATGGTTTTATCTCTGTGTTCTCACAAGTCTTTTGAAACTTGGTTTGGATTTTGCATTAGTCAATTCGTACAAAGGAACAAACTCCTCGTAGTTCCCGGCACGGGAGCCTCCGTCAAATGCCAGAATTTCCCACAAAACACCTTCCACGCACGGCGTTGATCACTGATCAGAGTGCCTTTTCCGGCGTTCTGTGACCCAACAGCCCAGACTTGTCCTCTCTTTCCGGCCATAGCCGCTATGTCTTCAACCAAATCCTTAATTCCCCAATTCTTCACAAGGCTAACGAAATGCAGCTTCGTGATCTTGCTTAAAACTCCGTCACGAGCTCTCTGTCTCACCTAATGCTTTTTCATTTTAATGACAAATCACTCAAACAAAACCCACTTAATCCTAGAGAATCCTCACAAAATCTCATAAGACATTTTCTTAAATCTCCCTAAATCCCACTATTTTTTTTTTAAAACCTCCTAAAATCTCTTAAAACCACCTAATATACAAAATCATTCAAAATCACCTGAAATCTTTAAAATACCTTTTCCAATACACCCCCTTAGTCAAACTCAAACGGATTGTCCCTGAAAAGATAACAAGTAAGAAACGGTCTTAATGAAAGTAAGATACAAAGTATAAGTGTGCGCGTACGATACCCACAATGTGATGATTAATAGATCCACGGAAAATCTGGAATTCGATTTTGAAGCAACAAGTTGTAACGACTTATTTCAATTTAAAAGGTTACACTTGGATATAAACAATATGGTAGTTGCATTTTGTGTGGTGGGCTAGGTTTATTAACTAGTCTAATATGATACTTAAACTTCAGTGCTTAATTAACCGATCATAAACAAGTACAGCCATCTTCACGTTCCATAATATTTGTTTGGTACATTAATCATCATGTTATACTTAACATTTAACAATTAAACTGGTTGGATACAAAGAAACGGATCAAACTTAGGCTCAATTAGTATACAATTATAGGGGTTAATTAAATGGTTGACGAATTATACTACTGAGTAGTGATGGTTTCAGCTATGCTAACATATTGGATGTATATCATCATAACAATAAAAGTAAACTTGTTCGTTTAAATACCACCATTGAATATAATAAACAGTCGATTAATCACCTTGAGTATAATACTGTGTGGATTTCAACTTAAAATATCGAGAGAAGCAAATGTATAGTGGATAATTAGGTCGAAAAACTGAAATGCCACATCATGAGATACTGCATGGATACACCACCCCTGTAGATACAAATTCGCTGTTATGATATTTTTTATAAATATTTAACGTATCATCCACTAATCTGAAATCTCACACCCAATTCCACAAACGTGACTATTTAGTCTATAATCCTAATCTACTAAAATAAAAAATTAGTATAAGAGCAAAAACACATGATGGAGTTAGGCGTTAAGATACTTTTTTTTGTTTTGCTGACATGCATACCACTATACAAAAATAACACACCTCGACCAAAGAAAGCTACCACACAAGACATATATTTAAGATAACCATCATTAGTTTTTATATTCAAAACTGCAAATAGCATTTTCATAAATATTATAATTTTTTTTTATCACACATGGTTTGTCCAAATAGCAGAAATTTTGTATGGTTTCAATAACATTCATCACTTCCTGACAAAATTACCATCCCAATTTTCACCTCCAAAGACGATTAAAATCTACCAAAAACTAAAACACGTAAACGCAAATAAAAGGTTAACCACACGGCATATATTTAAACACGTATGTATACGAATGATGACATGGCGGAGTCAAGTTACATACGCGTTCACATCTCATTGGTTGACTTTCTTAAGTCAAACATCACAGGCGCAAACGTTAATATAAACGTTTCATTTTCCTCAAACGTTAGTTAGGCTAAAAGAGATACTGTCTCTCTTCGATTGTATGTCTAAAATCTACCTTAATTTCTTGACATATATACATATATATATATAAACATGTGTATAGTCAAACACCATTTTTGATTCTTTGCTGTCTCAATTAAACACAACACACAAAAAATGGATTCTTGTTCTTTGTTGTCCTTCTTGTTCTTGATCACTGTTGTGACCGTTTTTGCTTCAAAAGAGAACGATGAGTTAATAAAAAACGATCAAATCTCTTTGCTTTCTTTCAAATCATCCATTGTTTCAGATCCTCACAACTCTCTAACCACTTGGACTTCTTCTCCTTCTTCTTCATCTGTTGATGTTTGTAATTGGTTTGGTGTGAAGTGTAACAACGAGAGCACTAGAGTGATCGAGCTCGACATCAGCGGTCAAGATCTCAGAGGAGAAATCTCACCGTCGATCGCAAGTCTAACCGCTTTAACCGTTCTTGATCTCTCAAGAAACTTCTTCACAGGACAAATCCCACCTGAGATAGGCTCATTACACAAGACCTTGAAGCAGCTAAGTCTCTCTGAGAATCTCTTACAAGGAAACATTCCACAAGAACTTGGTTCGCTTAACCGTCTCGTCTATCTCGACCTTGGAACAAACCGGTTCACTGGTCAAATCCCGGTTGAGCTCTTTTGCAACGGTTCTTCTTCATCTCTCCAATACATAGACCTCTCCAACAATTCTCTTACCGGAGAAATCCCTTTAAAGAACCATTGTCACCTCAAAGAACTTCGGTTTCTTCTCCTCTGGTCAAACAAGCTTGTCGGAAATGTCCCGTCTTCGCTTTCAAACTCTACAAATCTCAAATGGATTGATTTAGAGTCAAATCTCTTAACCGGAGAGTTACCTTCTCAAGTCATAAGCAAGATGCCACAGCTTCAGTTTCTTTACCTTTCTTATAACCATTTCGTTAGCCACAACAATAACACAAACCTCGAACCCTTTTTCGCCTCTCTCGCCAATTCTTCCGACCTACAGGAGCTTGAGTTAGCCGGAAACAACCTAGGAGGAGTGATAACTTCTTCTGTACGTCACCTCTCTGTAAATCTTGTGCAGCTTCATCTTGATCAAAACCATATCCATGGCTCTATACCTCCAGAAATATCAAACCTTTTCAACCTAACCCTTCTAAACTTGTCAAGTAACCACTTGACCGGTCCAATCCCCCGTGAGCTCTGTAAGCTAAGCAAGCTTGAAAGGGTTTATCTCTCGAATAATCTCTTAACCGGTGAAATCCCTGTGGAACTCGGTGACATTCCTCATCTAGGTCTTCTTGATCTGTCTAGAAACAAGCTCTCTGGTTCAATCCCGGATATTTTTGCAAACCTTTCTCAGCTGAGAAGACTTCTTCTACACGGAAACCATCTCTCTGGTACAGTCCCACAAAGCCTTGGCCAATGTATCAATCTTGAGATTCTTGATCTCTCTCACAACAACCTCACAGGAGAGATTCCTGTAGAAGTTGTCTCCAGTCTTAGAAACTTGAAGCTGTACCTTAACCTCTCTAGCAACCACTTAACCGGAGCAATACCTTTGGAGCTAAGCAAAATGGATATGGTTCTCTCCATTGATCTATCTTCAAACCAACTCTCAGGGAAGATTCCGTCACAGCTCGGAAGCTGCATTGCGTTGGAGTATCTGAATCTTTCAAGAAACGGCTTCTTAGGTCCTTTACCTTCTTCATTAGGTCAACTGCCATATCTGAAAGAGCTAGATGTGTCTTTAAACAGATTAACCGGAGCTATACCGCCTTCTTTTCAGCAATCTTCAACGATCAAGAACTTGAATTTCTCATTCAACTTGTTCTCCGGAAACGTGTCTGACAAGGGACCATTCTCTAAGCTGACTATTGAGTCTTTTCTTGGAGACTCTCTCTTGTGTGGCTCTGTAAAAGGGATGCAAGCTTGCAAGAAGAAACGCAAGTACCCTGTTGTTCTACTACCGGTTCTGTTATCGTTGATTGCAACTCCTTTTCTCTGTGCTTTTGGGTACCCTCTGGTCCAAAGATCAAGATTTGGCAAGAATCTAACGGTGTACGACGAAGAAGAGGTGGAAGATGAGGAAAAACAGAACCGAAAAGACCCGAAATACCCGAGGATATCGTACCAGCAGCTCATTGAAGCAACAGGAGGTTTCAGTCCTTCAAGCCTGGTTGGTTCAGGGAGGTTTGGTCATGTTTACAAAGGAGTTCTCAGGAACAACACGAAGATCGCAGTGAAAGTTCTTGATCCAAAGACTGCAGTGGAGTTCTCAGGGAGTTTCAAAAGAGAATGTCAGATCTTGAAGAGGACAAGGCACAGGAACTTGATCAGGATTATCACAACATGTAGCAAACCTGGTTTCAAGGCTATTGTTCTACCCTTGATGCCAAATGGAAGCTTGGAGAGACACTTATACCCTGAAGAGTGCTCAAGCAAGAACTTGGATTTGATTCAGCTAGTGAGTATCTGCAGCGATGTCGCTGAAGGAATAGCTTACTTGCATCACTACTCACCTGTCAAAGTCGTTCACTGTGATCTCAAACCGAGCAATATCCTTCTTGACCATGATATGACCGCTCTGGTTACAGATTTTGGGATTTCAAGATTGCTTCAAGGAGTTGAAGAAACAGTTTCTACAGATGATTCAGTGTCATTTGGCTCAACAGATGGATTGTTATGCGGATCAGTTGGTTACATTCCTCCAGGTAAACATTCTTCAAAACATAATTCAAATTTTCACCAAGTAGTTTCATTAGTCTCTAAACAGAGTTATTCATTTGTTTCATCAGAATATGGAATGGGGAAACGTGCATCCATCCATGGAGATGTGTACAGTTTTGGTGTTCTCTTGTTAGAGATTGTAAGTGGAAGACGACCAACGGATGTTCTTGTCACTGAAGGATCAAGTTTACATGAGTTTATGAAGTTGCATTATCCGAATTCTCTAGAGGGAATCATTCAACAAGCGTTGTTTAGATGGAAACCGCAAGGGAAGCCAGAGATATGTGAGAAGCTATGGAGAGAAGTCATATTGGAGATGATTGAATTGGGATTGGTATGTACTCAATACAATCCTTCAACTAGGCCTAACATGCTCGATGTTGCGCATGAGATGGGACGGCTTAAAGAGTATCTCTTTTCTTGTCCTTCTATTCTGCATTTTCAAGATCAAGAAACAGAAGGAGAAGCTAGTTCTTGATGGTTTATTCAGAGTCAAATGTTTCAGAAAGTTTTGATGATTGTATTCATTCTTTTTGGTGATTTGTTTTGGATTCTTGAGTTGAATTGTTAGATTTTGTGGAAAGTCTTGAATTTACGTCTTCCTTTTTGGTTAACGATCTGCAATCTCAAGATCAAGAATCAGCCAACCAAATCTTCTATTTCATATTCATTGGTTGATTATTTTAATTTAAAGTTTTGGTGTGTTTTTTTGTAATCATGATCATAGCTTATGTATGTGCTGTGAATCTAGCTATTAAACTTCTCCTAATTTTCTATTGCATTATAATCTTATCACTATACCATTTTTTTTGCCTAACTTTGGATTAAAGAAACAAAGATTTGTAGCAGAGATTTATATTGCAAGTGGAAGCTGATGTAATATGCTTTAATCTCTCCACTGTTCTTGATCATTAGTCCTTTATTAGTTTTCATAATTTTATATTAAGTATGAATTAATGGATGACATCAATATCAAACAAAGGTCAACAAGCCATCAGATTTGTCTCTTTCTACCATCTTAGAAATAGAAGTAATGAGTCAAGAAACAAACAATCTTTTGACACATTCTTGACCATTCACACAGACAAATAGAATAACACAAACTATCAAACTTTTGATTGGTTTTCGGTTCAGATTTGTCTTTAAACTTGTCAAGTGTCCACATTTTCTGTCTTACTGTCACTAAAGTAGTTACAGTAGAAAAAGCTAGATCTTTGTCTCAAGAATATTACTTGGCATAAGAAGATGCTCTACGACAAGCTAGAAGTGATGATCATGAGGTAGGTTTAAAAGAGATAAAGATCAATCTTTTCAAGTGCTCAACAAATCCAAATGCGCACACAAAGAGGAAGGTATGAACCCGTAAAAGAGAAGAGATTTTTGCTTCTTGAGTGTGACATCCAACATAAACTATGAGTAATCACAAAGTTGTGGTGAAACTGAAAATGTTACCTCCATTGATAACGACACAAAAGGCTTTTATAAAATTTGTGCCAATGAAGAAAAGGTTTTTGATGAGATGGTGAAAGGAATAGTTTTCGGATTAGGTTTTTTTTTTAGAATGTGGAAAGCTATGATGACGAATGAGCATGAGAAAAAGTTGATGTTTAAGACAGAACTAGAAGAAGTTTGGTCTGATAGTGACTGATTTAACATTGGTTCAAGTTTTCAACCAACCAAAGAAAAGAGTTTTATCTGTTTTCTTAGATGATGTAAAAGACCCTTGTCGTAGAAGAACAGTCTAAGATTGGTGATTGTGAGGTTTCAGACTTTTTTTTCTTTGTGCAGAAATGACAAAGCATCCACAAAACTCTTCAGGTTGGTAACTTTCACTTTCATGCTTCTCTTATTTCTTTCTTTTCCACCAAAACAGAAAATAGAAGAAGATTTGTTTCTCAAAGGCTCAAACTTTACAAAACATGTGGATCTTACTTCAATCAAACAACAAAAAATGCAAATACAATCTTAATCACACACTTTAACTAATCTTATTACACCTTAATGACACGCGATAAGCTTCTCAAATCAAATCAAAATGTTCTTACTCCCTCTCATAGCCAGAAGTAAAGCATTGCCTGTTTCAATAGACATGCCAAGAATTTGTTAGCACTTAAATACATTCTGAAATATTTTGATAAAAAAAAAATAGAGTTTAACCATACCTCTTGAACATCAATAATAGCTCTTGAACTCTTCATTTCAGGTTTCAAAGAGTTTGACTCTTCTTCTGATTTTCGCTGCAGACTCATCATTTCTTGATTTACTCCACTAGTTTGAGACTCTCCTCCGCTGCCTCTTTCTCTCTCAAGCCTCTCTACTCTCTCTTTCAATCTTTGCAACTCGGCCTGATACTCTGCTTCAATTGCAGAACAAGTTCCTCTTGCAAGATCTTTCTTGATACTTTTGTCTCTTTTCCGTTTAGATGATTTCTTACACATCTTTTTCTCCTTTGTTTGTACAACTTCAACTATATCCTGAATGCTTGACGAAGAGGTTGCAGCAAAAGCTTTACCCTTTACTCCAATCTTAGTCTCAGAAACAGAAAATGTCTCCTTAATTTTATCTCTTATAGAGTCTCTAAATTCCATAAGCTCTTTCAATTGCTCTTCCAGCTTCTTGATCTTCTCCTGATCTCTTCTTGATGAATCCAAGCTCTGCTCAATAACTCCCTTCTCCACAGGAACCAAAAGATCTATATCAACCGGTTCTGGAGATGGCGTTTGAGACCTATCCCAACATCTAATACCATCATCTGTTATATGATCATCATCGCTTCTGCATCCCAAGCTCATAAGCTTGCTTCTATATGCATGTAATTCACTCTCAAGGTTCTTGATTTCAACTTCTTTCTGGTAATTCAAATCCTCCAAAAGATCCAGAGACAACTCGGCGTGGGACATTCTCTCCTCTACCATTCTCTTGTACTGGTTAGCTTCCATAACCAGTGCAGCTTTCTCTCCTTGAAGCCTTAGAATCATTGACATGGCTTCGCTAGCTGATGTTGCAGTCGCTTCTCTCTCTGCGTCTAACTCTTCATGGAGTCTCTGAACATCTTCCTTCGTTTCATAAAGAGCAATTCTAAGATCTGTGGACTCAACACCGCTCATATTTAAGCTGTAGCTTCTTCCTACCATGTCTCTGCAATTGCAAAAAACCACTATAATCTCTTCATTTACTTGTAGACTACTTCATATATGATACCAAAGATTACAGAAAAAACTGTAATATTTCTCTAAGTAATAGTTATCTTAAACTCTGAAGTTTTCCTAAACTTAATCCTAGAGAAAACCCGAGTTACAGAATTCAACAAATACGTATCTTATTGATGAAATAAAGAAAGAATATTGTTGTACCTGATAAATTTGCAGAAGAACAAGTTTGGTTTGATGAGCAAGTCCCCAAATAGTGAGCAACAGAAAAGAAAATGGTTCAGAGAAATGACAAAAACCTTCTCTGGGGAATTTGTTTCTGTATAAAGACAGATTGAAATCTAAAATAGTAAACTAGACCAAAAAAAAAAAGACATATAAAGGAAAACAAGACCAAAAAAAGAGAAATTTAATCCTTCATATAAGCCATGCTTGACCAAAAACAATTATTATGCCGTGTCTATATCATTTAAAAGCAGAAAGTTTCTAGATTTTGGTCAGCAGAAAGATTCACTTAATGAAAGTTCTTATGAACTAAGAAATTCTAAAAACAAATACTCCCTCTTTTTCTAAATATATGATGTTTTAATAAATATTAATCAATAATAATTCAAGAATTCAATTATTTTTAATTAATAACTCTTGAAGTTTGCAATTTGCTAGCATTAACTAATAAAAAAAGTACCTTAAAAATTTCTAAAACATTATATATTTTGAAACAAAAAAAAACTAAAATATCATATATTTTGGAACGGAGGGAATATAAAAGAACTAAAGAATAATTAACTAATAAAAAAGTACCTTAAAAATTTCTAAAACATTATATATTTTGAAACAAAGAAAAACTAAAATATCATATATTTTGGAATGGAGGGAATATAAAAGAACTAAAGGATAATTCACAAACTCATAAAACTATGAGAAATGGGTTAGCATTATAATCAATCAAAATATTCCTCCAAAGTAATGATGAGATGCCAATACAGAGAGAAAAGAGAGCTTGCAACATATTGATGAAATTATAAATGATGAAGCTTACTGTGACTTTTGGTTGTTGTTGGCGGCGTGGGGCATATCTTCTTCGCTTTCTTCCCGCAAAGCGTGATTTGAATATTCATTTTGTGTTGAAATCTAGCCTTTCCTTAAAATTTATAAATATGAAGATGATAATTTCAAGTTTCTCAAACGGCTCTTTACAAGGCTCTCAACTATTGGCTCTTGCCTACCTAATCACAGCCTTAGAGAGCTAATATACCTTAGGCTCCACAGTAGCTTTAGGATCACATATTCATACTGAATATTTTGAAATCCAACAAAAATAGGTAAAATAAGTTGTTAATACAGAAATACTCTAAATATGCTTGCGAATGGTCAATAGAGTGGACAATTTCAAAATTTAGACCTGTAATGTTTTCACTGTACAAAGCATATGATTTGTATGCATTTTCATTAAGTTACTCAATAGCGAATGGGTATTTTTACAATTCCTAGTCTTTCTTGCTAAACAATTCACCGAATCAAAATGACACATGTAATATGTTCTAGAGAAATGGACAAAGACCTTAGATTCTATCACGAGTCTATAATCAGAATCATTTCAATCTTGAAAATGAGATTCAACGAGTCACATACAATAATCGGAATGTAAGAAGAACACATGCATAAGCTTTCTAAGAATGGTGTCTAATGGGCTAAACCCCACAAGAAGGGTAAGCCCGTCGAAAATCAACGATGACAAGAGTAGCAACACAATGAACAAGAGCACCCAAAACTACAAACACATGGAATATCTGATGGCTATGTCCTGCAATATCAAACGTTCCAGGCTTCCATCTCTCAGGGACACGGCTAACGTAAAACACCACCCCCAAAGCATAAGAAACAGCCGTGGCAAGCTCGTAACCTAGCGCGATGAACACGTTAGGGTGACCCCAGTAAAGGCAGAGCACATGCGAAGCCGGTATGATACCGGAGAACCCCATAGCGAGGAAGAGATTTGCCCTGAAAGGTCTGAAACGCGGCGTGGAGAGAGCCGGAGCGAGGAGAGTGACGGTGGAGAGGAGGCCGAGGATTGAGATGGAGGACAAGTAGATGAAACGGAAGTAAGGGTTGCAGGAGAAAGCGTAGTAGATTGGTGCGAAGAAAGAGGCGATGATCATGAGTGAGATCCCTGCGTAGTCCAGACGCCAGAAGAAGAGGTTGAAACATTTTGAGTGGCAAGCGAGGAGGTGTGAAACAGAGCTACAGATTAAGCAGGCCATTGATCCGGCTAAGTACACGAACCACGGCCATTTCGGAATAACATCTCCTTGGTGGTTGTGATTGTTCACTTCTCCTTGAACATTTTGAAGTGAGATGTGTTGTGTCACGTTCGAATCCTGCAATAGTGAATCTATTAAGTTTAGATGAGTCTTGTCATTAGATAAAAGCACCATTATTTTCCGGGAAATGAGTTTATTTTGATACTCAAAGTGTATTAATGTTTTTAAAAATGTACATTTTAATTCTTGAATATATACTTCCATTGTTTGGCTAATTAAAACAGCATTTTAAATTCGTTAATGAACAACACTACTAACAACGAAATCAACTAAAAACCGAGTCAAATTGTCAATTAATCATGGATTAACCTAATCCAAAAAATACTAATCTGACCGATAAATTTCAACCACGTCAGAGTAATTAACAAAGATAGATTTCAAAAGCACAAAACCCACTTTTAAAAAAACATAAAGATATAAACTTTATGAGAAATCAGATAAATTGACGAGCACTTTAAGTATTAATTGAACACTTTGTCAGAAAATTTAAGTCATTTCCCATGTTTATATTCCTGAAAAGGTAGGTGATTTTGAAATAAAGGTTTGGTGGGGGCTCAAAGCACAAGAGAAGAAAGGTCCAAATAAACATATCGAAAACAACACATGGTGGGGCCAATTTTACCACTACACTCTTCTCTGCATCACAGCTTCAGAAAATGACAAATATATATCGCCAATTTGTTATGTTGTGTGTTATCATTTTAGTATTCATATGTCACAGAAGATAAGATATCTCGAATATTAAAAAGAGAGAGAGATTACAAAAACAAACAAAAATCTTACATGATGAAGCAGAGTCTGATTGCTTGAGAGGCTAATCCTTGCTCTATCGTCAGGCCCCACACACACAAAAAGCCGGATTTATATAATTTTAAAACTTTTTAATTCAATAGAAAAAATCTAACGGAAATGACTATTTTGACCTCGGCGGTTCTGTTCTTACCCGTACATGCCGTTGAAGATTCCGGCGAGGCCAAGCTCCGTCGTCTCTAAAGAACTCACCACCGTTATCCACATAAATATCAGAAATCCGAGCAAGTGCCTGCCGATTTTCAAAATTCCCAAACTCCAAAATCAATTCAAATTTCCAGAAATCACGAAACCAAAGATATTCAAAAGCGAAATTTACGGCCTCGAATTAGATTCAAATTTCAAAAATTACGGAGAGATTTTTTGAAATTGGATTGACTATTGCTTTCAACGTACGTCCAGATGTTGAGAGTCTCGTTGTGCCAAGAGAAAGCACTGAGGAAGGTATCTCTGAGAGACCATTGACATCGATAATGGTTGTGAATAAACTCGTTATCCTTCATATACGCAGGCAGCTCCTCAAACTTCATCAACCTCCGCACGATTCTCGTCTCTTCGCCGGAATCCGTTCGCTTCAAATCGGTAACCGTCACCATCGCCGAAGTTTTCCTCGCCGCTCGTCGTTTCTTCATGCTAATTTCCTAACGAAATGAGGAAAAAAAACAGCTCTAAGTAAGGTTTTCCGGCGAGATTTATCCCTCGATTGGTAGAAAGAAATGAGGTGTAATCGGAAATCGCCGGAAAACGAGAAAATCTAGCTGCGGAGAATCTACGTCCGTCGCTTTCTCTCCATTAATCGGGAAATCTGATATTCGGTGGTCCTAGTCGCTTCCTTTCTCCTATTTATAGGGACACGAAATCTCTTTCAAAGCTTCTCCTTCGTGATCGTGACCGTCCCTTTTGATAAAATTCTTACGTGTACTCCAATAATTGGATTACGTGATTTTCTTGGCGTGCGGTTGGACTCACCTGATTATATTATTAATCCCTCAATGTGCTGCATGTGCACAAAGTGTGTGTGGTGCGTAAAACTAGAACACTACTATGTGTTGATTATACAAATAGCATAACGCAACGTAAGGCCTAACTAAGATGATTCCGTGGATATTTCGCCAATTGAAATTGGCATTTTACTTCAACAAATTGAAGATTCATTGTGTGTAATTGTAATGTCCATGGCAAAATCTATGAGTACGTAGTTTCCTTTTGCAGCAAGTCAACGCTGTGCTGTTATGAGTCAATTGTTGTATAAAGCTTTTCGTATACATCTCAAATTCATCACCAAATTCAAAAAGCAAAAAAGAGCTACAACGAGATTGTGTAGAACAAAAAGAGCTGTGGTTTAAGAATCAATCGATCTTGACAGAAGAGTAGATAAGCCTGGTGAACCAAAAGCAAGCGTAGAAGCCAATCGCGCCGGTGAAGACGAAGAAAACGTAAGAGACGATGAGCATATAACCGAAGTAGAGTATCCCGGAGACGAGTTTCGTGATCTCGAGCTTACTATAGAAGTAAAACGCAGCGTAAAGAAAGAGATAAACAGCTGAAGATCCTGACGTTAAGTAAGATCTCCACCACCACTGATAGTCTTCACTACAGAGCTGGAAGTAACAGAGAACGACAGTGATCTCCGCGCAAGTGATGATCAGAATGATGAAGACGATGAAGAGGAACCCGAATATGTAGTAGAACTGGTGAAGCCATATCGAGGTGAGAATGAAGAAGAGCTCGATGAAGACCGCACCAAACGGAAGAATGCCTCCGATCAAGATGGAGAAGATCGGGTTCATGTACCAGGCTTGTACCGGTACCTGCCTCGGGATCTTGTTGGTTTTCACCGGATCTTCCAACGCCGGTTTTCGAAAACCGATGTAGCTACCGATGAAAACAAGCGGAACAGAGATACCGAACCAGAGAACAACAAGAGCGAACATTGTACCGAACGGGACTGCTCCTGATGATTTCTGCCCCCAGATGATAGCGTTAAGGACGAAGAAGGCGACAAAGACGGTCGCAGGGAACATAAACGCCGTTTTCAACGCGATTTTCTTCCATTCGGTGCCTCTCAACGTTTTGTAGAGACGAGAAGACGCGTATCCAGCTAAGAGTCCCATGAAAACCCAGAGAAGAAGCATAGCAGTCATGAGACCGCCTCTGTTCGAAGGAGATAAGAAGCCGAGACAAGCGAAGATCATGGTGACAAGAATCATCCCAAAGCATTGAACACCAGTGCCTGCATATACACAGAGCAACTCCGGATTCTCCGGCGGCCGGAAAACATCTCCGTGCACCAGTTTCCAGCCAGTCTCTTCGAGGACTTCTTCGTGAGTCTCTAGCTGATTGTAGTTGGAGATGTCTCGGTAGAGTGTTCGTAGCATGATCATTGCGACCATACCGGAGAGGAACAGAACAATCATCATAGAGTTAACAATTGAGAACCAGTGAATCTGATCATCAGCCATTAGAAGGTACGTGTCCCACCTCGACGCCCATTTCACTTCGCTTTCTTGGAAATCAACGTCGTATGTGAAGATAATCTCGTTCCCTTCTGCGACCTCTTGAGGAGACTCGGAGTTTGTGACTGCTCGCTTTGTGTGAGGGTCACATGTCGTTAGCCGAGTCTTTTCATTCCATTGACCTTCGTATTCATGCTTGACACTAAACAACCAATCATATGTTAGTCTACACATTGCAGAGTCAAGTTCTTTAAAACATGATAGAGTTAAGAAATTGCAAACCTGAACGGCTTAACCTCAAAACCGACGATTCTTGAAGAATCAGTCTCTATATCTCTGTGATATCTAACAGTGAAGGTCAAGTGGTTGTGGATGAAATACTTTTCCTCCTTTTTCTACAGGAAATCAAAAGATAGAATCAAAACTCATTTCTTTAACACATATATACATGAAAATGTGATGATTGATGAGCACTAACACCAACGAAAATTCCCTTGAGACCAACATGGAAACCATGCTGATAAACTACGACATTTTCCTGATCTGGCCTTTTCACCGGAACAACTAATGGAAGATTATCCAAAATCCTGCATCATAAGAACATCAATCACAAGTAAAGCACAAATCAAACCAAATGCGATGGTGAAAATGCCTTACATGTTGACTCGATATTCATCAGCAATCTTCTCCTTTAATGCCTTGGCGCTTTTCTTATCAAGCTGTACACGACAAACCGCTGCGCACATCTGCGATTCCCTCATTTTAAACTGCAAAACAGAGAGTCAAACGTATTGATCTCTCACCAAGAACACATAGAGAAGGAATAATCAAGAAGTGATGATGAAACATACCACAAAGGGAGAGTTCTCGATTCGATCACCGCGAAGAACTTCACCGAGATTCTCTGCACTGTCTACGATATGTTCAGGACGACAATAAGGAAGAGAATAGTACGAGTATGGAAGCTGAGTCTTTGTAGATGTCAGTTTATTAACTTTCACCATCAATGCATCTCCCTGCAAAAACACCATAAAAACTTCAAATTTGTTCATCATGTATAGATAATGAACATCATACATTACATTCTACTCCAAATTTGTTTCTTCGAGAGCTAGATTCACAACATTGGCTAAAACATATATACTAACAGCAACATTTAGTGAGAATTTAAGATCAAAATCGCTCAATCTCGTGAAACGAAAGCAGTAAACACATCCGTGACGGCGATGTAGATCCGATTTTAGCAAGAGATCAGGAATTTGCATCGGATCTAAAATCAGGAACGAAGCAAAACAATCGATAAAGCGAAAATTCGGCGTGAATCAAAACTCTAATAGCCCCATAGTCACATTTTGAGGATGCACACAAAGCGATTATGTAACTAACCATTTGAAAATCCTGTGGAGCGACGCCGGGAAGATAAAAGCCATGGACATGGAGATTGAGAAAGAAGAAGATAACAGAAGCGATGAAGATCAAAATCCGAATCTCGATCGGTCCTTTGAGACCCGCCATTGATGAGCTTGAATTTTCTTCTTCTTCGTCTTCTTCGTAGAATGGGAAGTAGAGTGAATTTCTTAAATGCAAGAAGGCTTCATGGCAATTGGACGTTTTATGACCGTTGGATCTCTTAGAATCTCGTTTGATTTAATAAACGGTTGAGATTTCCTCATTTGGAGCTGTCGGTGATTCTTCTTTCATCAGTGTAATCAAAATATCAAAGTCAACACTTTAAAAGGTTACTTTTTAATGGAAAAATAGTAAAGTTTTACGTAACTTCTCAATTCAATTATCAAAGTCAATTTTTGTGTAATGTGTTATTTACAAGAAACGAATTTTTATTTATTGAATAAGATTAGGTGAGACTTGTTAACGTAGCAAAGTGGATATGAGTTTGTGTCGAGAATACGAATAATTATGAAAAAGTATATTTCAAATGATAAAATAAATATAAAAAAGAGATTTAAACCAATCAGAACATTAATTCAATTTGGTAAATGAGGATGACCCGTTAACTATTCTAGCAAACTATGAAAACACACACACCAACAACCGATCATACGTAAATGAATGCATCTTTACCAAAACCATGTAAGAAAATAAATACACATCCACACAATACAAATTTGTACTATGTAAACGTAAAATCTTTCTTAGTTTATAAAATGTTTGGGATAAAATAGTATTTCTTATTTGTTCAGTCAGTGTCCTTATCAACGATTTCAGTCCTGTATATGAAGTAAACACAGATTAAAAGTAATAATATTTTTATTAAATCAGAGTAACATTCATTCAAAATACATTTCTAGATCATTTGATACTTATTTTTAGGTAAATATACGATGCAAACATGATTAATTATTTAATTATCATGTTCACGATTAGGACCACCCGGAGTTTTCCTTTTAACATCATACAGTATATAAGGGTAATGTCTGAGATCAGAATCGGTAACGACTTTGCTTTCAACTTCAAACAAACGATGAGGTTTGTGCATTGGATCAGTGCTGCTCTCAACTCCAATCCCCGAAAGACCTTCACGGATAGCAACCATTGGTGATGTCATATGGACCAAGATTAGGGCTATGATTAAGATCACACCTCCTTTCAATACTCTCATCATTTCTCTCTTTGTTTCTGACTTTTTACTACAAGTTTTTTTTCTTTCTAATTGGTTGCTTTTAGTTCATCTCTTTTCTTCTCTCTTTATAGTAGAAATTTTCATGCTAAATTAAATGGAGGTAATCTAACAAAAATAATATAGAGATAAGAATGAATATGTTAGAACTTAGATGATATGTATCAGAGTTATGGTTTTTAGATATGTTCTCTATATTTTATGTAATATGTATTAGAGTTATTAACCAAAGGTATAATTAATAGCAAAAATTAATAAAATATAGAGAACATCATTGTTTTTTTTTTTGTGTGTCAGTTTCTAGTTCTATTAGATTTTTTTTTGTTATCTCTCCTAATTTTCCAAATACATTTCATTATTAATTTAAAAATAGTTTCAATCCCATAGAATATTTTGCAAAACTTTTTATTCTCATTAACATGTCGACAAGTGTACATGATGTACATTTTAGTTCTCCTTATTGAATCAAGACCATACCTTCTAATACATGTCTTCCAACTTCCAAGTTATTCGGGGATTGGAGTTGAGAGCAGCACTGCTCCAATGCATAAACCACATCGTTTGTTTGAAGGTGAAAGCAAAGTCTTTAGCGATTCTGATCCCATACATAAACCGTATCTTTGGTTTGATGGAGACAAAAGGATAATTCCGAGTGGTCCTAATCCTCTACATGATTATTAATTTTTTTTGGTATCTTATTTTTACGAAGAATAGCATCAATTGCTCTATAAATGTTATTCTGGTATAATAAAGATATTGTTATTCATTTTTCATTTTATGTTGGATCACGAGATGAAATATTTTCCTATCAAGCAGAGATCGAAGCAAAATAACGATGAGCATATGATTTTCTTTGTGTACAGAAGACATTAAAGAGAAAGACCGATCAAATAGTTGAAATGGTTACTTCAGTCAATACTATTAATCAAACGGTCATTACACAAATCACCATTTCACGAAAAATCAGTATTGCGTGCGTCAATTTGTGAAATTGTAATTGTAATTGTAATTGTAATTGTAAAATACTTATTTCTATAAGATATTTAATTAGTTGATTATTTAAATTTATAATTTTTAAAAAATCAAAATAGCATATCCAGATATTAATAGCTTTTATTTCATATTTGTAAGAGATATCTCCAAAATTACATGTCATATTTGTTGCCAAACTATTTCATATTTTTGCTTTATATGTCACATTTTTCTTTGCTACGAACAATAAAATTGAAACATGTAAACAGTCAAACTTAATATACTTTTCAATTAAGAGTTTAAGACTAAAAATATGATTTTGAATTTTGATTACAACTTAAAACTTACTAGTATACTTTTCAACTTAATACAGCTATTTAAATGGTCGCAGCCTACAAAAAAATGAAAGAAAAAAAAAGACAGACGATAACAGAAAATGTCTCTTTTGCCCTTCTTCAGGTTCACTGAGATGCTCCAATGGCTTCTCTTGCTTTCGCTACCTCCACTTCTCATCTTCTTCGCAACCTATCTTCGCTCACCGAAAAATCTTCCGCCATGTCCTCCAAGGCTACCTATCTTAGGAAACATCCACCAGCTCGGAAGTCTCCCTTACCGCAACCTCAGAGATCTCTCGCTCAAATACGGCCCCGTCATCACCGTCTATCTCGGAAGCGTCCGCACGGTTGTTGTCCACTCTCCGGAGACGGCGGAAGAAGTTCTGAAAGCTCACGACTCCGATTGCTGCACTCGCCCGAAATTATCCATCACCAAGAGCTTTTTCTACGACGGACTCGGACTAGGATTCACTCAATGGGGCGATTACTATAAAGACGTTCGTAAACTCTGCGTTCTCGAGCTCTTCTCCGTCAAACGAGCCAACTCGTTTCGGAATTTGAGAGAGGAGGAGCTGAGTCGACTCGTCAACTCGCTATCCGAGTCGGCCGGTTCTGGATCTTCCGTAGATCTGAGCGAGAAGCTGGTCAAGTTCGTCGCGAGCTTCACTTGTCGAATGGCGTTCGGGTTGAGTTTCCTCGGAAGTGGAATCGACAACGAGAGGTTCCTGGAAGTGTTCACGGAGGCGAATCGAGTGATCGGAAAATTCGCGGCGGAGGATATCTTCCCTGTGTTTGGTTGGATCGTTGATCGGATCTCCGGGCTTGAATCCAGCCGGAGGAAGGCCTTCCGAGATCTCGACACGTTTTACCAGAAGGCCATCGTCGATCATCGGGTTAAGAAGAAAACTGAAGGAGAACGTGAAGATCTCATCGACATCCTCCTCAAGTTACGGAGTCAAGAAACCAAACTCGGCTCCTCTGGAATCACTGATAAACACATCAGAGCCATTCTTATGGTTAACTTTCAAAATCAACATTCAAATGCAAAATTTCAAGATTTGAATTTGACGTATTGTTTTTTTCATTTTCAGGATGTGTTTGTAGCAGGAGTAGATACATCTTCGATCAGTATGGATTGGGCAATGGCAGAGATTGCAAGACATCCAAGAGTGATGAAGAAGCTACAAACGGATATTCGTGAACACGTAGGAGACAAAGGGAAAGTCTCTTACGAGGATCTCGAAGGTCTAGTTTACATGAAAATGGTGATCAAGGAGACTTGGAGGTTACACGCACCGAGTCCGATTCTGATTCCGAGAGAGGCAATGTCGAGATTCAAGATCAAAGGCTACGACATTTACCCTGGAACGAGGATTCATGTGAACACATGGGCCATTGGACGTAGCCCTGATGTGTGGGAAGATCCTGATGAGTTTATCCCTGAGAGGTTTGTGGGTAGCAATGTGGAGACTAAAGGGACGAGCTTTGAGTTGTTGCCGTTTGGGAGCGGACGGAGAGGTTGTCCGGCGATGTACGTGGGGTTAACGACGGTGGAGTTTACGTTGGCGAATCTTTTGTATCATTTTGATTGGAAAGTGGTGGAGGAAGTGAGTGTTGAAGAAGCTCCTGGTCTTACTAGCCATAGGAAGCATCCTCTTCGCCTTGTTCCTGTTAATGTCGTAAGTCGCAAGTAAAAGCAGTTTGTCGAAGTGTAAGGATTAATAAAGTTTCCGTTTTTAAATAAAGTATGGAAATGTGTTCAAAAGGAAGAAATTTGAGACCCTTTATTCAACTTTTGATGATTCACATTTTCAGAGCAAAGTAGAAACATTCTAAAACACCATAACTATTGAGACCTTATTAAAACCAAGCAATCACATCAATAAAAAACTTCAGGGTCTCTCTTCGACTGTCCAGGTTTGATCTAGGAAGAAGAATTCGTCTGCACCCATTCAACAAGCGTGGCAACACCAAAGCCAGTCCCAGACTTCTTCTTGTCGTTCCAAACCGGTCCAGCCATGTCTATATGCATCCATTGCACCTTCTCACTCACAAACTGAGAAACCACAACAAATAGAGAAATGGTTTAGTAATCAGGAATATGTTAATATTTATAGTCTTTGAAGAGACTTTGTTTTTACCTGTTTCAAGAAGAGAGCTGCTGTGATAGAACCTCCTGCACGTCCTCCAGTGTTGACCATATCAGCAACTCCAGACTTCATCATCTCCCAATAGCTGTCTTCTAGTGGCATCCTCCATAGCTTCTCTCCACTCTTCTCTGATGCAGCGATCACTTCCTTTGCAAGCTCCTCGTTAGGTGTGTAGATTCCTGTCAAAGTGAAGAACAGCGATTAAAGAATCCCAATCAAAAGCGAGGCAAAGATGAATGGTTTTCTTGAGGGTAATTTAGTTATGTACCTGCCATTGAGGGTCCAAGAGCAATAACGCAGGCTCCAGTCAACGTAGCAAGGTCAACAATCTGCAAGGAATTTCACTCTTTTAATAGTAACAATCTACTTTCAGCTTCTCTTATCAATAAGAAAAGAAAAACCATTGTAATACCTTGTCAACGCCCTGGTTACAAGCATACACAAGAGCATCTGCAAGTGTAAGACGACCTTCAGCATCTGTGTTGTTGACCTGCACCCACCATCGCCAACAATTAGCACGACATAGTAAAGACAGCAACAATCGAACCTTTAGGAAAAGAAAAAAGCTCTGATACCTCAATGGTTTTTCCGTTTGAGGCTGTGATGACATCTCCAGGTCTCATTCCGGTTCCACTAATCATATTCTCACAGGCTGCAACTATGAAATGAACCTGAACGTGGAAGAACAGTTGTTTTAGTTACGTTTTTTCGTTGAAAATAAACTCTAGCTTCAGAAAAATCTAACGGGAGAAAGCTTTACCTCAACACCAGGAGGCTTAATCTCACCAATGGCTTTCGCAGCGCCAAGAACGGCAGCTGAACCACCCATGTCGAACTTCATGAGCTCAATCATGCTTCCTGGTCCAGCCTTAATGTTGTAGCCACCACTATGAACACAAAGAAGAAATTTGATGAAAATACGTAACAGCGTAAAACTCAAAGCAATACAGAAGAGAAATGCTTCTAAGTGATAACCTGTCAAAGGTCAATCCTTTTCCAACAAGAGCAAGTTTCGTCTTAACAGAGCCACTCAAAGGTTTGTAGACAAGGTGGATGAAATGAGGAGGATTAGCCGACGCAGCAGCAACAGCTAGATAAGATCCCATCTTCAACTCTTTGCATTGCTCTTCGCTCAAGATGTTTGCAGTGAAGACATCTTTGTACGTGGAAGCGATTTTAGCTGCTTCCTCAGCTAGTACAGCTGAAAAGATACAGAAAAAAATATAGCAGATTAGGCCAATGAAACTTCACACTACACAAAGATGAAAATCTTCAAGGAAACGATCTATACCAGGAGTAAGCACATTGGCAGGAGAATTAGTGAGCTCTCTCCCGAGAATCACGCCGTAAGAAACATCTTCAGCATACTTGAGCTTCTTCTCTAGCTCAGGTCCAGTTCCAAATCCAATGATATCCACAGATTTCAAAGATGGTTTCTTCGAATCAGACTTATACCTATTATCTTCGAACAATCCGAGTACTACGCCTATTCACAAGTAAACAATCAATTCAACCCCAAATCAGTTTCCAAAGACTCGAAATTGTGTTATATAAATTGATGAAATGTGAAGTTACCTGAAGCAATAGCTGATGCAGAACTAAACTTTGATTCATTTTCAGGTGAGGCAAGCACAATAGCAACGCTGCTAGATTGAGAAGCTTTTGAAATTGTAGCAACGACTTCACCGAAACTCTGAAAAGCCGCCGGAGACGAAGCGGATTTTCCGAGACCGATCAAACCGATCCGTTTTGATCCTAAACCGGGAAGCCTGAGAACAGTTGACTGACCAGGTTTTCCGGTGAAATCCTCCTCCGAAGAGACTAAAGCTAGAAGTCCACTGGAGTGAGCATCGAGCTTGTTTAAGATCGGATTCACGAACTTCGATTTATCGTCTTTCGCCAAGTCTTTCTCCGTCACTCCAACGACGAGGACGTCTCCTTTCCATTCCGTTACGTCGATCTCCTTCGCCGCGAACGAGATCTGCTCCAAAATTCAAAATTGATCGATTAACAAAAAAATATCAACGAGAAATCTATGGACCTTCAACGCTGGATCATTGAATCGGAACTTCAAATCATCAGATAATTAGAGTAAAGCAAAGAGTGACAAAAAAAACCTTAGGAAGCTCGGTGGAGTTGGGTTGAGTGAGGCCGAGAATGTGAGCCATGGCTTTTGGCTTTTGAAGAACAGTGGAGATGTTTGATTACGGAAGCTCTCAAGGAGGAAGACGAAGGAAAAAGGGAAATGAAAGTGACGGCCATTCAAAGCCGTCAGAGCAATCGTATATATAGAAGGAGAAGAAGATGTTTATCTTTGACGATGATTTGATTATCCGACCCATTCGATACGGGTTTTTATGGTTTCACCCGGTTTTACTTATTGTACACGTGTGATGCGTGCTTTAGTATTTTGGTTGGTGTAACCCAATTTACTTAACCAGTCATGTCATAGTGTCATACATTGAGGCCTTTTAAAGCCCAAATATTCCATTCATGTGGTGAGCACATTTTTGTATCAAGCTTCAAGCATTATGCTAGAGTAAACTCAAACCAGTTCTTGCGTATGTTTCAGAAGTGATCTTCTATGTATAAACTTGTTTCTTCCAAATTAATCAACCAGTCAAATCTTTTTTCCTAATTTAAATGTGTAGTTGAAAAACAAAAGATTCAACTATTCGCATATATTGACCTTAAATAAAACATCCGAACCTTGAAAGTTACAGGGCGTGCTAGTCAAATATGGAGCCTATATGATAACAATTATTCAATTTTTTGTTTTGTAAACAACAGTCTAACTGAAACGTTGTGTTTCATCCGACTATAGTTTAAGTTTTAAGAACATAATATTCAAATCAAATAGGTCGTCCAATGGCTTATAGACAATCATTAATCTATGGTTATGGTCATGGTTTTTATATTCCTTGTATATTATATTGCTCTCTATGCGATTGCTAGTGTCCTCTTGTTCTCTAATATTTCTTCCTCCGGTAAGAACTAAGTCATCAATTAGAACAGAGCATAATGTCAACATACGAGATAAGCTATTGATTTCACAAAGCCCAACAATAACAAAGTGGCCCAGTTAAGTTGTTAGGCTCAAACAAGATCAGAAGTCTCGTTTTCATTTGTCAACCACATGCACTACTGCAATATGGTGTTGGATGGGTAATTATATTGATACATCAACGACACTAACATAAATTGAAGACCAGCACAAGAAACCAAGATAATATTTTCATAAATTGAGAGATCCTAAAAAACTCATGAGATACATGTTCAACTTGTTCTCATTTGATTGGTTTCATTTCTCTTTGTAACTTAAATTAAATAGTTAAGCTATATTAAAAACTAGATTAAGTCCCGCGTATACACGCGGGTTTATTTTAAAATTTATAAAATTAATCACAAAAATATCAAAAAAAATCGGATCATTTTGGTAAATAAAATAGTATTAGAAATCAATAATAAATATCTAAATTAAATAAAATTGGTAATCCTTTTACATTTTAATTATAACTCACATTTTGTTTCTGAATTCATAATATAAAAAATGATTTTTTTTATCTAATATTAGAAAGAATTACATGTGTCTAAATTTGATCAATTAATTAATTCGTAAATTTTTGATTATTCGATTTAAAACTTGAAAATTATCTTATTAAAAATTATAAAATGGGTCTATTATAAATTTTTCTTTTTAATATTAGTTAGTTGCTTGATAATTATTCTGTCTGTTTTCTATTTATATTGTTTCTTTTTCAATATTTTTTTAGCCTCTCTCCATTATTAATTTCCCTTTCCAATATCAATTAGGTTTTTTACAATGTTACTTTTCTTTTTTCTGTTAATACATTTTTCCAATGTTCTTGTGTTAACACAACTCATCACCTGATCAATTATTAGACACATGTTGCGACAATAAATTCAATTTTGATCCAACTGATCTAAAATTAAATATTCTTCATTGATATCTAACTTTCATATTTATATAATAAGATATAAATATAAAATGTTACTAACTTTTTCATCAAGTAATAGAAGGTCAACTCCCATAAGAATATTGTTTTCTTTAGGATTTCTAGCTTCCCACTTTCGAATAACACGTACTATAGTACGGCGATAATTTCGATTTCGATCCAATTGACCTAGAGTCAAATAATCTCCACTGTTCTTTTGAACTTTCAAAGACATAATTTTAAAATTAGAGAAAGAGAATCAAAGAGATTTGCTGAATTTGCTTTGATGAGTCTGTGAATGAGAAAAAGAGATTACAGTAGCTCTCTTTTTATAGGGGGTTCATGTAACCTATTCCATACAGTTTTAGGATATTTAGTTTACATACATATTCCATGTACTAATAGAATTTTTTTAAACATGGGTTTATGTAACCTATTCCATACCGTTTTAGGATATTTAGTTTATATACATATTCGATGTATTAATAGAAATTTTTTATAGCATTATTTTCAATTTATTTATAAATTTTCGTTTTTATTATAAAATATTAAAATTTTCCCTTTAAAAAAAGTTTTCTTTTTTCCTAAGACACGTGTCACGATCTTAACGGACCTAACCTTAAAAGTGACACATGTCATGATCCTATATTTTATAAAAATCCTATGTGTCGCAACCACGTCGCGCGCATCCAGCTTTATATAATAAGATATGAAGATTATAATGATAAGATATCCTTTCTTGTCTCTCACCATACCCATTAATTACTCCATTAGAAATGTTTTATGGTTTTTTTCTTTCTTTCTATTTGGTGGTGGTCCCCTCATGGCCTCATGATACATACATACTCACATGTCATTAGCTTAATCTCCGACACTGGCACGTTCACCTTTGTTCAAAGTGCGTAGTTAGTAAGATTTTCTTGCCACGCCTTTCGTCGAAACTTTTCATCTAAAGGCAATTTAATGTTTACCAAATCATAATAAGCCACTATATAAATGTTGTGTCGATAGATACGTGAAACTCGGGCAAAACGTGGACACAATAAATAACATTACATGTTGTTATATTTTAAACACTAATATATAAAGGTATCAGGTATGTCTACAACCTAATAAACCAGCTAACTAGAGTAATACTTTTATTCAATGGCAAGTGTACTGCAAATAGGCTCAGCTCTTATTTACAGTAATGCCCTTGTGAAGACTATTCGACTTCGTCCAAAGTCTTTCACATGCACCGTAGTGGCCAAACCGGTACCGGCCGGTGATGAGTCTTCGGCTGTTCCTCGTCGTTCCGCAAACTATCCGCCTTCTCTATGGGACCATCACCATCTCCTCTCGGTCGAGAATATATATGCGGTACGTAAGTGTTCCATATATAATTGAGTTCTATCTTCGTAGCAATGTTTATTTACAATTTCCACTGGTTTCAGAAAGGGAAAAGTGTGCGAGAGAGAGACTTGTTGAAGGAAATGGTGAGAAAGATGCTCGTTGATGAGAAGGCGACTTATCTTGACAAATTGGAGCTCATTGACGACTTACAAAAACTCGGGGTTTCTTACCATTTTGAGCGGGAAATCGATAACGTTTTAACAGATTCTTATCAAAAAAATAGAAGAATCATCAGAACGTATGAGATGGAGAAAGATCTACATACTATCGCACTCGAATTCCGACTTCTAAGACAACATGGTTTCAATGTTTCAGAAGGTAAATCATTACTTTAATTTAAATTTTAAATCCTTGTTCTGTTTTAATTTTTGAATACTCCGCTTTCAAATTAGGTTTTAGAAATTTCCCTCATTTTTATTTTAACTGTTAGGTTCTATGAAAAATATTATATAAAAATAATAGAGGGAAATGGAATACAACTAATGAAATTGTTTATTACAGATGTATTCGATGTTTTCATGAAAAAATGTGGGAAGTTTGAGAGTGGTGATGATATAAATGGACTCATATCTCTGTACGAGGCATCATATCTTTCAACAAAGTCGGATACTAAACTGCAAAAGTTCATCAGACCTTTTGCAACACAGAAACTCAGAGACTTTGTGGAGACTCACAGTACTAAAGAATTTGGATCTTGTGATGTCCAAGAAATTGTGGTCCAAGCGTTGGATATGCCCTACTATTGGCGAATGAGAAGACTAGCAACGAGATGGTACATACATGTGTATGGAAAGAGACACAACAACAACGTTGTCTTAGTTGAATTCGCCAAGCTTGATTTCAACATCCTACAAGCTGTTCATCAAGAAGAACTCAAATACGTTTCCAGGTAAATGTTAATCACTAGTCATATTGCAATGGCCAATTCTTCGAAATGTCACATTTTACATTTTTTGTTATAAACGTAACACTACAAGTTTAGTTTTCCAATAAAAAGCAGAAATTCAATATCAAAATAATTTAAAACTGTTTTTTAATGAAGGGAATCTAAACCCTAAACTAGTAAAAAGAAGTCTAAACATAATGTTTTAATTTTGTGTAATTTATTTAGTGAAACTCTTTAACAAAAAAAAAAGTGTAATATATTTAGTGTTTAAACTGATGTTTTATTAAATAATTTGTGCTGCTTTTGGAAATTTAAAATATGGTGTGCTAGATTTGGAACAAAAATTATTTATGTTATTTTAGAGAATTTCTCTATTGCAGTTTAACATATCTTACACGGTTACACCTATTGAGTATTCCCCTGTTCCAGCATTTTAAGCTCAAATGAATATGTGACACAAAAGCTTTTGTTTGTCATTTTGAGTGATGGCACAACGTAAGAACGACAACACTAATACAAATTACAAGCTACATGTCTTGCTCACAAATAAATATTCTTTTAATTTTGTAAAAACGAGATAACATATATATATATTTAATACTCTTTTGTTTCCTCTCGTTATACATGTGGTATGAAGCTGGTGGAGGGAAACGGGTTTAGGTAATCAACTTCACTTTGCAAGAGATAGAATAGTGGAAAATTATTTTTGGACTATTGGACAAATTCAAGAGCCTCAATTTGGGAACGTTAGACGAACAATGACTAAAGTAAACGCACTTCTTACAATCGTCGATGACATCTACGATATCTATGGCACTCTTGAAGAACTTCAACTCTTCACCGTCGCAATTGAAAAGTAAAAACCCGCTCACTTTTATCTGTAGTTCATTTTGTTTGTATTGTATTATCTTATAATTGTGGACATGAAATTGCATTGAAAGCAGTTGGGATGTAAATCGTCTTGATGAACTCCCCGAGTACATGAGGCTGTGTTTTCTTGTTGTGTACAATGAAGTTAATAGCATTGGATGTGATATTCTCAGAAATAAGCATATCAACGTGATCCCTTTCCTCAAAAAGTCTGTAAGTATATTATCTTTGTTTTATGATAATTTATTAAACCAAAAAAAAAAAATATTTAAACTTGAAACCATTGTCTCAAACTTACCGTATATATATTGTAAGTGTAACTAATAGTCTCTTTTTAATCATCTTATAGTGGGCAGATGTATGCAGAGCATATTTAGTAGAAGCAAAGTGGTACAAAAGAGGACACAAACCAGATCTGGACGAGTACATGCAAAATGCTTGGATTTCCATCTCTGCCCCAACCATATTTGTTCATTTCTACTGCGTATTCTCCGACCAGCTCTCTATTCAGGTCTTGGAGACTTTGTCCCAACACCAACAAAATGTTGTCCGATGCTCTGCCTCGGTGTTCCGTCTAGCCAATGACCTTGTAACCTCGCCGGTACGTAAAGTAGTTTTCTCCAAATCTAATAAATTATTGCTTTGATCAGTAGAATTATATGTATACATGTAAATGTGAAATAATTAATTCATGGCCTTGTGTCTATACTAATGAATTGATATTAATTAGTATGTGTATATGTAGGATGAATTGGCGAGAGGAGACGTCTTTAAATCCATACAGTGTTACATGAATGAGACCGGAGCGTCGGAGAAGAAAGCGCGTTCGCACGTGCGTCAGATGATCAACGACATGTGGGATGAAATGAATTACGAGAAAATGGCACATAGCACTACTTCGTTACTCCCTCAGAATTTTGTGGAAACTGTAATGAATTTGGCACGCATGTCTCAATGCATGTACCAATATGGAGATGGCCATGGCTCTCCAGAGAAAGCCAAAATCGTTGATCGTGTCATGTCCTTACTCTTTAACCCCGTTCCTTTAGATTAACTTTATGTTAACATTAGAATGCAATTCTGACAGAAATGGCAGAATTGTGTTTTGACGAAAGAAAATGGCGAAATATCTTTGTAACTTTTTGCGTCTTTTTTTTGGAGAAAAATTGTTGAATAGTATTTTTGTCGTAAAATATAAGGATTGAAATTCTTAATAGAAAATCATTAAATTATATTTTGTCGAGAAACTACATAATCACTTGTTATGTTTGGAAAATGTTTATAGAATTGTATTTTTAGATTGCTTTTTGGTTTTTGTGGATTTCAAATTATGATTTTTTTGGTTTTGTGGCTTGCGTCCTAAAAACACACCCATGAGTTTCAGTGTTTAAGATGGATTAAGAAGCCATGATTTTTCAATAAAAGGAACATTAGGTCTAGGGTTCTTCTCTTGGCCGCATTTAGATAGAGTCCTAGGGTGTTCTAGGCTTCTAGCCTCATATTTTTTGTGCCTTCTACAGTAGAGACTAACTCATAATTCCTCACACACACTAGTACCTAATCATGAACAAGGTGAATTGTGGAGCACATACACTACGAAAGTACGACGTGACCATTGGCCTTTAAAGAAAGTAAATTTATGTGAATGTACTTCATGTTTTTCATGTGACTTTCTGTGGAAACATGTTTTGCTGTCAGACATATGACAGCATGATATGACATGCGATAACATGAAGATCACACGCAACTTTTGAGGCTACTCGCATGGATAAGCAAACCACATGGTAAGATATATCCCCCGGTAATTTCCTTGTCTCATGAAGATCACACATAACTTTTAAAAATACTAGGCATATCATTTGATTTTTTTTTTTTGAAATGGTTATATATAACTTTAATATATATTTTAAATACACAAAAATCTTAAATCTCTATAGCCTCATATAACTATAAAAGCCTGAGTCCACTCGACTATGTTTATCAAATTATCAGCCACACTAATATTATAATTCAATGGCCACTTTATGTATTGCTTCAACTCATATTTGCCATAATGCTCTTCCACCCACTCCTCGAAGTCCTCAGCGTTTCGCATGGACATCCATGACCAAAATGACGCCGGTTATTGCTACTTCTGTTCCTCTTCGAGGCTCCGCAAACTATCAACCTTCTCGTTGGGACCATAACTTCCTTCTTTCTCTCGATAATATATACGCGGTACGTATGTATCTACATACATAGTAGTTTGTACATCATTTAGTAGGTTAATAACTTATAATTTTAACAAAAAAAAGGTTGATAACATATACTTGCTACTTAACAACACATGTATATTTAGTTTAAAAAACACGTGTATATTTGCTAACGCAGAGAGAAAACAGAGTTAGAGACAGAGATTCGCTGAAAGGAAAGGTGAAGAAGATGCTTGATGATGGGACTACGAGTCAGCTTGAGCAATTAGAGCTCATCGACGAATTACAGAAACTCGGGGTCTCATATCATTTTGAGCGTAAAATTGACAACATTTTAGTGGATATTTATCATAAAAATGTTAGAGAATGTGATAAAGAGGATTTGCATGCCACCGCACTCGAATTTCGACTCCTTAGAGAACATGGTTTCAATGTCTCAGAAGGTTAGTACCACCATGATCAATGATCATCATATTCGTCGTAAAATAGTTCTAGTTTTTAAATAAATTCCATGCATTCTTTTTTTCCCCGATGAAATAACATGTTGTTCATTAGTATATGGGAAAATAAAAAATTTAGTAACTATTGAATTGGCCTATACAGGTTTCGAACCTGTGACCTTCGCGTTATTAGCACGACGCTCTAACCAACTGAGCTAATAGGCCTTATTAATCACATGCATGTTAATAAAGAGAGAGTTTTCTTTCAGGCATATTTGAAGTGTTCATCAACAAAATAGAAGATGGTACGTTTGATAATGGTGATATAAAAGGCCTCATCTCTCTATATGAAGCATCGTATCTTGCGACAAAATCAGATACTAAATTGCAAAAAGTCGTTAGGGCCTATGCAAACCAAAAACTACGAAAATTTGTTGATATTCAGGATCATAATATCAACGATATTGATGTCCTTGACATGGCCGTCGAAGCGCTAGAGATGCCGTACCATTGGAGAATGAAAAGGCTAGAAACGAAACGGTACATAGATGTGTACAATAAACATGATCTCTTGATTGAATTCGCCAAGATCGACTTTAATATTGTACAAGCGGTTCATCAAGAAGAACTCAAGTACCTCTCAAGGTAATAATGATTAGTATAAACAATATATTCTTTCTTCAATTTCTTCACCTCGTACATGTGTTGTGAAGCTGGTGGAGGGAGACGGGATTGAGTAATCAACTTCACTTTGCAAGAGACAGAATAGTGGAAAATTACTTTTGGACTGTTGGACAAATCCAAGAGCCTCAATTTGGATACGTTCGACGAGTAATTACTAAAATAAATGTACTTATTACAACCATCGATGACATCTACGATGTCTATGGCACTCTCGATGAACTTCAGCAATTCACTACCATGGTTGAAAAGTAAGTACGCAGTATCTTCTTCTCTTGGTCTATTACAAAAATTATTGAACTCTATAGACTTTAAATTGCAACAAATAATGCACACAAAATTATGTGCGTGTCTAGAGCCAACCGTCCTTAAAGATTTTGGCCCTAATTTTGCAAAAGTTTATTTTTTCATGGTATAGTTATTATGATTATTTATCATATGTCTTGTTTTCAAGAACTGATATTGTAAAATCTAAATAGTTTTAATTTTAATGAGTAAAATTTCCCTTTTATTGCTTAGTATACTAAAACTCAGGACCGATTCTGTGTTTGTGTTTCATGTTTTGCAGATGGGATGTAAATCGGCTTGATGAACTTCCCGAGTACATGAAGCTGTGTTACCTTGTGTTGCACAATGAAACAAATGGTATTGGTCGTGATATACTCAAAGATAAAAATATCAATGTGATCCCATTCCTAAGAAAATCGGTAAGTATAGACGTTTCTTATACAATTATCGATTTTAAAAATACATATTCTAATTAATAATGTTTTTTTTTAATAAAATAAGTGGGAAGATTTATGTAAAGCATATCTAGTTGAAGCAAAGTGGCACAAAAGAAGACATAAACCAAGTGTTGAAGAATACATGCGTTATGCTTGGATTTCAAGCTCGGTCCCAACTTCACTGCTCCACTTTTACTGCGTATTTTCCGACCAAATCTCTAGTCAGGTCTTGGAGACTTTGTCACAACACCAACAACACGTCGTCCGATGTTCTGCCAACGTGTTACGCCTAGCCAACGACCTTGCAACCTCGCCGGTAACTAACGTTTCCTATTCTTTCTAATCATCATTTGCATGTAAACTATGATTAAAATATTTATGAACTCGAAAGATCACAAGTTCTGTCGCAAAATTAATTGATAGTTACTTGAGTGGTACATATTTACTCATATATAAGTCATAAGATAAGTTCAATCATGATGAAACTAGTTTATGTCCTCAAACTAATCGATAACGAATGAGTGGTCAAACCATATATGAAATAACAATAAAGTGTAAGGCTTATTTTATCAAAAGAATAATGTATAAGGCTTATATAGTGTATATATATGATTTTTGTGTATTGAAATATGTAGGATGAATTGAAAAGAGGAGAAGTTTTCAAATCGGTCCAGTGTTACATGAATGAGACAGGAGTTTCGGAAGAGAAGGCGTGCGCGTACATGAAGCAGATGATCAGCGACACATGGACTGAGATAAATTACGAGAAAATTTCGAACGATTCATCGATACTTCCCCGAGGTTTTGTGGAAGCTGCAATAAACTTGGCACGTACGTCGCAGTGCATGTATCAATATGGCGATGGCCACGGCTCTCCCGACAAAGCTAAGACTGTTGATCGTGTCATGTCTTTATTAGTTAATCCCGTTCCTTTGGACTAAATCAACTTGCATATTACATCGAATGTTATGTTTCACTAAGATAATAATAAGGGACGGGTATATAGTCCCATGCATGGTGCTAATTAGTATTTAGTAATTACATTCAGGTCATGCTTCATACGAGCTGAACTATGGAACATCTAAACTTAAAGATTTTATCACGGCCTCAAAATTATTGAATTTTTCTTACGGTGAGGTACACCTAAATATTTTTCAGATGACCACACCGGCTTCATGTCAATGAGAGTTGTTGAATTTTAAGCCCACCGACTCTAGCTTTCTATCCAATGTCCATGATATTGATAGAGAATAGAGATGAATGGGTCCAAACAAAAAAAGTTTAGATATAACTACTTTTGTAGGGGAAAAAAAAATATTAGAAGAGAAGAAATAAAGAGGAAATACAATTTTTATTACTATGAAGTTAGTAAAGAAAAATCTCCAAACCGATTTCGGAACTCACATAAGTGTTATCGTGTCCATATTTTATTGGCTTTTCTATTTCTGAAGAAGAGTCAAAACTCTCCTTTTATATAAAGGAGAGAGTAACCATAACAAAAAGCATGAAGAAAACTCTTTAACAATCGGAAGAATATGTCCAAAATATAAACGTGTGGATGACAAGTCGTCACTATATCCTAAAAGGAAAATTCATACCGACAACTACAAGTGCTCACGCTCATATCAAAAAATGAAACTTCAAATTCAAGATCTCAGCCGTTAATAGTCAGCTTTGCAAATCCGACGGCTGAGGATCCGTGAACTCATAAAGCTCATGAGCCGTATCGCATGCACAATCAGTTTCTTCCTTCACCTAAAAAGCTGCGACTTAAAAGGAAAGAAAAGTTTAATGAAAAATGACAACTTTGAAAGGCGACAATCCGGATTCAAAATTCTCAGTTAGTGAGTACTCTTAAATCTCAATTTTAGTATTTTTAAAAAATTTCTCTGATTGTTCTTTCTCAAATTTTGGGTGTTACGTGATGAAATTTGATTCTAATCCTCGAAAACGTCATCAATAACTTGCTCTCTGAAAAAACTAATTTTTTTAACAATCATGTGGTTTATCGTGTTGACTGTTAAACAGTTCTGTTGTTGTAGTTAGGGCTTAGATACGATCATCAGAATCTGGTAAAGCTGAGATTTTTCAGGTTTTCGATCATAATAATCTGATAAATCTGAGATTTTTCATGTTTGGGGGAGACGATTTTGTTCCATAAAGTTTTGATTTTTAGTTGTTATTAGATTCATAGTTTCACCACTGTTTGTGTGTCTATGACTGTTGATTCCGATTCTAGAGGAGACCCTTCTTCATCAATTGTTCTTCATATGAAACATTGATACTCTGTGAATAGTGATTCTCATTTGCTTCTTTCAGATAAATCTGCAGAGATTCTCAGTCAACTTTTGCAGAATCCGAAAGCTTTATTACTCTGATCAAATTTTGTTTTCATGTTCAGGACTTCTAATGGATGAAACAACAGAACACTCCTCTGTTTCATTTTCATATTCAAATTGGATCTCCAATGTCAAGAAATCAACACTCGAAGCTTACAAATCAAAACCTTTTTCACATTGGATTCTCTTGATCCTCAGTGGCTCATCAATGCTCACAGCTTTCCCAGCTTCAAGCCTACTCTCTCGTCTTTACTTCTCCAACGGTGGCAAAAGCAAATGGATCATCTCTTGGGTTGCTGTAGCTGGATGGCCAATCACTGTTCTCATCTTACTTCCTACATACATCTTTCGAAAGATCAAACCAACACCTCTCAACACAAAGCTCGTTCTTGCTTACATCGTTCTTGGTTTCTTGAGTGCTGCAGATAACCTTATGTACGCTTACGCCTACGCTTACCTCCCTGCATCGACTTCTTCTCTTCTTGCATCGTCTTCCCTTGCGTTCTCTGCTTTGTTCGGCTATCTCATTGTGAAAAACCCCATGAACGCTTCGGTTATCAACTCCATTGTGATCATCACCGGTGCTATGGCTATAATAGCGCTTGACTCGAGCTCTGATCGTTACGATTACGTAAGCAACCGTCAGTACTTTGCAGGTTTCTTCTGGGACATAATGGGATCTGCGCTTCACGGTCTCATTTTCGCGTTATCAGAGCTTGTCTTTGTCAAACTCCTCGGAAGAAGGTCCTTCCATGTTGCTTTGGAGCAGCAAGTGATGGTTTCTTTAGTAGCTTTTGCGTTTACCACTCTTGGGATGGTTGTGAGTAAAGATTTCTCAGGGATGGCTCAAGAAGCTAAGAGTTTCAAAGGCGGTGAGTCTCTGTACGTTCAGGTTCTTGTTTGGAGCGCTGTCACGTTTCAGTTGGGCGTTCTTGGAGCGACTGCGGTCTTGTTTCTTGCGTCCACGGTCATGGCAGGAGTTCTTAACGCAGTGAGAGTGCCTATCACGAGCGTAGCTGCTGTGATATTGTTGCATGATCCGATGAGTGGTTTCAAGATTTTGTCTTTGATCTTGACGTTTTGGGGATTCAGTTCTTACATCTATGGGAGCTCGAGCTCGTACACAAGTACTCAAGCTTCCTCTTCTTCCTAGTTTTGTTGCCTTTTTACTCTGTTTCTGTTCCTTAAAGTAGAATCTGTAAGTCATTATTTCTTGATTGTGATTATTGATTAAAGACAGATTCATGTAATATATGGTTATGTTCATGTTTGAGCTGCTTTGTCTCATGATCTCTTATGGCAACAAGTTTTATATGAGCAAGAACATTAAAAGCAAACAAGCTCATATATACACATAAAGAAACTTGGAGCAACAAAGAGAAAAACAGTAAACAAGGCAATGAAATGTAACTTTGAAGGAAAAAAAGAGATTTTGCAGAGACTGTGAATGTGATTCTGTTTCATTGATTAGTTTTTGGTTCAATGTCTTTAAGAAGACCAACGACTTGCTGCATACTTGGCCGCTTTGAAGGAAGATCAGCAGTGCAAAGGTAACCAATCTTGAGAGCTTCTTCCATGTGTTCTTCTGAGCCTGTCTCTTGGATTTTGGGATCAATAGCTTTTGATCCTTGACTCTTCCTAACCAAACTTCTAACCCAACTCACCAAGTCTGTATCTTTCTCACCGAGATAATCATCTTCAACCGGTTTCTTCCCTGTGATCAGCTCAAACAGAACAACACCAAAGCAAAAGACATCGGACTTCGGTGTTGGCAGATCTTGTTCCGGTTGCAAGAACTCAGGAGGGAGATAACCGGGTGAGCCGTTGGTGATATCCTCATCCAAACCGTTTCCAAAGACTTTGGCTAAACCGAAATCGGATAATCTCGGCTCCAAGTTCTGGTCAAGATACACACTACTAGCTTTCACATCTCTATGGATCATTGGAGGTGAACAACCATGGTGAAGAAAGGCCAATGCTCGTGCGGTTCCAAGCGCTACCATGTGCCTAAACCGCCATGTAGCCACCGGTCCTTCATGTCCTATGTTTTGGATTCCATTGTCTTCTTCTTCCCATGTATCCAAGCTCCAGTCATCTGTCCTCTGGACTCCAAATGGCAGATCTTGAAGCAGGTTTTGCAAGTTACCGTTCTCCATATACTCGTAAATAGCGATTCTTTGATCACCAGCTATGCAATATCCGGTTAAGGGAACAAGATTGGGATGCTTGATTCTTCCAAGAAACTCGAGCTCTCTCGCTGCTTCTTGGTCACTAAGAGTTGAGCCATGAACCAAGACTTTCACAGCTACATGAATCCCACCGGGGAGGAAACCTCTGTAAACAGGACCAAATTTACCGTCTGCTAAGAGAGTGTCTCTGTCGAAATTGGAAGTTGCAGACAAGAGATCCGAGAACGTGATGCTCAACAATGGCTTCTCAAAGATAACCACAGGAACTGCATTTGCCTGCTTGACATCAGCCACCCATGTGGTCGAATCTGTTTGGAAAGAGAACGGACCTGAAATGCTCTGTTCTTCCTTGAACGAGACATCTTTGGCTTCACAAGATTTAGGTTTCCTTCTTCGTCCAAACGCTACGAAAACCAATGCTCCTACGAGCAAGAACATAGCAGAGAGTGTCACTGCCAGAGCCAGCTTGAGTGCTCCAGTGGCTGATCCTTTTCTCTTGAAGAGTGTTGGGTTTGCAGCGATAGGGCAGCTGTTTGTAGAGCCAAAGAAAGATCTGACCAGAGTTTCCGGTGAGAATTTGCCGCTGCAGAATGTTAAGTTGTTGAAAGAGAAGTTGAATCTCTCCATCCAAGGGAGCTTCTCAAGGACAGTCATTGGTATCTCTCCTGTTAAGTTGTTCCTAGAAACATCGATAGCCACGAGGTTCTTGGTACTCAAAACCGGGATATGTCCTGATAGATGGTTTCCAGAAACATCAAGCATGCTCAAGTCACTCAGATCTGAGATCTCTCTTGATATGTGACCAGAAAGATTTGTGTTTGACAAGTTAAGATACTCTAAACTAGTAAGCTTCTCAATCCTTGGAAACATTCCTCTGTTGAATCTATTCCAAGCTAGATTTAAGTGCTTAAGCTTCTTTAGTAGTGTCAGATTCTTGAAGATATCTCCAGTGAGCTCATTCTCAGACAAGTCAAGATAAATCAAACTAAACCAGTTTGAGTCTACCTGAGAGATATGACCTTGGAAACGGTTCTTGCTGAGGTCAGCCACCTCCAGAGCCTCCTTGAATAAACTTGTTGGTGAACCTTCAAACTGATTCTCTGAAATGTTGAGTGAACTGATTGATTTCATATCAGCAAAATCTATGTCCCTGCCGTGAATCTTGTTTCTTGCAAGGTTCAAAGTTTTGAGCTTTGGAAATGCAGAGCCAAACCCATCAGGAAGAGACCCTTCAAGCTGGTTGGAGGAGAGATCAATGGACACCAGAGATTGGCAACCGAGAAGTCCTCTAGGGATTGACAGCTGAAACCCATTGTGATCAAGCTTCAAGACTCTCAAGCTAACAAGAGAATCCATAGCTTCAGGGATTTGACCGGAGAAATCGTTGTGAGAGATGTCAAGAGACTCGAGCTGCCCAAAATTCCCAACATTGCTAGTGAAAGAACCAGAGATCTGATTGAAAGAGAGGTTGAGGTTCTTGAGAGTGTTCAAACTCCAGAAATCAGATGGTAAAGCAGAGATTTTGTTGTTGCTGAGATCCAAAGACTGAAGCTTGCTGAGTTTACCAATGGTTGTGTCAGGGATTGGACCAGATAAACCCATTCCAGAAGCAATTAACACAATCACATGCTCATTCTTGGAATCACAGAACAAGCCTTGCCATGAACAGAAGGGAGCAGAGAAATTGTAAGCTTGAGCAGAGCTTAAACCCATATGCTTGAAGAATTCAGAGACGAAGAAACCATCCGTGTTTGGTTCTTGGCAAGAAATTTGATTCAAGAAGAGAGAAAGAATCAATGCATAACCCCAGAAGCAAAGACCCATTTGAGAAACCCAAAGAGCTAAAGAAAAAGGAAAAGTTGAAAGCAAAATCTCAGTAAAGAAAGCTGCTTTTGGGACCTCATGCAAGAACCCAGAAAGCTGAAGCAGTTGGAGACAAGAAATGGACTGATATTGAGGAGAGATCTGAAGATAGGAAAAAGTGTTTTGTCACTCTGCGGTGGTGCTTCTCAAGTACACGAGAGAACCAAAGGACATAAAATCAAAGACAAAGGAGCATTTTTGTCACTGCATAACATCATGGATAAACAACTTTTTAGTATATAGTATTAATATAATATTAAGCTTCCTCTAGCTCTGACTATGACAAGACTATCTATTTTAATTGGGAAATGTAGACAGTTGGGAGCAGAAAGAAGTTGAAGCTTTTTCATAAATGAGAATTCATTCCCTCACAGATTTCAGAAACAGTATCATTGGTTTCTTTTTTCTAGTTGAAAAAAGTTATTGATTCTTCTCACTGGAAACCCGTTTTTTGCTTTTGGGTAAAAATAAAACCCATTTCACTTTTCCTTTCTTTAATTTTTACCTTTTAATTAGTGATTCGTTCATATGTTTACAAACGTTAAGTATCCATCTCCAAATGCAGCACATAATGTTTGAACACGTATTTTAAAAAAAAAAGGAAATTAAACAACTCATTGTTAGCTTGTTGAGCCAAGTGCATGTACTTAAGTGAAAAAATTTAGTTTCCATGAAAATAATCTATACGGGGCTGAGAAATTTTTCCATATTCTTAATACGACTATAAAAGTGGATAACATGCAATTATTAAAGTTGTGGTGGTCTATGAAAGTTCTTTTTAACAAAAGAAAAAACATGTTCTTAGAATAATATGAGAAATCTATATCCATTGATGGTTCTTTATTCTTCTTTTCTGCTCAAAAGATTTCCCCTTGCACTTATTGAGAAATCTATTTATATATTTCCATTGATGGTTTATCATGTTGCCATTAAAGGTGTGTGCAAAATTATGTCCTTTTTTTTTTGACAAAGATTGAAATTATGTCCTTTATTTTCTTCGAGTGTCGGTTGTAAGTTGGAACTTTTCTACACTTTCCTTAGTATTCTGGATTCCTTCATGTTGCACAAGCTTCATCCGAGGATCAGTTTGCTGATGCATTTACTAAACCAGTTTTACGTTTTTTGTTTGCTGCTCTATTTAATTATCGGGATTAGATTTGGAGACTGATATGAATCTTATGATCGATAGTAAATTAGTGATGAAAAGTAGAGTTGGCGTCCACGTGACGTGTTACATCCCTCACCTTATGCGAGTCAGTGAATTATTGCATGAGAAGTGAAAGAACATTTACTTCATTGACTTTGTAGTTAATGAAAATGAACGAGTTACCGACAAAATATTTATTTCCACCAAAAGTTATTTATTGTCCATTACTTATTTTAGTTTTAAATTAAGTGTTTTTTTTTTCTTGATTTCCATATATATTAAATAAACATTAAAGTATACTACTATGTTGTACTACTTCAAATTAATAAAGTTATTTGAAAATGGTTATGTAGAATCTTTTTCACGTTCTTGTAAATGAATCGTATCTTTAATGTGAAACACTTGAAACTTTGCAAATACCTTAAATCTCTCCTTAAACACTCAAATCAATCAAAATATTCAACTCTGTGCGTTAAACTATGGATAGTCTTGCTCGTAGCCATATTTGGTCACACGTTCACCTAGAAAGAGCCTCGGATGTAAATGCCAATTTGAAGTGGACCTTTTTGATATAAACTACACAAATTGATCATGAAAAGCAAACAAAATAAGTATTAATTATAACGGAAAATGATGTTAAAAGCGTGAGGAAGAAGAAATCAAAAGGCTTGAGTTGAGAGTGAAGAGAGCAATGATGATACGCTTGACAACGAGATTGACCCACAAACGTATTTGCCTTTTTTACATGAATCATAGAACTTCTTCATGTTTCCGGCAAAATCATTTCTACACTCACACGCATTATATTCTCACTTCCTCGTATTCGAGAAAAGTATACATATATACGTTTACCAGCCCTGACTCAATAATATAATAGGCCATGTGACCAGCCTAATTTGTTTTGAAATTTGCATAACACTTGTGTTGTTTTCATATATTCATGCATTTTTTACAATTTTTTTTTTCAGAAATGTTGGGTCCCAAAATATACAGAAAAACTGATGAAAATTGCTTGGGCCTGTTATGGAACCCATGTCACATAATCTTCAATGTCCTCAAGAATTGCAATGTTATTCATAAGATTATCTGATTATGAATTCCATCTATGTCACAAGATTGCAATTTTTATCTATAAAATTAAAGACCAAACACGATTTACACAGACAAGGATGGAATTAGACAAAGACACGAGTGTGTATTGTCTTGTCTAAATCCAAACAATAAAAAAAACAAAAACGCTTAATCAGATTCAAAATCAGCAAACAGAGGCAGGACGACAGGACAACGACCCATCAGACCCATCATCTGCAACGCCAAAACTACATCATCTTCATCTTTACACATTTCCTCCTTCTTTGCGACTTCAACCCCGAATCTAGTCATCTCCTCCGTCGATTTCGAAGCTCCCGCCCACATCACCGGAATGACCCCACGGTAAACCAAACAACGACTCGCCACATGAGCCGCTGCTTCAGGGTCAACCACCGACACAATAGGAATGCTCGGCCTGTACTTGGCCACAAGCTCCGCCTCGTATCCACTCTTGGTTACGACGACGATTGCCTTCGCTTGAAACGTGCGAATCATCGTCCTAACCAATGAAATGGCTGTGCTCTCGATTTGGGTTAACAGTTTTGGAACGGTTCTTAAGATTTGCTTCTGCAGTGCTTCGTAATCCACTGAATTTTCCGCCTCTTTGCAGATCCTTGATATTGTTTGCACGGTGCTCTCAGGGTCAGCTCCGGCCTCTGTTACGCCGCTGAGCATGACGCAGTCGGTTCCGTCGTGGACAGCGTTAGTAACGTCATCGGTGGCCGCGTTAGTAACGTCGTCGGTGGCTTGAGGAGGAGATGTGGCCATCGGTTCAAGCGTGTGTGTCATCTGTATCGCTGTGACGATTGCTTTCTCGAGTGCATTAGCCTTCCTGATCATCCGTTTCTGAGCTCTATCTATCTCCAAGGTCGACATTTCCATTCCAAGATTGCCTCTAGCCACCATTAGGGCATCGGTTTTCTTCAAAATTTCATGTACATTCGCGTAACCTTCTTGAGTCTCAATCTGTTAGGTCATTATTTATCATCAAAATATTATTCAAATTTCATTTTTAAAAAGATGAAAAAGTGTTCTGTTTTTACTTTTTGCACTCACCTTTGACATAAGCATGATGCTCCTTGCGTGCCTTCCAAGCAACTTCCTGATATAGACTAGATCAGATCCTCTACGAACAGAGGAAAGAGCAATGATATCGACCTTATTCGGAACTCCCCATTGAAGAATGTCCTCTTTATCTTTCTCTGTAAGTGTTGTTGGAAGATCAATTACAATCTCCGTAGGGATCTTTACATTCTCTCTTTCTCCAAGAACCGTAGAGTTCTCGCATCGGAAGCGAACAAGACCTTGATTCTTGTCACAGGACAAGACAGTTAAAGGGATCACGTCACCAGGGTTGAGATCCTTTGCAAGTTTCTTGTAGCTCATGAAGATAATGTTTGAGTCTCGTTTTTCTTCTTTGAGCAAACCAGTTTGTATCTCAGGACCCTATAAAAACCAAATTAAACCAATTGTTAAATTTAAATCTTCCAACAAATCTCAGAAGTAATAATCCATATGGTAATTTTCATAAAATCTGAGAGATGATACCTTTGTGTCGAGCATGACGGCGCAAAGAATACCAGTGTTGTGCATGGCGGTTCTGAGATTATCGAGAGTTTCTTGATGGTCTGCGTGAGAGCCGTGAGAGAAATTGAACCGGGCTACGTTCATACCGGCTTTGAGAAGCTTCTCGATTGTCTCAACAAATCTAGACGCCGGTCCAAGTGTCCACACGATCTTAGTCTTTGACGCTCCTTTCTTTGTTACTCCACCAACTTGTTTCTCCATTGTGAAAAGAGTCCCTAAACAGCGCAAAGAGAAATGACAAATAAGCCAAGGTGAGAATTGTTTGTGTTTGTGAAAGGTAAGCTACATATATATCTACGAACTAGAATATCTCAACGAGGACATAAGCGTTCTTTCGCCAGTATAACAATGACGGATGGTGAAGTGGCAGAAAATGAATCTGCCTTGTCCGACAAATAACGACCTTAAATTTTGCTCTAGGAAGGGGAAATGTGTACACACTAGCCACACGACCAAAGCAAAAAAAAATAAAAATGAGATGGGCTTCGGGAAAAATGATTTAGGCGATGTATTTAGTTAGAGTTTTATATTAGTAAAATCCATAGTTATTAATTGTAAAACTTTTAATCTTTGTTCAAGATCTCTTGTTATTTAAAAAGTTTAGGTATTATTGATCCTTTACTTCTATTCAAATTTAATGTTTATCCAGATATGAATTCTTTACATTTTAATTCATGGAACATAACTTTTTAAAATATCATAGTTATCCATGAAAATCTTGAAATTTATTAGAAAGAATAAAAATAGTATGTTGAATTACGGGTGATTATTCTTGAAATATAAATTAATATTTTTCAAAACTTAAAAATTAGACATTGTAAAAAAAAATCTAATTTGATGACATAAAATTGGTCAATTAATATTTTTAATCAACAATCACCATAAATATTGATACATATATTCAACTAAAAAAATCTTATAAAAAATTAATCTTATCTCAAAATTAAAATAGTTTATATTTCGAAATCTTTTAGAAAATCATAAATAAATTACTTATAATAGAAATTTTAGACAAGAAAAAAGTAACCATAAATCTTAAATAATTAATGATAATATATGTAAATATTTGATAAGAACATAATGCTTTATATCATGTATCATTGCATTGTATATGATTTAGAAGATTATGTTAAGTTTTAAATACATTGTTCGCTGTCTTTTGTTCTTTTTTCTTTGCATTATTGTTCGCTGTCTTTTGTTCTTTGCATTAAAACACCCGTAGTGTGAACTTCGAATATATGGCTGAAAGGGACTGATATGAGTTTATTCTCTTTAGCTAGTGGGTTTTAAATATTTCAAAAAAGCTAGTGGGTTAAATATGAGTTAAGTATGTGAATAATGTGATTAAATTAAAGTTATTTAACTTTAAATTGTGAAAAATTCAACCCCAAATGCAATGCATATATACACTTATATGAACTACGGATATATACACTCTTAAACGTAAAATTTCACTTACAAATAATAGATTGGTCAATTATATAGCCAACTACAATCAAGGATATGTGAATAATGTGGTGTCATGGTGTGCATGTTTGTCAAATATGAGAAGGCAATAAAGCTTTGAAAAAATAGCCCATTTTTCCTTTGATAATAATTTGTTGAAGTATAGAGTCAACATTACAATTGCTTTCAGTACGAATGATGCATTGGTGAATTTCTTTTGTATGACTCTATACTTCAACAATTGCTTTGAGTACGAATGATGCATTGGTTAATTTGTACTTCGTTATATAGATTTCTTTTTATGAGTTTTTTGATATGCCATCATCCAGAATTGGGTTTTCTTAAAACATTTTATGGAAATTCCGTTACATATCAAAGTTAATCTATCTCTTAGGTCTTCTCAAACTTTCTTATAAGAAATATATAATTAGCTAGATACACAATTTATTTGATCAATAGAAAATCTGGTATCTTTACTTGGTTTTGTGATTTATCTCATCAAACACCGAAAGAAAAAAATTATTGCTACCAACAAATGTCGCATTCATCTATGGTTCTCAAAAGTCAAAAGAAGATGTAAGTTGTAACAAACCAAAAGTGCATCGGACTTAAATTAGAAACTTCTCAAAACCAAAAATTATTAGAGTTAGAAAGCTGTAAAACATATTTTCTTCAGCTTCTCTTCTTTTCGTGCTTACCATTTTTATCTGCAAAATTCAAAAAAAAGATTCTAAAACTTCACATAAAGAATTAGAAGACAAGTTGTTAACAGATGGTGGAACAATAATTACATTCACTGACCGATTGAAACTTCTTGCATTATCAAACTTATATTGAGATTTTATCATTTTAACATTCGTATGGAGAATTCATTACATATCCAAGTCTAAATATCTCTTAGGTCTCCTAAAAGTTTCTCAAAAGAAAGATATACAATAAGTCCGTTAGATACACAATGTATATGAACAAATAGAAAATTTTGGTATTTGTACTTGGGTTTGTGATTTATCTCATCATAAATTGGAATAAGAAAATCATTAATGCTACCACCAAATCTCGTTTAATTCATCTATGATTCTCAAAGTCAAAAGAATATGTAACAAACCAAATGTACAACATCAGACTTGAATTAGATAAACTTCACATGACCAAAACTTGTCAAGGTTAAAAAAGGCAAACTTCACCCGAGCCGATTCTTTGGCCAAGACAGCTCTTGCGTTGTTTGTAACGCAAAACCAGTGAACGCGTTTTTAATAAGATGATGTTCAAAAAAAAAAGAATATAATAACATATTCCCTATTTACTTCTTTAAGATGTAAAACATGTTTTCTTCAAATTTTCTCTTCTTCTCCTGCTTACCATTTTTATCTGCAAAAATTCAAACAAAGATTCAATAATTTCACATGAAGAATCAGAAGATAAGGTTTTTACAAATGGTGAAACAATAATTACAGTCACCGGCCAATTGAATGATACTTCTTGCATTATCAAAATTGCAATGTTTTTTTTTTAATATGCCATCATCCAGGATTAATTGATAAACTAAAACTTCTAATAAGATATATTTTGAGGTAAATGAGCATACACCCTTAGATTATAAACCCCATAAGATTTTGGTCAAATTGTTTTTTTTTAAATCCCATAAGACACAGCTTAAGCTTACACAATCGATTAAACTGAACGAAACCCACGGCTTTTACCAGGGTTCATCTAAAAAAAATTGAAAAGCAAGTCCCCAAAATGGAACTTGTCTCGAGAGGTAGAAAACTAAAAAAGCAGATAGGAAAGATAAAGAGACAAACGAGTTGAAAATTACAGTCTGTGACTGTGACATCTAATTTATTTCTGCGCACTCACACACACACACACATACACACACACACACACACACACACACACACACACACACACACACACACACAAACAAACAAAAACAATACGAACAAAAGAAAATATAATCGTCTAATTTTCATCTCGGATTAATATAAAGTGTGTTACAGAGTCCCTTACCTTCCTTCTTCCACAAGTAGTACAATCTCATTTCTTGCCCCCAAAAAAAATCTTCAAGCTTCTCTCTCTTTCTCTCTCTCATAACACACACACACATTCTTATATTGAGATTTTAACATTCGTATGGAGAATTCATTACATATCAAAGTCTAAATATCTCTTAGGTCTTCTAAAAGTTTCTCAAAAGAAAGATATATAATAAGTCCGTTAGATACAGAATTTATTTGAACAAATAGAAAATTTTGTTATTTGTACTTGGTTTTGTGATTTTTCTCATCAGAAAATGGAACAAGAAAATCATTGCTACCAACAAATCTCGTTTCATTCATCTATGATTCTCAAAGTCAAAAGAATATGTAACAAACCAAATGTACATCAGACTTGAATTAGATAAACTCCTCATGACCAAAACTTATCAAGGTTAAAAAAGGCAAAAGAATATAATAACATATTTACTTCTTTAAGATGTAAAACATATTTTCTTCAAATTTTCTCTTCTTCTCCTGCTTACCATTTTTATCTGCAAAAATTCAATAATTTCACATAAAAGTCAGAAGACAAGGTTTTTACAAATGGTGGAACAATAATTACATTCACCGCCCAATTGAATGATACTTCTTGCATTATCAAAATTGCAATGAGTTTTTTGTTTAATATGCCATCATCCAGGATTAATTGATAAACTAAAACTTCTAATATAATATATTTTGAGGTAAATGAATCTAAACCCTTAGATTATAAACCCCATAAGATTTTGGTCCAAAAAAAAAAACTTATAAGACACAGCTTAAGCTTACACAATCGATTAAACTGAACGAAACCCACGGCTTTTGCCAGGGTTCATCTAAAAAAAATTGGAAAGCAAGTCCCCCAAATGGAACTTGTCTCGAGAGGTAGAAAACTAAAAAAGCAGATAGGAAAGATAAAGAGACAAACGAGTTGAAAATTACAGTCTGTGACTGTGACATCTAATTTATTTCTGCGCACTCACACATACACAAGACACAAAAATAAACAAAAACAATAAGAAAAAAGAAAGAAATAAATAATATAATCGTCTAATTTTCATCTCGGATCAATTATAAAAGTGTGTTACAGAGTCCTTACTTTCCTTCTTCCACAAGTAGCACAATCTCATTTCTTGCCCCCAAAAAAAAACCTTCAAGCTTTCTCTCTCTTTCTCTCTCACATAACACACATTCTTGCGCCAGAGATTTTTCAAGAGTCTTCCGTTCTATTTACTGCTCCCTCTCTTCAATGGCAGACCAGAGAGATTAACACCCACATTCTCCCGCCGGTACGTCACTTAATTATCTCCTACTGTTATTGTTCAATTCCCAGTCGACAACTTTTAGTATATATATATATATACGTGATCTTCTTGATTTCCATGCAGAAGGATCAACTCGTCTCCCGAAGAGAAGTTCTGTAGAAAAACACAGCACAGAAACTCCTTACGGTTCAAAGTCCAAAAATCATCCTCTCGGTACGTCTCAAAACCAGAAACTACTTACGGTTCTGTTCAACTGAAATTGAACAGCCAAAATGGATATTGTCTTTTTTTTCTTTTTGTCATTGTGATGAAAAATGATGTGATCTTGAATCTCTTACAACTCGTTATGCAGAAGATCCAACGAAGAGACAAATGGCTGAAAAATCTCTGCATGGCTCTAACAGAGCAGCCGATTCCAAGTCAAAGTCAGATGAAGCTTTTGACTCTGTTCTCCTTGCTTTCAAAGGGGAAACCTCGACAATGTTAAACGTAACACTTTCTCCTTTATTCGTTTCTTGTCATTAAACAATTTTTTTCTTCTTCTTTGATTTCATTCGGTTCCTAAGGCTTGTGTTGGATTTTTCTTCTCTTTTTCAGAAAAGGACTCTGTTCATCGAAAGCCTTATGAAGGAGTGGAACATTTCTCAAAAAACTCACATCTCTTCTGATGACGATAACATCCAGAAAAGTCCTATTCCCAAACACCAAAGGTGTATCCTTTGATCAAAAGTATTTGAATTTTGAAGATTTGATTGATCTCTGTTGTCATGTTTTCAGCTCTGCCAAGTTTCAAGGTGTATTGCCTTCTTCCATTGCAAATACAATATTTCAAGGGGATACTGATGATGATGATATAAGCAGCTCTTCATTTGACTCACACATGGGAGATATTATTAGCAAGCAAGATTTACTAATGGTAGTTTTCTTTTCTCTAATCTATATTTTTAAATATTAATGTAGCTCTGATCTAATATTAATTGTCTTGTGCTTTTTACAGGTCTGTTTACTTCGTATTGCTTGCTTTTCTGAAAAGTCATTGGCTAGAGAACTGTCTGTCATAACCGGTGAACTGGAAGATCTTGGTGTAAGTCTTTTGCATAATCTCAATTATAAATTCTCAACATCGGTTTCATTATGTAAAGAAAATATTGTTCTTTTTCTTTTTCCCGTAAAATCCTGTTAAATGGTAGTATTATTGTATCAACCACTACAGATATTCTCTCAACCGATGTCAGATTTCGCTTCCCAGTCACCTGCAGACTTCAAGAGAATTTTTAAAAATGAATTTGAACTACAAATGGTGAGTATCTTTTGGCACACTTAATGACTATTATTTATCTATTTACATCATCTGATTCTGATTGATGTTCTCCTTAGTTCTCAACCAATGTTCCTCAGTTCTGGAAGACGCTTTCTGAAAAGTCACTCCTAAACTCGCGGTACCTCGATGATTTTGACGAGCTGGAAACAATTGGTATAATATCCATTGTGCTTTTCTTGATCACCTTTTAGTTTCAAATGTGTATATATATACGATGTGAACTTATGAGACACTACTCTCAAGTTATTTAGTTTCAAACTTTCGTTGCTAAAGTTATGTTCACTTTCTCAAAATTTTATTTGTTCTCCAGTGTTTCCTTCTTGCTCTGTGTTGAAACTCTTTGTGTGGCAGGTAAAGGTGCTTTTGGTCGCGTTACGCTGTGCAAAAATAAACTGGATGGAAGACTATATGCAGTGAAGTTAATTAAACTGAAGCACGCAGATTTACCTGTCGGCCAGATATCTTTGTAAGGGAGTATATATATGCCGCAAACCAGACTTTGCACACTTTGTTTTTCTTGCAACTATGTATGCCGCAAACCAGACTTTATGGCCTTGGCTTTAAAACTCTATAGTATAGGCTGTTATTGACGTTGCATTTAGTGAGCATATCATCTCGGATCGATGCTTTAGAGTATGATGATACTAAAACTGTTTCTGCATCTGCTTGTAGTAAGGTACTCAGAGAAGTAACAACACTTTCCCGCTTGCATCATCAGCATGTTGTACGTTACTATCAGGTAAAGTTCATTTCTGCTCTTTTTAACTTTCTTTCTACTCATCAATATTGAATACCAACCATGTGTACCTATGTGGTACGTATTGTTATTTCTATCAGAGTCCTTATTCACCACAATGTTCAGTCCCATCATCTGTATATGGAATATATTCTGTTTGTTAACGATTCTATTTTTCATTAAAATAGGCCTGGGAAGAATCAGGATTTGCTGTTTCGGGATCAAAAACTGGAGGGAGTTCAACGTCCAGCTGCTCAGGAACTGCTGATGACGGTTTAGAAGCTAGAGGTATTAAAAAAACTGGGATTCCTGCGCAGGACAGTACGCATGTGCCTTCGTATCTATTAATTCAAATGGAACATTGTACCAGGTAAATGGGTTATGTAAGTTATTTATAGCTAATAATGTTGTTATTTTCTGTAGTATAAGCTTTTGTTCCTATCTTGTCTTTTTCTTCTTACTTTTGATGTTCATATTGTGTTCAAGGACTCTCCGCCACTATCTTGATGATGGTGTCTTTGACAAAGATTTCGCATGGCGCACAATTCGCCAAATTGTGGATGGCTTAGCTTATATCCATGGGAAAAAAATCATCCATCGGGATCTTAAACCTGACAATATCTTTCTTGACTCTCGGAATAATGTCAAAATTGGCGATTTTGGCTTTGGTATGTTTCCCCATTTTATGATATTCTCTACCTTAATTTCTTGGTATATACGCAACTAAGGCATGCAAGATTTTTGTGTTATACTATCCAAAAGTTCTGAGGGTATTGTATTGTGATTATCATCAGCTAAGTCCACCAAGGTTGATCACGATGAGGGTTTCTCTATGGATGTGGCTGGAAGCGGAGCCAGAAATTCTCAAATAGGCGGTACTAGATTCTACAGCGCACCAGAAATTGAGCAACCTGGGCGTAAGATTGATGAAAAGGTTAGTAGATGTTGGTATCTCAACTGAGCTTCATTCATGAAATGTTTGTTTAATTAAGTAATTTCTTATGCTTTCTTCTTATTGATGTGTTTCTAAATTATGTTTTTGAATTACATGCAGGCTGACATGTATAGCCTAGGGGTTGTGATATTCGAACTTTATCACCCTTTCAGTACCGAAGCGGAGAGACGCTCAGTTTTAAAAGCTCTGACAACTGAAAAGAAGCTACCTTCCAAATGGGAATCTGAGTATCGTGGTAAGGCTTCTCTAGTGCGGCGTTTGCTGTCTACACGACCAGCTGATCGCCCCTCTGCCGCAGAATTTCTCACACTCTTTGAGTCATCACAGAGTGAGTTCTCTACTGCTATATGTTTAGGTCTTTGGCTCATAACTTATACAATAAGTTGGATTTTATGTTACTAGTGTGTGTGTTCTCGTTTATCTGATGACATATGTTGATTAATTTCTCGAATAACATTTTCCTTTCTTTTTCCTTGAGGTCAGAAGGAGAAAAGCTGAAGTGAAGGAGTGTTACACTCGAAGAATAAAAGAGAGATTAGATTGGAAGATTAAAGAGACATTAGTTGAAGAATAAAGGAAGATTAGTAGACTTTTCTGAGCTTGCAGCTAGCTTTTACTAAGTTATACTTAAATTGTTACGTTGATTGTTCATACTATCTTGCTTTTATAACCTGTGGTAATCCACCACAAATTAATTAAATCAGAAGACGGAATGGTAAAGATCCTCTTAAAGGTCAAATTGTTCCAACAAGCTGCAACGTTTCTTCACAAAAAAAAAAAAATCATGAGACATACTTAGCTTGAGTCAGAACCCTTTATTGCAAAATGTTATTCGTCACATAATCAATGCTCATAAGATTATGAATTGTGTCTACCTCATTAGATTGCAATTTTATCTAAAATTAATGCCCAATAGACCAAACAAGATTTTCACAGACATGGATGAATTAGACAAGGACACGAGTGTATTGTCTAAATCCAAACAAAAAAAAAAGAAACAAAAATAAACGCCTAATCAGTGCTTTCTAAAGCCTAATCATAAACCATCAGAGGAACGGTGATAGGAGCAGGACCACCACTCATAAGCAACGCCAAACCTAAATCTCCAGCCTTGCAGATTCCCTCCTTCTTTGCGAATTCGATCCCGAACAGAGTCTTGTCATGCACCGAATACAAATCTCCTGCCCCCACCACTGGAATGATCCCACAGTAAAGCAAACCACGACTCGCCACACGAGCAGCTGATTCAGGAAGCGACAGGTCAACCACCGACAGGATAGGAACGCTCGGCCTGTACTTGGCCACAAGCTCCGCCTTGTTTCCACTCTTGGTTACGACCACGACTGCTTTCGCATCTGCCAAGCGAATGGTCGATCCAACGAGGGAAGCAGCCATACTCTCGAATGGGGGTAACCCTTTTGGAACGGCGGCAAAGATTTTCATTTTCTTATGCACAGCTTTGTAATCGATGGAGTTTTCCGCCTCTTTGCAGATCCTTGACATTGTTTGCACGGTGGTCTCAGGGTCAGCTCCGACGTCGGCTGTTACGCCGCTGAGCATGACGCAATCGGTGAGGTTGCGGACAGCTTTTGTAAGCTCTTCTTCGACCGGTATGATTCCTTTTACGAGTGGATCCGAAGTAGAAGCTAGGGCTGCAGCGTTAGTTACATTAGTAACGTCGTCGTAGGTGGCTTCGGCTCTAGCCGGAGGAGGAGGTGTGGTCATTGACATTGACTCAAGCGTCGTCTGTGGCATCTGTATCGCTGTGACGATTGGTTTCGCGTGCTGCATAGCCTTCCTGATCATCCTTCTCTGAGCGCTGTCTATCTTCTCAGTCGACATTTCCATTCCCAAACTGCCTCTAACCACCATTAGACCATCACTTTTATTCAGAATCCCACCTACATTCGCGTATCCTTCTTCAGTCTCAATCTGTTAAGTCATTAATATTCATCAAAATATATATAACCAAGAGTTCAGATTTCACTTAGAGAAGAACAAAGAAAAAAGTGTTCTGTTTTTACTTTCTTTTTTCACTCACCTTTGACATAAGCATGATGCTCTTTGCGTGCTTTCCAAGCAACTTCCTGACGGGTTTTAGATCAGATCCACTACGAACAGAGGAAAGAGCAATGATATCGATCTTATTCGGAACTCCCCATTGAAGAATATCCTCTTTATCTTTCTCTGTAAGTTTTGTCGAGGGTTCAGGTTCAACTACAATCTCTGCAGGGATCTTTACATTCTCTCTTTCTCCAAGAACCTTAGAGTTCTCGCATCGGAAGCGAACAAGACCTAGATTCTTGTCACAGGACAAGACACTTAGAGAGATCATGTCACCAGGCTTGAGATCCTTTGCAAGTTTCTTGTAGCTCATGGAGATAATGTTGTCTTTTTTTATCGGTTTTTCTTCTTTGAGGAAACCAGTTCGTATCTCAGGACCCTATAAAAACCAAACTAAACCAATTGTTAAATTTAAATCCTCCATCAAACTCTTAAAAAATATAAGAAACGATACCTTTGTGTCGAGCATGACGGCGCAAAGAATACCAGTGTTGTGCATGGCGGTTGTGAGATTATCGAGAGTTTCTTGATGCTCTGCGTGAGAGCCATGAGAGAAATTGAACCGGGCTACGTTCATACCGGCTTTGAGAAGCTTCTCGATCATCTCAACAGATCTAGACGATGGTCCAAGTGTCCACACGATCTTAGTCTTTGACGCTCCTTTCTTTGTAACTCCACCAACTTGTTTCTCCATTGTGAAAAACTATACCTAATTAAACAGCGCAGAGAGAATATAAGTGTTTGTGTTCGTGAAAGGTAAGCTACATATATATACGAGTTAAACACGCAATATCTCAACGAGGACAAAAGTGTCCTTTCGCCAGTATAACAAAAACGGATCTGCCTTGTTCTACAAGTAACTACCTTATTTTGCTCTAGATCCCGGTTTAACGGAGGCTGACGGTGTAGAACTGAAACGGGGTGGGCGAGTCGGGGATTGGACGGTGCAACGGCGGATCTCTGACGTGGTCGATTGCGTCTCCGGCGTGATGCAGCTGCTCCAGGACGTGGAGCGGAACGGTAGTGGCTGGTGAGGACGGCGTGGACGGACCTTCTCTCTCCACACAAACTCGAGAAGACGATCGTGAAAGAGAGGAGAAGAGAAGGGAAGGAGAGAGGAAGACGGAGGCGCGAGGTGGCAACGGCTTATTTAGTTATTTTATTATCTCTTTCGCGGCTAGGTTGGTTTTCACTTTTCAGGAAGGGGAAACGTGTTCACACTAGTGAAAAGAAAAGAAAAAAAAGAGTTGGGCTTGGGCCAAAATTATCTGGCAGATAAAACTTGAATTTTATATAGATTATGTTGTTATTGGTTGATAGATGTTTAAAATATTAGTAAAATTCATTGCTATTAATTGTAAGACTTATAAATTATACATTCAAGATTTCTTGTTATTTCAAAAGTTTAGTTATCATTATTTTCTAGTTCTACTTAAATTTAGTGTTATCGGGACATGGGTCTCGGTTTATATTAGTTGTCGTTTTTATAAAATATATCTGAAATGCATTTGGATGTGTTTTTGACTTAAATACATACATCTAAAAAATTTCTGAAAACGAAAACTAATATGAAACGGAGTGAGTATATTTTTACTCTTAAAACATAACTTTGAAAATATCATGGTTATCTATGACTATGAGATTCTTGGAATCTATTAGTATAAACAAAGCGTGAAGTCACAATGATCATTGCACCTTTTTCATGATTCATCATCAATATAATCAATATCTCATTCTTTTCTTTCTTTTGGTCCTTAATTAACGTTTTAATAAGATGTATCCCTTGTCCCTATGCAATACTATTTCAGGAGAATGATACCCAAAAGGGAACGACAAAGACAGTGGAAGTGGGTTTATTTCAATGTATGTGGAGAGCTCAATTGCAATTTTATCTAAAACTAAAGGCCAATAAACACGATTTACGATTTAGTTTTGGCGTCACTGCCTGGTGCTTTCTAAAGCCTAATCAAAAACCATGAGAGGCTTGGTGATAGGAGCGGAACCACCACTCATAAGCAACGCCAAAACTAAATCTCCAGGCTTGACGATTCCCTCCTTCTTTGCGAATTGGATCCCGAACAGAGCCTTGTCATGCACCGTATAGAAACCTCCTGCCCCCACCACTGGAATGATCCCACGGTAAAGCAAACCACGACTCGCGATACGAGCAAGTGAATCATGGAACGACAGGTCAAGCACCGCCAGAATTGGAACGCTCGGCCTGTACTTGGCCACAAGCTCCGCCTTGTTTCCACAATGGGTTACGACCACGACTGCTTTCGCCTCTGCCCAGAGAATGGTCGATCCAACGAGGGAAGCGGCCATACTCTCGAATGGGGGTAACCCTTTTGGAACGGTGTCATAATAGATTTTCATTCTCTTATGCACAGCTTTGTAATCGATGGAGTTTTCCGCCTCTTTGCAGATCCTTGACATTGTTTGCACGGTGGTCTCAGGGTCAGCTCCGACGTCGGCTGTTACGCCGCTGAGCATGACGCAATCGGTGAGCTTGCGGAAAGCCTTAGTAAGCTCTTCTTCGAGGGGATCCGGATTAGAAGCTAGGGCTTCAGCGTTAGTAACATTAGTAACGTCGTCTTCGTCGGTCGGAGGAGGAGGTGTGGTCAACGACATTGACTCAAGCGTCGTCTGTGGCATCTGTATCGCTGTGACGATTGGTTTCGCGTGCTTCATAGCCTTCCTGATCATCCTTCTCTGAGCTCTGTCTATCTTCTCAGTCGACATTTCCATTCCCAAACCGCCTCTAACCACCACTAGACCATCACTTTTCTTCAAAATCTCATCTACATTCGCGTATCCTTCTTCATTCTCAATCTGTCAAGTCATTAATATTCATCAAAAAAAAAAATATATATACATATATATATATAACCAAAGAGTTCAGAGAAAATAAAATGTTTTTACTTTATTTATCACTCACCTTTGGCATAACCAGCATGCTGTTTCGGCGCAATCCAAGCACCTTCCTGACCTCGTCTGGATCAGATCCTCTACGAGAGGAAAGAGCGATGATATTGATCTTATTCGGAACTCCCCATTTAAGAATATCCTCTTTGTCTTTCTCTGTAAGTGTCGGGAGATCAACTACAATCCCAGGGAGACTAACATTCTCTCTTTCTCCAAGAACACCAGAGTTGTCGCATCGGCAGCGGACAAGACCGAGATCCTTGTCACAGGACAACACAGTTAGAGAGATTGCGCCGTCAGAACAGAGAAGCACGTCACCGGGCTTGAGAACGCCTGCGAGTTTCTCGTAGCTCACGGAGATGATATCTGAGTCTCCTTCTATGGTGTAGTCAACAGAGATTGTAATCTCTTGACCTTGGATTACTTCTATCGGTTTTCCTTCCTTGAGGAAACCGGTTCGTATCTCAGGACCCTGCAAAAACCATTGTTAGATTTAAATATCCTCCAACAAGTCATAATTTTTGAAAAGAGATATTTATATATAAGAAAAATCATGTGTACATAAATAGGTATATATATATATACCTTTGTGTCGAGCATGACGGCGCAAAGAATACCAGTGTTGTGCATGGCGGTTGTGAGATTATCGAGAGTTTTCTTGATGCTCTGCGTGAGAGCCATGAGAGAAATTGAACCGGGCTACGTTCATACCGGCTTTGAGAAGCTTCTCGATCGTCTCAACAGATCTAGACGCCGGTCCAAGTGTCCACACGATCTTAGTCTTTGACGCTCCTTTCTTTGTTACTGTTACTCCACCACCAACTAGTTCCTCCATTGTGAAAAAAGTATACCTAGAAGAAGCGCAGAGAGAATATAAGTGTTTTGTGTTCGGTAACGGTAAGCTACATAAATATACGAGCTAAACACGCAATATCTCAACGAGGACATAGGTGTCCTTTCGCCAGTATAACAATGACAGAACAGTAAAAGGGGAAACGGATCTGCCTTGTTCTACAAGTAACTACCTTCAATTTTTCTCTAGATCCCGGTTTCACGGAGGTTGAAGAAGAAGATCGTGAAAGAGAGGAGAAGGGAAGAAGAGAGGAAGACGAAGGCGCAAGGTGGCGTGCAGCGGAGGTGCTAGGCGACGGCCTATTTCTCTCTCTCGCGGCTAGGTTAATTGGTTTTGAGGAAGGGGATATGTGTACACACCACCATTCACACGACAAAAGAAAGAAAAAGAAAAAAAGAGATGGGCTTGGGCCAAAATTATTATTAAGGGAAGGTTTCAATTTTGTATATATATTTGTTAGAAAACTAGTTGGTGATCATCTAAATACATTAGGGTTCACTCACGGTCACGAGTCAATACTATAGCTAATAGCTTTTCGTGTGCTACGTACAGTTTTGGGTTAACTAAGTATTAGGGATAAATATCCCACATCGGAAGTTGGAAGGGATCTCAAGTAGTATATAAGGGATGTGGGCCTCTCCACTCATTGCCAATTGATTTTGAGTTGGAAGCCCATATAACTTAACATGGTATCAGAGCCCCGATCCATACATTCCAACCCGATCCGACCCATAGTTGGTCCAATCATCGACCATGCCCAAAATTGGTGTTGGCGACCCAAGCCCGAACATACCGAGATCGAGGCTCAAAGAGCCATCGTCTCGAAGGGGCATATTAGGGATAAATATCCCACATCGGAAGTTGGAAGGGATCTCAAGTAGTATATAAGGGATGTGGGCCTCTCCACTCATTGCCAATTGGTTTTGAGTTAGAAGCCCATGTAACTTAACACTAAGGTCGTTGTTCGTAATAAACTTACAGTGATGTCTTCAAGCATATCTTCCACAACTCTGCAGAGCTGGAGAGAACGTTCTCCTTCTTCCTATACACTTAAGATCCAAAACTTTTCTCAGTTCCTGAAATCAACTCCCACCTCTGATGACAAATATCAATCCGGTCTTTTCTCCTCTGGTGGATACAAATGGTACGTATTGCGTATCATTTAGTGCCACAAGTCTTAAAATAAAATCAGCTTCATCCTCATGATTCATGAAAATAATCGATATTTTAATATTTTTCTCTTTTTGGCCCTTTTTTTATATAAAAATATGTATCATCATACCTTAGCCAATATTGTTACAGGAGAATGATCGTATACCCAAAAGGGAACGACAAGGACAGTGGAAACGGGTTTATTTCCATGTATCTGGAAATAGATCGCACAAGCCTCATGTCAACACCACCAAGCGAGGTGTTTGCAGATCTCCGATTTCTAGTCTATAACAAAAAGGAAAACAAGTACTTTACTATTCAAGGTAAGTATGTATGCGCATGTTGAACTACAGAGATGCCTTCTTTTGATTTATTATTTTGATCAATAATACGTGTGTATGCATATCAAGATGTGGAGTCGAAGCCGTTCAACACATTAAGAACGATATGGGGATTGCCACAAGTGCTTCAACTTGATACACTCAAAGACCCTGAAAATGGGTATATCTTTGAAGGAGATCAGTGTGAGTTTGGTGTTGATGTCATTGTTGCTCCACCCCCTACCAAATGGGAACAAATATTTTTTAATGAAAGACCCTCTAATGCCAAGTTCTCTTGGACTGTTAAGAACTTCTTTGAGGTGAAAGAGGACCCTCTCTCATCAAACATTTTTTCAATGGGAGGAAGGAATTGGTGAGTATGAAATTTTAATGTTTGATATGAAATGCAGACTCATGATGTGTGTGTGTGTGTGAATCATTTTGTAACATTTGCGTATTATTGTTATTTAGGGTTTTAAAGTTATATATTAAGGGCGAAACCAGAAGAGATGGTAAATGGTTATCCACTTTTCTGTTTCTAGCTGGTAGTGAGACAATGAAGGAAGATGAGAAGATTTATACGCGAGCTCATTTACGAGTACTTGACCCATTTGGAAACAATGACATCACCAAGGAACGTACGTCAGAAAACACTATTACATTATCATTTCTTGACTGTTTTTTGTTTAAAATTGTTAATGAACTGAGACTATTTTTACATATATATACTAAGATATTTCTTTGAAATCCTGCATCCTCTAATCATTGATTTTTTTTTTTTTTTTTTTTTTTTTTTTTTTTTTTTTTGCAGTTTTATGTTGGCACAACAATTCAAAATCAGGTTGGGGACGCCCTCATTTTATGTCTATAGCTGAACTTCGGGAGGCTTACTTGGACAAGGAGGGCACTTTGAGTGTCGAGATCGAACTTGAAGTTGTTTCCACCACCAATTTCTATCCCATCATCTAATTAAGCCCTGCTCTTAGAATATGAATTATCTACCATGCATATCTCCTTAGAATATGATTTGATATATTTATACTCTTTTTAATTATTAAAATGAATTAAATAATTTTCGTTTTATTATTGGTTATGATATTTGCGCCAAAATGTGAAACATATTCAGAAAACTAGTGCAATACTATTTCTATTTGGAAAAGTTGTGTCACTGTATCTTTGTTAAAAGTCCTTTAATTTTTATTGTATGGGATTCTGTTTCCATCAGTCTCATGAATGTTTTTTTTTTACCATAATTCGAGGATTGAATAAGGCCTTTCGGAAAAAGGTTTTGTTGAAACTTGAAACAGAGTTTGCGTTTACTCTGTTAAGGAAACATAGCATAAGGTAATTGACAACACTACATTTTCAAGCTGGTGTGTATACAATAATTAATAAAATATATTTTATTGATGTTATGGAAAGATAGTGAGAAGAATCGCGTGGAGATCGTAATTAGAGGTGTGAAATTAAATTTTAACACGTTCCATGTAGTAAAGAGTACTTGTAAAATAAATAAAGTCACGTGTTTCATCGAGTCTAGCTAGCTTTCCTCTCTCTAGTCTCTACTACTTCGACTGGTATAAATTGAAACCTCCTTTTGGTTAAATGAATCACAAAGAGAAGAAGAATCAAATTCGAAAGAGAGAATTAAGAGATCAGCAATGGAAAACTTAAGGTTGAGCACAGTTGTTTTTGCTGCGGTAGTTGTTTGTCTCTCCGTCGTCCTCCTATCTCCTATAGGTACGTAGAAAAATAAAAAATCTTATTCCCAATATTATCAAACATGTTTAATAAGATGTGTGTTTAATTTGTATGGATTGGACAGAAGTGGAGGGAAAGAGTGACTTTCTTACCAGAAGAAAAAAATGTGACTTCCCATTGGGTATTTGTTACCTTTGGCAAAGCAATAAAGTTTGCAATGATAGATGCTTGAGCGCCAAGAGCAGGCGTGGACATGAGTTATTTGATGGCCGCTGCCGTCCGAACGGGGCAACAATTTCTCTTGTGATGGATTGTTACTGCTGCTATTACGATGGTGTTACCGGTGCTGAAAAAGAAAGCATGTGATTCCAAAATTATGAAAACGACGTCATCAATTAACTTACTTGTGTGTGTGTGTGTGTGTGTGTGTGTGTGTGTGTGTGTGTGTGTGTGTGTGTGTGTGTGTGTGTGTGTGTGTGTGTCAGTGTGTGTGTGTATGTCTGTGGATGTTGCATGTTTATGATATCATCTGACATCTTCTTAATTTACATAATTTGCTTCTGTTTGTTTTGCGTTGATCAAGTTTCAAATTAAGTTGGATTTTGTTTTTCAAATTGAGGAAGAGACTCTGTTTGGTCTTTCAAAAACATACTTACTGTACACTTAACTAATGGGCATTTGTCTCTTCCTTTTTTCAAATCTTGTTTGGTCTTTGATGAAGGCTCTGTTTAAGTGTACAGTGAGTATGTTTTGAATGACTGATTAAACAAAGTCTTGTAATATAATATCACTGACTAAGTGACTTCTAATGGATGTTTGACAATAATGTGCATTATATCTTGCATTCTTTCTGCATTTACATTACACTTTCTAGTTACCTAGACGAAAAATATAACGAACTATCCAACTAGCGTTAATTGTTTTTAATATATTGCTTATTACATAGAAAATCGTCCAGCAATATTTAGGAAAAAGAAACATGAATTATTTTGAGTTGGCATTATTTGACCTAACACCTGAAAAACAGCAAAAGCAAGAGGTGTGGAAGTTGTTAAGTGGTTCTGCGATAACTTAAGCATAAACTAAAGAAGACCACGACAATTTAACCAACTCACTAACAAAAATTTATTCCTCCGTCCAATCGTATGAATACAGAACCATTTTGCATTCAGTTTCTTCCGAAACAAATATCTAAACACCTTTTTTTTGGAAATGTTTACACTGCAACATTAATTAGGTTAACATCCTAGTAAAAGGGTGTATTTTTATCTCAAAAAAAGAAAAGGAAAAGGAGGTATTAGTATAACAAACATAACAAGTATCCTAATAACAAACTTTCACATTTTACCCATAAAAGCATCCTAACAACAAGAGTGCCTTAGAAGTACAGTAAAAACGACTTTTTATTGAAAATTTGTAAAGATCACTCCTTTTTTTTCCGAGAGAGATAGTTGTTCTCTAGCACAACTCTTTTCTATTCTCTTTGAGCAACTTTTCCTAACTATGTCAATATGACATTAAAGTCATATCTAGAATTTTTTTTTTCCTGCATTTTAATTGAAAGATAACTCATATTGTTGACCATTATTTCTCCATGACTTGAGAATAATAGTATAGTTAAGTTTGACGTCAAGGAAAAAAAAAGAGAATATAAAGAATTATAGTAGGGTTTATATAAATATACTCCAATCATGTTTTGGACCAAAACACGAAGAAGAAGCCGATGTTGGTGTGCCGTCCACGACCCGCATGACCCTCCTTGACGTTGAACTTGTATATTAAAAGTAGATGGTTTCAAATAAAATACACTAATCAAATTATTATATTTTGTTATTATATGGTTTGTCTCGAGTCGAGACTCTCGACTAGTGTTTAGGTTGTATTCTTTCGTTATTACACTGTTACATACATGATAATATTAATATCTACTGGTAGAGTACCCGCACGTTTGTGCGGTGTGACGTTGTTGTTTTGTGTAGAAAATTTAAACCCTAAATCCGAACCCGACAAAAAACCCTAATCAAAAAATTTAAAAACCCAAACTTTTTTAATAGGTCTAAACATGAAAATCCGAAATCAAAAAAATCCCGAAAACCCTGACTGAACAAAAAAAATCTGGAAACTTTTTCACCCGGAACCCGACCCCAATACCTAATCAAAATTTTAAAATACTCAATTTTTTTAATATATCTAAACCCGAAAACCAGAAATCTAAAAAATCCGGAAAACCCTAAACTGAAAAAAAAAATTGAACCTAACCCGAACAGAAATTTTCAAAGAAACCCGAACAATTTCTATATCTCTATATATATCTCTATAAAATTATGTCTCAGATTTTCACCCAAACCCGAACTTGTCTATAAAAACCCGAAAATCCAAAAAGCATATTCTATTGATTTGGAATTATCGTTAGATTATGTTAAGTTTTTTTTTTGCAGATTTTTAAGAGATGGAAAACGGAAGTTTTCTAAACCATCGGTTTATTTTAAGTTATTATTCTTGTATCCAAACAATTTTTTCCATTTATTCTTCTATCCAAATAGATTTTTCTCTTATTCTTATATCCAAACAACTTTTGTTTCCATTTATTCTTCTATCCAAATAGATGTTTCTCTAATTCTTGTATCCAAACATTAGAATGTACTTCTCAATTAATAATATAAAGACTAGTAGAGGACCCGCGCAAATGCGCGGTGTGACGTTGTGATTGTGTGAAGAAAATCTAAATCCTAAATTCGAGCCCGATCCAAAAACCCTAACCAAAATTTTTAAAAACCCAAACCTTCTTAATATGGCTAAACCCGAAAACCCGAAATCCAAAAAATCCCGAAAACCCTGAATAAAAAAAAACTCGAAACTTTTTCACCCAAAACCCGAACGTGGCCTAAAAACCCTAATATATTTTTTAAAATACCCAAACTTTTTTAATATGTCTAAACCCGGAATCCCTGAACTAAATCTAAAAAACTCGAACCCAAACCGAACAAAATTTTTCAAAAAAATCCGAACAGAAATCCACAATTTGATTTAGATTAGACATATTTTTACTATTGGAAATTTTGCAAATATCATTAGATCATATTCTATTGATTTGGTATTATTGATAGATTATGTAAATTTTTCTTTTTTTCAGATTTTTTAAGAGTTGAAAAACGGAAGTTTTCTAAACCGTCGGTTTGTTTTAAGTTATTATTCTTGTATCCAAACAATTTTTTTCCATTTATTATTCTATCCAAATAGATGTTTCTCTTATTCTTATATCCAAACAATTTTTTTTCCATTTATTCTTCTATCCAAATAGATGTTTATCTTATTCTTGTATCCAAACATTAGAATGTACTTCTCAATTAATAATATAAGGATTTAGTCAACCAAGGCCTCGTGGCCCAGTGGTAAAGGAGTCACAGCGGTGACTTCCGCCACTTGGGTTCGAGTCCCCATAGCCACCCGGGCTGCTTTAAATGGTAAGAATACGCAGACTACCGTGGGCCTCGTGAAATTAGTCTTTGGGCCTAGAAAGCTTTTAGGATCCCCATTGTTATCAAAAAAAAATATCTATTTAGTCGATACAATAATAGTAAAACGTCGTTGGGCTCTAGCTCGTTCTCTAGATTAGCCAAGACCGATAAAAATGTAATCAATTTGCAAAGAAATATACATGTATCAAGGATATTATATCCTTTATGTGTTCTTGTTATGGACTTATGGTCCTGTGGTATTATAATCATAAATATTTTCAACCCGACTCAAACCATGCAACTAAAAGTGTAATTGCTAAACCTGAACCATATGTAAGTGAACTTTACATGATTAAAATATGTTTGGAATTTAACCGATATCTCTGTCTTTATTCGATTGGATATTAATTACGCCCATGTATGCCAAGTTCTTAAGATTTGTGCTATGCAATAAATCACTTTGGTCCTTTCTTATCTCAACGAACATAAATTTCATACGTTATCTTTTCATTTTTTTAATATAACTCGACAACGACAATGAGTCACAAGTGATTTTTAATAAAAAAAAAGATGAAGAAAAATGAGTCACAAATGATTGTTTATTTATTATATCATCTGATTTGAATGGTTCCACTAACATTTGAACTATTTTAAAAAATCGATAAAATAGTCGAGAAAGTCTCCTCTTATCATTTACATATATGAAACTTGTATTTTGGAAAGTCAATAAATAAAAAGATAACGACATCGCAGTCGCACTTTATGTTACCCGAAAAATACAAACTATTGTTTTTCTTGGCAACTCCACAAATTCAACTTGATGTGTATATAAAATTAAAAAATATTTAGATAATAGATTTTTTTATATAAAATTTCAGATAAATTATCTTAACTCGTTGATATTTATCTGAAATTTTATATAAAAAAAATCTATTATCTAAACATTTTTTACTAATAAATATCAACGAGTTAAGATCATCTGAGAATGTTCTCCATATTTAGCTATGTACCTCACGAAATATCAACCGTTAGATCAAAAACAATACTATCTCACAACACTAACATCTAACGGTTCAAAGATAAACAACACAACATAAAAATAAAAAACGCTGGACCCACACATGGGCCAGTTATATTTCCTTTAATGTATAAATGTAAAACGACTGCTCTGTGTAAACGGAATGAAGAAAAAAGCGGAGAGAGAGAGAGAGAGAGAGAGTCAATTCGATTTCTCGAAAAGTTTCAAATTTTTCTCTCAGATCATCTCATAAATTTGATTCCCCATTTCACATTCACCAGAAACAGTTTCTTTCCCGTGCTCAGAGCTCAATTTCCTCAAATTTCGACTCTTCTCAAATCGGGGAGAGAAAGAGAGTCAATTCAATTTCTTTCATTTCTGAAAAAAATTCAAACTTTTTCCTTTGAATTTGATTTTCCATTAATCATAAACAGCTTCTTTCCCGTGCTCAGAGCTCAGCTTCTTCGAATTTAGTCGAAATCTGAGTTTTTTTCTCGCCCTTGAGTATCTCTCTATGACCTTTCATGGCTTCTAATGATTAGTGATTCCTTTTCGAACTTACCCAGAGACAAAATCTCCAGCTTTCTCGGAAACAGCTAAAAAAGCTCTCTGCTTTATCTCTTCAAATCCCGAATTCTGCTGAATCTCATCTTCCACCATCGATGGGTATCTCAAAAGACAGGATCAAATTCAACGTTGGTGGACGAATCTTCGAAACGACATCGACGACTCTCGCAAACGCAGGTCGCGATTCCTTCTTCGGCGCATTCTTCGACGACGAATGGAACCTCTCTCCTCCGTCCTCTCCCGGAGAATACCATTTCATCGACAGAAACCCAGATTGCTTCGCCGTCCTCCTCGATCTCCTCCGCACCGGAGACCTCAACGTCCCAACAAACATCCCAGATCGTCTCCTCCACAGAGAAGCCTCCTTCTACGGCCTACTCGACCACGTACGCACCGCGAAATGGGGCCCGTTCGACGGAAACCGCCTCCGCCTATCCGATTCCGTCAAAGGAATCGCTCCGGGTGACGGAACCGCCGTCAGAGCAGGTCCCGACGGCGGCTGCTGCGTCGCGCACGGGAGCGTCGTCCACGTGTTCGATTGGATGCTCGAGGAGCATTACCCGATCAATCTCGATTACCAGAGAGTAAACGACGTCGGATGGATCGATTCGGAGAACATAGTCCTCTCTGCTTGTGAGAAATTAGGGAGAGGAGACGGAGGAATGGGACTTTTCAGCTCGTCTTCCGGCGATCTCCGGTATAAGTTTCAAGTCTCTCATGAGAATCAAGTCAAGAGTTACACAGCAGGAGCTTTGAGCTTTAATCAAGACTATAAGATCTTCTCTAGCTGCAAAGGAAGAAGCAATGAGTATGGAATCGGAGTTTGGGATCAGATAACCGGAAAGCAAACCGATTTCTTCTACGAGAGTACCGGTTGGTCGTTAGGTGATGCTGATAAGCTTCAGTGGTTGAATGGTAAGAATTGTCTTCTTGTGGCGACTCTGTTTCCGAGGAAGGACAATTGTTACATTAGCTTGTTGGATTTTAGAGACAAGAACATGGTTTGGTCGTGGTCGGATATTGGTTCTCCTATGGCTATAGATGAGAAGAGAGTGAGAGATGCTATTGCTATGGAAGATGGTAGTTCGATCTGTGTGGTGAATGAGTTTGAGGATTTAGGGTTTATTGATCTGAGAATGTATGGAGGGAGTGTGAGGTGGAGCTCGAGGAGTAGGTTGATGAAGAGCAAGATGCCTGATGAGCCTTGTTACCCGAAGCTTGCGTTGCACGGAGGACAGCTTTTCTCTTCGATGAATGATTCGATATCTGTGTTTTGTGGACCGGATTGGGTTTTGACGTCTAGGTTGAGGAGAAGCTATGGTGGATCGATATGTGATTTCTCTATTGGTGGGGATAGGCTTTTCGCGTTGCATAGTGAAGAGAATGTGTTTGATGTGTGGGAGACTCCTCCTCCTCCGGTCATCTGATGAGACTCTTGTTGATGCTCTGCTCTGTTCTTGTTTTTTTCGTTTGTGTGTTTTCTTTTGTGTTTTAGAGTTTAACTACAGAGAAATAGGAATAGAGAAAGACAACTATAGCAATAGAGAAGAATGAGAAGAAAAAATGTGGTTTTAGACTGATCTTTAGTTTTTTTCTATACAAAAAGTGTTGCTTCTTGTGACCTTGTGACTAAGAAATGATACAGATTTATTCAGCTTATGGCTCTTTTACTTGAGTCAGAGTTGTGTTTCAGTTTGTTCTTTATTTTCAGTTTGCCTTTTATCTAAACTTACAAGAGCATCACCAAAATCTCAACCTCACTCTCTTTAAGGTTTTCATTTGAAGATTATTTCCCTTTGTTAGGACTTAGGGGACATGTGAGTGGTTGCAACTGCTACTGTGACTGTCTTTTGGGGCAGTTAAGGTTTGCATCTTCATTTCACTTTCTTTAAAGATGTCTCCAAGAATATAACTTTTGTTTTGGAAGGGAATTTTGTTTCTCTGTTTTATCCTTTTGACCAATACTTTTCTTTTTGGAAATTTTGTGGCACTAGAACAGTAGACAAGAAGCTCTCATCTTCAAAGAATCTAATTCACTTATTTTCATCCCTTTGCAAAATCACTCTCTACCCTCTTTGATCACAGAAGGTGTAATCAGGCATTACTTTAAATCAGAATGTCAACATTACCACACAGCAAAAGCAACTTACAATGTCTTTAGAACGTCAGAGGTTGTTCTGGTCGTCTAAGCACGATACATATCGAGTCTCACAACTTTTCTCCTTTGATCAACACTTCCTCGCAAAATGGTATGACAATCTTAGCCAGCAAAGGAGATAACTAGATATGCTATTGCAAAACCAATCTCTACGACTCTACACTCTCTGATTACAAGCTGTTTAGTTTCTAAGAAAACTATATCTGAACAAAGAAAACTTTTCTTAACCACTCAGAGAAAAAGAAAACATAAACACAACTGAATACAATACAGTACACAACATTATTCTCTTGTCTGCATATAACAAAGCATTCATTAACAATACATATTCTGCAAGCCTTATAAGTATGTTTTAACAGAGACAAACAATAGATTATAAAAAACAATATGACATTATATAGGCCTCAGATTCAGGCTTTTAAGTGGCTTGCTTGCAGAGTTTGTTGAGAACACCATAAACGCTTCAACGTCTGTATGTTCTTCTGGCTTTAAAGAACCTCTCTCTGATTGAGATTAACTCTTTTGTGGCTTCACTTGTTGCCAACCGGTTCGTCGGAGATTCTTCACAACACCTAAGTCCCATCTCCAAAAGCAGTCTCAAGCACTGAGCAATAGGGAAACCGACTCTGAGACCGGTGTGAAGAATCGAGTTGTCTGCAATATCCAACACTCGCTCTGGCAATGCCGACTTGGTGTAGCTGTTTAGTGTAAGATCTCCTCCAAATAACTCATTGGTTGGTCTTTTTCCAGTGAACATTTCCAAAAGGAGAACCCCAAAGCTATACACATCACCATGTATTGATGGTTGCCCTCCCATTCCATATTCTGCACCACATTCACAGAAACAAGATTGTAATAAAAGAAAGAATCTACTAGTTTTCTTCATAGAACATTGCATATGTGTGATAGTTTTACCTGGTGCAGCATAGCCAATGGTTCCTCTGACGCCACCTGAGCTTAGTTGGTTGAGAAAAGACTCTTTGTCGAATTTGAGGAGAAGCCGAGCCAGACCAAAGTCGCTAACATGGGCAGTTAGGTCATCGTCTAAGAGGACGTTGCTTGGCTTAAGATCGCAATGAGCTATAGGATCATGACAATGAACATGCAGATAGTCCAGGACAGAAGCCACATCTATTGCAATGTTGAGTCTTTCAAAAAGAGTTAAAGTTCTTGAGGGCCTATGAATCTCTTCAACTTCCTCCGGGTGAAGCCAAACATCCAAGCTTCCATTAGGCATGAACTCGTAGATGAGAGCTCTGAATTCATTTCCTTGGAAATCAGTACTCGAGCAAGCCGTCAATAGCTTCACAAGATTACGATGCCTTATGTCCTTCAAGGATTCACATTCTGCCATAAAGCTCCTCATGGCTCCACGTCTCTGCATGTTTAGAACTTTCACTGCAACACCTTGTTCTCTGCTGGTAATAACGCTTTAAACACAGTACCAAAACTGCCTGTTCCAATCAAATTGCTCGAAGAGAAGCCATCTGTTGCATTTCGAAGATCTCCATAACTTATCCTCTCATGTAAGACCTCCAAAGTAGAAGGAGCTTGATCATTGGCCTGCTGGTTCTTTTTTCTGTTTCTCAGCCAACGTAGAGAAACGAAAGCTAAGACAAACAGCATAATCAAGGCAATGCCTATGCTTACTCCGATCACCACCTTTTTGAAAAGAGAGGAATGCTTTGTACCCTGGTTGTGGTCGAGTGAGGCATGGCTTTAGTTGAAATTTCTTGATGCCTCCACATAACTTTGTGTTCCCAAATACGAAACTATAGAGGCATTCTGAAACTTTCCTTCTGTTGGCACCTCTCCTTCAAGATTGTTAACAGACAGATTGAGATATTGCAACTTAGATAAATTTGCAAGATATCGGAATACTTCCAAAGAGACTATTGCTCGACAAATCAACTTCTTTAACATCCACCAACGCACTTAAATCTGGAATGGTCCATCAAACAAGTTTCCTTGCAGATGAAGTTTCCTATCGAGAGACATTTTCCCAATGTTTGTGGGAGTTGTCCCGACAGTTTATTATGCGCAACAGATAGGTTAACAAGAGATTTTCCAACGTCATTTGGTAGAGAGCCAGTAAAGGAATTACCTGACATATTTAGGGAAATAAGGATGACATTTGCATAATCTCCACCGGTATAGCCCCTTTCAACTTATTAGACCCAACATCTAATTAACAAATTGCTACAATTGCTGAGACTCATAGGAACTGTTCCTTCAAAAATATTGTTGGACAACCACAGTACCTAACCGAGTGATGTTTCCTATAGCAGATGGTATCTCTCCAGACATTCTATTTGAATTGACTTTTATTCCCCCAATTCTGAAAGCTTCCCAAGAGAGGTTGGGAGTGTCCTCCTAACCTGTTTTCTTCTAAACCGAGTTTTTGTAGGCTTATGAGATTCCCAATCTCATGAGGAATGCTTCCAGAGATGAAATTTGCTGAAAGGTCTAAAGATGAGGTTTCTGGACAGATTGGCAATAGATGTAGGCAAGTCACCTCCAAGCCTATTTTCGCCAACATATAATTTGTAGATGGTGCAGTTTGATAAAGCCCAAGAAAGTCAAGATCGCCAAAGAGTACTTCCCAAAGAGTTACCAGCAAGAGCTATGTATTGCAATTTCCATGCTTTTCCAAAATTCAGAGGAATACTTCCAATTAGATTGTTGAACTCCATTGCCAATATTTGAAGAGTTGATATATTGGAAAGTGTTGATGGGATGGGACCAGTGAGATTATTACCTCTCAAAGTAGATTTTCAAGATTCGGTAGCAAACTACCAAAATCAAGCCTCAGACTATCTGAGAAACCATTATCAGACATGGATAAAAACCGGAGTGACGACAAATTGTAGACAGCAGGGCGGAAATACACCTGAGAAATTGTTCCTTGATGTTTCGAGCATCTCAATTTGAGTCAATTTACCTATTTCCGGATTCCTCCTTCGAAATTGTTTTCTCCAAACCTAACCATCGTGAGTGATGTCAAGTTTCCAAGAGATGCAGGGAGCTTCCCTTTCAGATTGTTTCGACCAAGATATAACTCGACAAGCTTTGTCGATGACCAGAGTTCTGAAGGAATACCTTCTCCAAGATGATTTGACTCTACACTTAGCATCAACAATCTAGAGCAGTTAGACAGACGGGCTGGAATCGTTCCACCGAGAAAATTCAAGAACATATTCAAATATTCCAGTCTAAACAAGTTTCCCAGCTCTTGAGGGATGGTACCACCAAAAGAGTTATTAGAGAGACCAAGTGATACGAGAAACGAAAGATTACCAATATATGGTGATATCACCCCGCCTAATTGCAAATCTCCGAGGTCCAAACGAGTGACTCTCTTGTGTTTGCGGCCACATGTAACCCATTTCCAGTTGCATAAAGGGTTTGAGTGATTCCTGAGGAAAGGACGACTCTTCCGTTTTCAGAAACTCGAGACTTGAATTCCAGCAACCCTTGCTTATCGGTTTCTCCGGTAAACCCATATCCTTCAAGTAACATGAAAGCACTGAAAGCAAGAAAAAGAAACAGTCTCATGCTTCTCATTTTTCAAAAAGCCTTTTTTTCTCTTTTTTTTTCTCTTTTTTTTTTTTTTTTTTTTATCCAAAAAGTTTTTTTTTCTCTTGGTTATAATGTTTTGGTGCTTCTCATATTTTGCAGGAAAGTGAATGTAAAGGACGAGGCCTATCCAAGATGCATTTACCTTGCCGTGTCAATGCAACTGAAGGGATAATAATACATTTGCTCACAACCACATATACACATAGAGACATCACGACTCCATAATGACATGACATAGACTATTGCCGTCTACACTCTTGCAATGTAAGTCATGTGGTGGCTGGATTATTTGTTGTCATGAATTTTCTATAGACATCATGTGGTGGCTGGATTATTTGTCCCATGATGAGTCTGGAATCTGGACAGTTAACTAAAACACAAACCTGAGATATTTTACGATGACAAAGCAGTCATCTTTTGCTTATAACATTCAACACTTATACACATGTGACAAGCTTTTCATTGGTTTGCAAACTTTGTAGAGGAAACCCATAAACACTTCAGCCTATGCTTCTCTATGGCTCGCACCAAGCGATACTCTTAGCCACGGTTTCATTCTAGTATGTTATTTAGTAATGACAGAAACGTATAGATAGTTCTTTGGTTCAATATTTTGCATAGACCAAGTCAATAGAACTGAGTTAAAATGATAAAAGAAGAAATGAGTTTTAGATTACAATAGCTGCGAAAATCCAAATACAATTGGAAACTGATAGGGAACATAGATAGTAAGTAATATCATTCATCTTTCGTTAAAAAATAGCATTGAATTTATCAACAAGACACTACAAGCATATGTACAACAACATGACTGCATGACCTAAGAATCTTTAAACACAGAACAAAACTTACCTGACCCAATATTCTGCACAGGTTGTCTTGTAGAGCTCATCATAATAACTTCTCTTTTCATTACTCTTATTTTCATTATCATTAGCATTAGCCATGACAATCTAGGATTTCGACATATACCAACTTGCTTCTAGATAGTCTTCAGCAAAATAGCATAACTACAGAATTCAGAGTGTCTTAATCATACCTAGCCTGAAGCTGATTTTCCTCTTAAAGGTACACTCTTTCAAGCTTGTAGCCATAAAAGGTGGCTTGGAACACCATAAGTCAGAGGGAATTATGCATCTGCTACAGATCAAAGTACAAAAAGTTCAAGTTTTCATATGATTTTGGGAAGTAAACATTCTTCTTTCAAAACACATTAGCAAATCTTAAGAACTTTTGACAAACACATAACCATTTTGATGCCAACAAAATACTTAGACACCGCTTTTATGTGAATCATGAGACAACCATTTCCATAGTTTAGAACTAAAAGTTATATTAGCATATCACCATAACATCAGAGTCAGAGATTACAAAATCTTAGCCCAAAGTTTGCCTTTTAATCTAGTCAAAAACAAAACCAAACAGATTTCTCAAAGCGTTTAAGGCTCAACCCGAAAAGCCAACACAGGGTATGTACTGAGGAACGTTCCTTAGCTTTTGGAGATACAAGAGCTGACCTTAGCTTTTGGAGATACAAGAGCTGCAAACAGAGCGAACATGAACAACATCGAAACAGTTCTCCAGATTCTCGGCGATAACTTGTAGTAGCTCTTCAGGGAGCTGAGACCAGTCTGGCATGAGGTCTTCCTTTTTCGTTTGCTGATGAAGCCGGAAAAGGCTGCGATTTCGAAAATCTGAAAGAAAATTTTACAACTTTTATGGTTTAGGGAAACTGTAAAGGAATCATTAGTACAAACTACAACAAACAATGGAAACAGAGTATCAAATTCATCTCCAAAATCCCGTAAGAAACAGCAAAATTCAATTTTTCAACAGGATTGAATTAGAGCTTAATTAGAGCCTGAAACAGGATTTATAAGCAGAAGATAAATTCCGATCTAGGAGGCTCACCGCAAGCTCTAACCAAAAAACTCAACTTTGTACCAAAACCATGGATTTAGAACTAAGTTAGAGCCTGAAACAGGATTTGTAAGTAGAGGATAAATTTCGATCTAGGAGCTTACCGTAAGCTCTAAGAAGAGATGGTTACAGTTGTAGAAGATGATCCGAGAAGAAAAATTATCACTTTGAACAGATCTGGACCGAATGAGAAACCGAATGATAGAGAGCAAAAGAGAGATTGATTAAAGAGGAGATTAGAAACCGTTTAACCAAATACAAACCGATTGAAATGATCAAACCAAACCATATGAGATTAAACCAAACCATCAAAGTTTTAACGAAAAATAACCGAAGCTGATAATCTCCAGCAAAGGTAAAGTCTTTCAAGTGCGCCATTACGCACCTGTCAATGCACGTTTTCATAAGAATTCTCTCTCTCTCATTCGCCTAAATCATGTTAGTGAAATATGATAGAAGCTGGGAAAACTTCCCTAGCCACGGAGAGAGATCATCAAAACTAAAGACTCCTGCAAGGCATATATCGATCAGCTAGAGTATTGCTTTCTTGAGCAAGTTTACAAGCAGAGCCTCTTCAGGGTCAAAAGATGTAAGATGTGAACATTTATGCCATGTCTGAGAATTTCAATCCTGCACAGTGCTAGAAGCATCCGATTTATACGTAAGCAAAACCCATAATGAACAAAGACAAATTTTCTTAACCCCTCAAGAAACAGAAAACATAAACACATCTGAAATACATAATATAATAACACAACATTATAGTCTTGACTGCATATAACAACAGATTAATGATAAAAAAAAAAAACGATGTGACATTATATAGGCCTCAGATTCAGGCTTTTAAGTGGCTTGCAAAGTTGCTGAGAACACCATAAACGCTTCAACGTCGGTATGTTCTTCTGGCTTTAAAGAACCTCTCTCTGATTGAGATTAACTCTTTTGTGGCTTCACTTGTTCCCAACCGGTTCCTCGGAGATTCTTCACAACACCTAAGTCCCATCTCCAAAATCAGTGTCAAGCACTCAGCAATAGGGAAACCGACTCTGAGACCGGTGTGAAGAATCGTTGTCTGCAATGTCCAACACTCGCTCTGGCAATGCCGACTTGGTGTAGCTGTTTAGTGTAAGATCTCCTCCAAATAACTCATTGGTTGGTCTTTTCCAGTGAACATTTCCAAAAGGAGAACCCCAAAGCTATACACATCGCCATGTATTGATGGTTGCCCTCCCATTCCATATTCTGCACCATCATTCAAAAAGAACAAAAACAAGATTGTAATAAAAGAAAGAATCTACTAACTTTCTTCATAGAAAGAACATTGCATATGTGTGATAGTTTTACCTGGTGCAGCATAGCCAATGGTTCCTCTGACGCCACCTGAGCTTAGTTGGTTGAGGAAGGACTTCTTTGTCGAATTTGAGGAGAAGCCGAGCCAGACCAAAGTCGCTAACATGGGCAGTTAGGTCATCGTCTAAGAGGACATTGCTTGGCTTAAGATCGCAATGAGCTATAGGATCATGACAATGAACATGCAGATAGTCCAGGACAGAAGCCACATCTATTGCAATGTTGAGTCTTTCAAAAAGAGTTAAAGTTCTTGAAGGCCTATGAATCTCTTCAACTTCCTCCGGGTGAAGCCAAACATCCAAGCTTCCATTAGGCATGAACTCGTAGATGAGAGCTCTGAATTCATTTCCTTGGAAATCAGTACTCGAGCAAGCCGTCAATAGCTTCACAAGATTACGATGCCTTATGTCCTTCAAGGATTCACATTCTGCCATAAAGCTCCTCATGGCTCCACGTCTCTGCATGTTTAGAACTTTCACTGCAACCACCTTATTCTCCGCTGGTAGTAATGCTTTAAACACAGTACCAAAACTGCCTGTTCCAATCAAATTGCTCGAAGAGAAGCCATCTGTTGCATTTCGAAGATCTCCATAACTTATCCTCTCATGTAAGACCTCCAAAGTAGAAGGAGCTTGATGATTGGCCTGCTGGTTCTTTTTTTGTTTCTCAGCCAACGTAGAGAAACGAAAGCTAAGACAAACAGCAGAATCAAGGCAATGCCTATGCTTACTCCGATCACCACCTTTTTGAAAGAGAGGAATGCTTTGTACCTGGTTGTGGTTGAGTGAGGCATGGCTTTAGTTGCAGTTTCTTGATGCCTCCACATAATTTTGTGTTCCCAAATACTGAAATATAGAGGCATTCTGAAACTTTCCTTCTGTTGGCACCTCTCCCTCAAGATTGTTAACAGACAGATTGAGATATTGCAACTTGGTAAATTTGCAAGATATCCCGGAATACTTCCAAAGAGACTTATTGCTCGACAAATCAACTTCTTTAAGATCCACCAACACTTAAATCTGGAATGGGTCCATCAAACAAGTTTCCTTGCAGATAAAGATATTCCATCGAGAGACATTTTCCCAATGTTTGTGGGAGTTGTCCCGACAATTTATTATGCGCAACAGATAGTTAACAAGAGATTTTCCAACATCTTTTGGTAGAGAGCCGGTAAAGGAATTACCTGATACATTTAGGGAAATAAGGATGACATTTGCATAATCTCCACCGGTATAGCCCCTTTCAACTTATTAGACCCAACATGTAATCTGTAACAAATTGCTACAATTGCTGAGACTCGGAGGAAGGTTCCTTCAAAAATATTGTTGGACAAATATAGTTTCCTAACCGAGTGATGTTTCCTATAGCAGATGGTATCTCTCCAGACATTCTGTTTGAAAACACTTATTCCCCCTAATTCTGAAAGCTTCCCAAGAGAGGTTGGGAGTGTTCCTGTTAACCTATTTCTTCTAAACAAGTCTTGTAGGCTTATGAGATTCCCAATCTCATGAGGAATGCTTCCAGAGATGAAATTTTTGAAAGTCTAAAGATGAGGTTTCTGGACAGATTGGCAATAGATGTAGGCAAGTCACCTCCAAGCCTATTTTCACCAACAATTAATGTCTGTAGATGGGTGCAGTTTGATAAAGCACCAAGAAATTCAAGATCGCCAAAGAGTTACTTCCCAAAGAATTACCAAAAAGACCTAGGTTGCAATTTCCGTGCTTTTCCAAAGCTCAGAGGAATACTTCCAATTAGATTGTTAACTCTGAACAATCGAAGAGTTGATATATTGGGAAGTGTTGCTGGGATGGGACCAGTGAGATTATTACTAAAAATAGTAAATGTTTAAGATTTGGTAGCAAACTACCAAAATCAGCCTCAGACTACCTGAGAAACCATTATCAAGATGTAAAACTCAAGTGAGGACAAATTGTAGATTGCGGGCGGAAATACACCTGAAAATTGTTTTTTGATGCTTCAAGAATCACCATTTGAGCAAGTCTAGCTACATCCGGAATTCCTCCTTCTATATTGTTATCTCCAAAGACAAGTTTGTGAGTGATGTCAAGTTTCCAAGAGATGCAGGGAGCTTCCCTTTCAGGTTGTTTCTACAAGATATAAACATAAAGCTTTGTCAATGACCCTAGTTCTGAAGGAATACCTTCCTCCAAGATCATTTGAATCTACTCTAAGCCTCAACAATCTAGAGCAGTTAGACAGACGGGCTGGAATCGTTCCACCGAGAAAATTTGAGAACATATTCAAATCTTTCAGTCTAAACAAGTTTCCCAGCTCTTGAGGGATGGTACCACCAAAAGAGTTATTAGAGACCAAGTGATACGAGAAACGAAAGATTACCAATATGGTGATATCACCCCGCCCAGTTGCAATCCTCCAAGGTCCAAACGAGTAACTCTCTTGTGTTTGCGGCCACATGTAACCCATCCCAGTTGCATAAAGGGTTTGAGTGATTCCATGAGGAAAGGACAACTCTTCCGTTTTCAGAAACTCGAGACTTGAATTCGAGCAACCCTTGCTTATCAGTTTCTCCGTAAACCATATCCCAAGTAACATGAGAGCACTTAAAGCAAGTAAAAGAAACAGTCTCATGCTTCTCATTTTTCAAACAATTTTTTTTCTTGGTTTGTAATGTTTTGGTGCTTCTCATGTTTTGCAGAAAGTGAATATAAAGGAGGAGGCATATCCAAGATGCATTTACCTTGCGTGTTAATGCAACTGAAGGGATAATACATTAGCTCACAACCACATAGAGACAACTCCAAATGGCAAAGACTCTTGCTATTAGTCAACCATCTAACAAGACCAAAATAACAAAAAAGAGATCTTTATCTACAGACATCATGTGGTGGCTGGATTATTTGTCCCATGATGGGTCTGGATTCTGGACAATTAACTAAAACACAAACCTGAGATATTTAGTTATTTACGATCACAACTGAGATAACGCAAAAAATGGTTAGAACGACTTCTTCAGTTCCCAAACACTAAACTCAACGTCTTGGGTATAACCAAAAAACAGAGAACGACAAAGTTTGTGCAATTAGTCTTTAAGGTAAGAAGCAGTTTTTAAAAACAAAATCATACCTCTACTGAATCCGTTATACACTTAATAATGAAACATTCTAATGTCCAAATGCTTAAATTTAAGCATCTATAATAAATAGTCTTTTACAGAGTAAAGGCGGCAATGAGATCTTGCATCTGTTCCAAGAGACCAACGTGAAGAAATGATTGGACTGCGATGTCCATTAATTACTCGCTCTAGCACCACACACTCTACCTTTAAGTTTTAAAATAACAATCTGTGATTTCACTGAGACAAGATGGCCTAGTAGAAAGTGAAAAGCACGGAAATATACCTGAAGCTGATTTCATTTCTTGTGTGGCTCAACTTTGGCTCCAAGGCATAACAGATAGGTTGGCAATGTACAGTCTTTATAGCTTGTAGCCATGGAAGTTGGCTTGGAACACCATATCTCAGAGGGCATTATGCATCTGCTACATATCAAAGTATAAAAAGTTGGAATTTTCATATGATTTTGGGAAGAAAAACATACTTCTTTGAAAACCCTTTTGCATAAATGGGTCAAACACATAGCCATTTTGATACCAAGAACATAGTCAGACACTGCTTTGAGAGTTCATGAGACAACCATTTCAATAGTATAAAACTCAAATTTATATTAGCATATTACCATGACATCAGAGATTACAAAATCTTTACTCAAAAATCATAGGAAACCAAAACCAAACAGATGTCTCAAAAGGGTTTAGCACTCAACCCGAAAGGCCAACACAGGATATGTACTGAGGAACGTCACAGGATTCTCTCTCGACAATATCCAAAAACAAAGGTCGTCTTCCACATTTCCTGTATCTACTCCATATTTATACAAGTAACTTACACTCTCCGGGCCATTAGTGAACAGCAATGAGTTCCTACTCAAACCACAACCATCAGGAAGCTCCTTCACCGAGCAGCACACATTTCCAAAACGTCCAATAAACAGCACACGATCTCCCAAATCAGTAACCTCGACCCATTTACCATCCTCCTCATCATCTAGCCGACTCACTCTACATTTGAACCTACCAAAATCTAATACACCACTAGGAGGAGTGATTAGCTCAACCAAGAAAAGTTCATCATCATCATCACCAGATGGAACAAGAAACTTGAGCGACCGCAGAGAAAAGCGAGTCCTCTGTAATCTTTAGGTTCCTCGCCAATCATTCTGTAGTGGTGGCCAAGAGGGAAGATCTGACAGTCGAGCATGTTCATCAAGGTTGGATCAGATTCAGATCCTGGGATCTTGAATTCCACTGTTGGCTCACAACCACATGGAGACAACTCCAAAATGGCATAGACTCTTGCCATCAAGACTCGTGTACATCTAAATCAATTATTCAACCATCTAAAAGGACCAAAACAAAAACAGGAATCATTAGTCTTTATGAATTTTCTATAGACATCACGTGATGATTAGATTATGTGTCATATGGTGGGTCTGGAATCTGGACACTTAACTCAAATACAAACCCAAAGTATTTACCACCACAGAGCAGTCAACTTTTTGTCTGAAAGCACAACAGTAGTTTATAGTATTCAGACAAGTCTTTCATTGGTTTGGAAAATTTGTAGAGGAAACTAAAAACACTTCAGTAGTCTCTGCTTCTCTAATCTCTATGGCACGCATCAAGATAAGCTCGTACCGGTAAACAGTAAGCTAGAGAAGCCAACACCAGTTACATGACAGAAACATTGAAATATCACTATGTTTTATATCCAGTAATTAGACACATACCAACTTGCTTCTAGATAGTTTTCAACAAAAAAACTAACCATGGCATTGACTAGATGTTTAGTCACTATGTTTTACCCTGGAACGATAAGCTAACCATGGCATTGACTAGATGTTTAACCATCCTAATAGACCAGACTTGTCATACACGCAAAAACGCAAACCAAACTAGTGAAATGAAGAAGCACGTCACATGGACAACCAACTCACAGTATAAGAAGTATAACATGCAGTGCAAATTTTATATTTATTACCTTGAGCAACACTAAGAAGATTGACATAACCCATAAGAAAATACAGAGCATCAATGTTTTTGTAAACCAGTTGGAAAAAACAGTAAATCGAGCTAGCAAACAAAAGCTATAATTTGGCATTACTTTAAACCAGAATGTCGAATTTCAAGCTACTTATAATGTATTTGGAACTTAAAACAACCTTCGAGCAAAAATTAACAACAGGGCTTCAATTGGTCTTAGATAATCTGACTCTGGCGTTGTAAGTTTAAGGCGTAACATACAGTCTTAGATAATCTGACTCTGTACAGTTAAGGAAATAAGGAGCTTCCCATATCTATCTACCCTTCCTTTTCCTTTCTCTTTGAACATTCATAGTGTGGAAGGCGAGAGAGACTAGCCACGAAACAAGAGGGATCTAGTAAAGACTCTGCTTCACTCCTTGGATTCTTCTTCCCTGAAAAAGAAAAAGATCAAACATGTGGGACTATTAAAAGTGAAACTGATTCTCTCTACTCAAAGATCCATTATTTCATTATATGAATACATTTCTTGAATCTCATGAGGCATGGGAAGATTCGAGAGACACGTAACTAAACTTACCTAGCCATCGAGATGATAAAAAGACTCCTGGAAGGAAAATCAGCTAGAGTATGCTTTCTTGAGGAAGTTTACAAACAGATACTCTTCAGGGGTTAACGTGTCAAAAGCAATGTAGTTTTCTTTCTTTGTTTGTAAATATGGCATTAGCATAGAGTCAATATCATCTTCATCAAGAAAAGAGATCTCTGTTTCAGTTTTGGATACCGTCATATTGTTCGGAAAGCTTTCAAAACTTTCGGGATAAGAAAGAAGATATCACCTTTCCTCAACTCTCTTCTGGAGATCGTAGGTTGGTGTTCTTGGACTGATAAGGTGCGAACATTTCTATCATGGCTGAGAATTTCAGTCCTTAACAGTACTAGAAACATTCAATTTACTGTAAGCATGAAAAACTCATGTTTGAAAAAAAAAACTTCTCTTAACCACTCAGAAAAATAATAAAAGATAAACATAACTGAAACATATTACATAAAATTCATCTCTTGTCTGAATATAACACACACAAGCATTCATTAGCAATATACTGTATTCTGCAAGCCTTATTAAGTATGTTTTAACAGAGACATAAAAAAAAAGACAGATTATGAAAAACGATATGAAATTATATAGGCCTCAGAGATTCAGCCTTTTAAGTGGCTTGCAGAGTTTGTTGAGAACACCATAAACGCTTCAACGTCTGTATGTTCTTCTGGTTTTAAAGAACCTCTCTCTGATTGAGATTAACTCTTTTGTGGCTTCACTTGTTCCCAACCGGTTCGTCGGAGATTCTTCACAACACCTAAGTCCCATCTCCAAAAGCAGTCTCAAGCACTCAGCAATAGGGAAACCGACTCTGAGACCGGTGTGAAGAATCGATTTGTCTGCAATATCCAACACTCGCTCTGGCAATGCCGACTTGGTGTAGCTGTTTAGTGTAAGATCTCCTCCAAATAATTCATTGGTTGGTCTTTTTCCAGTGAACATTTCCAAAAGGAGAACCCCAAAGCTATACACATCGCCATGTATTGATGGTTGCCCTCCCATTCCATATTCTGCACCACAATTCACAGAAACAAGATTGTATAAAAGAAAGAATCTACTAGTTTTCTTCATAGAAAGAACATTCAGATGTGTGATAGTTTTACCTGGTGCAGCATAACCAATGGTTCCTCTGACGCCACCTGAGCTTAGTTGGTTGAGGAAGGATTCTTTGTCGAATTTGAGGAGAAGCCGAGCCAGACCAAAGTCGCTAACATGGGCAGTTAGGTCATCGTCTAAGAGGACATTGCTTGGCTTAAGATCGCAATGAGCTATAGGATCATGACAATGAACATGCAGATAGTCCAGGACAGAAGCCACATCTATTGCAATGTTGAGTCTTTCAAAAAGAGTTAAAGTTCTTGAGGGCCTATGAATCTCTTCAACTTCCTCTGGGTGCAGCCAAACATCCAAGCTTCCATTAGGCATGAACTCGTAGATGAGAGCTCTGAAATCATTCCCTTGGAAATCAGTACTCGAGCAAGCCGTCAATAGCTTCACAAGATTACGATGCCTTATGTCTTTCAAGGATTCACATTCTGCCATAAAGCTCCTCATGGCTCCACGTCTCTGCATGTTTAGAACTTTCACTGCAACCACCTTATTCTCTGCTGGTAATAATGCTTTAAACACAGTACCAAAACTGCCTGTTCCAATCAAATTGCTCGAAGAGAAGCCATCTGTTGCATTTCGAAGATCTCCATAACTTATCCTCTCATGTAAGACCTCCAAAGTAGAAGGAGCTTCAGAACTGGCCTGCTGGTTCTGTTTTCTATTTCTCAGCCAACATAGAGAAACGAAAGCTAAGACAAAAAGCAGAATCAAGGAAATGCCTATGCTTACTCCAATCACCTTCATTTTGAAAAGAGAGGAATGCTTTGTACCCACTGGTTGAGGTTGATGTGAATGATGCATGTCGGTAGTTGCAGTTTCTTGATGCCTCCACACAGTTTGTGTTCCCAAATACTGAAACTATAGAGGCATTCTGAAACTTTCCTTCTGTTGGCACCTCTCCCTCAAGATTGTTAACAGACAGATTGAGATATTGCAACTTGGACAAATTTGCAAAATATCCCGGAATACTTCCAAAGAGACTATTACTCGACAAATCAACTTCTTTAACATCCACCAACCCACTTAAATCTGGAATGGTCCATCAAACAAGTTTCCTTGCAGATAAAGCTTTCCATCGAGAGACATTTTCCCAATGTTTGTGGGAGTTGTCCCGTCAATTTATTATGCGCAACAGATAGTGTAACAAGAGATTTTCCGACATCTTTTGGTAGAGAGCCGGTAAAGGAATTATTATCCATATTTAGGGAAATAAGCGATGACATTTGCATAATCTCCACCGGTATAGCCCCTTTCAACTTATTAGAACCAACATCTAATTCTAACAGATTGCTACAATTGCTGAGCCTGGGAGGAACGGTTCCTTCAAAAATATTGTTGTACAAATACAGTGTCACTAACCGAGTGATGTTTCCTATAGCAGATGGTATCACTCCGGACATTCTATTTGAATCGACACTTATTGAACCCTAAATCTGAAAGCTTCCCAAGAGAGGTTGGGAGTGTTCCTGTTAACCTATTTGTTTGTAAACCAAGCATTCGTAGGCTTATGAGATTCCCAATCTCATGAGGAATGCTTCCAGAGATGAAATTTCTTGAAAGGCTTAAAGAGATGAGGTTTCTGGACAGATTGGCAACATATGTAGGCAAGTCACCTCCAAGCCAATTATTTCAACAATTAATTTCTGTAGATGGGTGCAGTTTGATAAAGCACCAAGAAATTCAAGATCGCCAAAGAATTACTTCCCAAAGAATTACCACTAAGAACTAGGTATTGCAATTTCCGTGCTTTCCGAAGCTCCGAGGAATACTTCCAATTAGATTGTTGAACTGGAGATCTAAACGTTGAAGAGTTGATATATTGGGAAGTGTTGCTGGGATGGGACCAGTGAGATTATTATCTCTCAAGTATAAGAATTTGAGATTTGGTAGCAAACTACCAAAATCTTCCCTCAAATTACCTGAGAAACCATTATCAAACATGTATAACAACTCGAGTGAGGACAAATTGTAGATTGCCGGCGGAAGTACACCTGAGAAATTGTTCCGTGATGATTCAAGAGTGACCATTTGAGTCAGTCTAGCTATATCATCCGGAATTCCTCCTTCTATATTGTTATCTCCAATGACAAGTTCTGTGAGTGATGTCAAGTTTCCAAGAGATGCAGGGAGCTTCCCTTTCAGTTGTTTTCACCAATATATAAACCGGTAAGCTTTGTCAATGACCCTAGTTCTGAAGGAATACCTCCTCCAAGATCATTTGAATCTAGACTAAGACTCGACAATCTAGAGCAGTTAGACAGACAGGCTGGAATCGTTCCATGGAGAAAATTTGAAAATATTCAAATCTTTCAGTCTAAACAAGTTTCCCAGCTCTTGAGGGATGGTACCACCAAAAGAGTTATTACCAAGATAAAGCGATACGAGAAAGGAAAGATTACCAATATATGGTGATATCACCCCACCCAGTTGCAATCCTGTGAGGTCCAAACTTGTAACTCTCTTGTGTTTGCGGCCACATGTAACCCCATCCCAGTTGCATAAAGGGTTTGAGTGATTCCATGAGGAAAGGAACTCTTCCGTTTTCAGAAACTCGAGACTTGAATTCGAGCAACCCTTGCTTATCAGTTTCCACCGTAAACCCATAGCCTTCAAGTAGCATGAGAGCACTGAAAGCAAGTGAAAGAAACAGTCTCATGCTTCTCATTTCTCAAAAAGCTTTCTTTTCTTTTTTTTTCGTTTCTTAGTTTTAATGGTTTGGTGCTTCTCATGTTTTGCAGGAAAGTCAATATAAAGGACGAGCCAAATCCTAGATGCATTTATCACGTTGGCTCACAACCACATGGAAACAACTCCTATATGACATTGACTTCTGCCATCTAGACTCCTGTACATAAAGACCAAAAAAGAAAAAACAGAAATCATGAGTCTTTATGAATTTTCTATAGACATTATGTGTCATATGGTGTGTCTGGAGTCTGAACACTTGACTAAATACAAACCTGAATTATTTACGATCACAAAGCAGTCATCTTTTTGTCTAAAAGCACAACAGTAGTTTATAATTCAAAAAGCACAACAGGGACAAGCCTTTCATTAGTTTGCAAACTTCGTAGAGGAAACCAAAAAACACTTCTGCTTCTCTATGACTCGCGACAAGAGATGATCTTAGCCATAGTTTGATTCTACTATCTTAATCAGTAATGACAGAAAGACATAGTGCTTTGGTTCAATATTTAGCGTATACGGTATACCAAGTCAAGAGAATTGAGTGAAACTGAATAAAAAGAATTTGAGTTTTAGATTTTACGAGCTGAGAAAGTCCAAACACAATTCGGAAGTAATAGATAGTACGTAGCACAACATTCATCTTTCGTTAGCAAATAGCATTGGATTCACCAACAATATTCTGCAACCATATGTACAACAACATGATTACTTGACCCTTATATAAACTTTAAACACAGAACCAAATTTACCTGACCCAATATTCTGCTGAGGTTGTCCTGTTCTCTTTTCATTAATGTTATTCTCATCATTAGTAGCCCTGGTACTCATCATTCTTTGTCTGTACTGGCAAAGAGAAGACCCAGACATAAGTAACAAGAAAAGTGTTACTATAGCTGCAGTGACACAAATATAAACCAAGGTCTTCGTACTAGCTATGCCAATCTATGATTTCGACATGTATCAACTTGCTTATACACAGTTTTCAGTATAAAAGCATTATTACATTTTAATTCAGAATGTCATAACATACCTAGCAGAAGAATCAAAGTTTAAGTACGTTTATCTAGCAGAAAAATTAAAGTTTAAGTACGTTTAAATAACCATATATGCAAGCATAAGTACGTTTTATACCTGAAGCTGATGACATCTCTTGTGTGGCTCCACTTTGGCTCAATGGCTCCAAGGCATAAGAAATAGACATGACCCATCCTAATATCCAGCAAAGGCTCAGTCTTTCAAGCTTGTAGCCATGAAAGATGGCTTGGAACACCATCGATCAGAGGCCATTACACATCTGCTAGACTGCTACAGATCAACAAGAAAAAGTTCGAGTTTTCATATGATTTTGGGAAGAAATCATACTTGTTTCAAAACACATTTGAAAATATTGAATAACTTTGGTCAAACACATGTACACATGATACAACTATTTCCACAGAGAAACTGTGTTTTAAAATTTTCAACATGGCTGTGTGTAGTTCAGAACTAACATATACTAAAACAAGAATACCGAGTAATGTAGTTTTGAGCAATCAGAGATCACAAAACAAAGAAACAAAAACAACAGGTGTCCAAGGCTTAGAGCTTAACCCGGAGAGCCAGCACCGGAGATGTGCTGAGGATAGTCACAGGATTCTCTGCTGATAATATCCAAAAACTGAGGTTGTCTTCATCGAATCCTGTGTGTACTCGATATCTAAAAAAGAAGCTTCCACCGTCTACCGTAAAGTTGAACAAAATTGAGTTCCCACTCAGACCACAACCATCAGGAAGCTCTTTAGCCGAGCAGCATACATTTCCCAAGTGTCCATGACTAATGAACAACACACGGTCTCCCACATGGGTGACCACGACCCATTTACCAGCCTCCTCATCTAGCCTACTCACTCTTAATTTCAACTGGCTACCGTTTTGCTCAACCAGGAAAAGTTCATCATTGCCACATGGAATCAGATACCTTCGCGAAGAAAGAGGCTGCGACTGCATCAGGGGAGTCACCTCCAGCGAATAAGGATCAATAACTACAATTCCCATCATAAGATCCATTGCGTAAAACCTGCCTCTAAAAGCCACTACCTTCTTGCAAAATTTAAATGGGAAGTTCTTAACCACCATCCACTTCATTTCACCACTTCTTAACACCAACCAAGATTTACGTAAGTTGAGAAGCACAATGAACTCTCCTCCTCCTAGCGGAAGAACAGCAACTTCCCTGATACACTCTTCAGAATCCAAACCAATCATTCTGTATTGGTGGCCAAGAGGGAGGATCTCGCAGTCGAGCATGTTCATCAAGGTTGCCTCAGATTCTCCGATCGTCACTTTCACTGAACACTGAAGTGGAGATGGAATCATCTCCATATGATCCTCTGACTCATCTCTACGGCCTATTCCTCCATAGAAATACGACTCAGAAGGCGAATCACCAGCAGCAAGAGTAGGACGGACTATGAAGAAGAACAAAGGGATCTTCTTGATGGTGCAAAAGCCTTTGCTTTCGTGAGGGACCTCTGTGAACGAGGGAAGAGAGTAACTTGGGCGTAACAGGCTACAAGGAAATGGCATTGTGGATCGCCACAAGCTGCAAACAGAGCGAGCATGAACAACGTCGAAACAGTTGTTCAGTTTCTCGGAGATAACTTCAAATAGCTCTTCAGGGAGCTTAGTCCAGTCTGGCATCATCGATGAAGATGCAGATGTCCTCTTTTTGGCTACAGATTCTGCCATTTCTGCTGATGAAGCCGGAAACAGCTGCAAAATTAACATTCCAATTGCTTATCACACACTCAGGTAAAAGCCAAGGAACAAATTTTTACTTTCAGATTTTTGGTTTCTTCACATTTGGATTCAGAAACTCGTAATGCACAACATTTGAATCGGTCTTGAAAGTTAAGAAACTACTTACTTTGAGAGAACAAAGAAAAAAAAGGAGTATTGAGAGCAGAGCGAAAACATAAAGGTGACATTTTTGCAGAAGTAATTAAGAACCCAGAAGATGTCTCTAAGAAGCTAAAACACAATTACGCGATACCACTCTAAGATTCGATTTTAATGATGAGAGGACCTCAATACAGAAACATACCTGTCGTAATCGAAAGGCTATGACGAAGAAAACACAAGTAGCCGGAGAAGAAACTACTCAGACTTTACGATTTAGGGTTCAGTATAATTTCGATTTGGGAAATTGAGGGGAAAACCAAACGACATCGTTTGTGAAAAATGAAACGACTCCGTTTTGAGTAGCATCGCCATTCTAATAAATTTCCGGTTCAAGGTTTCGGTTTCAATTTCATCCGGTTTGATTTTACATGGGTGTTATGGGATTGTGGTCGTTGACAAATCGTCTAAAAACATCATTCACAATATTTTTAGCCTAACAAATGAATTATTAGATAGAAGAAGATTAGACCACTTTGAAACTCTTACATGGACACATTGTATAAAATTACTCTCCAACTCATATTACCATATCATGTAATTAAAGGTAACGTGTATGATATTCGGATCAAAGAAACCAACTTCATTGTATAAAACAAAAACGATGCAAACATATTTAAAAAAAAAAAGAAAAAGAAATGGATTTTGTAACAGTAGGTATAGGAACCAAAACTCTACGAAACATACATCAAAACAACTTCTTTGTTTTTCGTAGACTTTGACCAAAAGTTAGTTGACTTCATCTCCCACTTTCTTCTGATTTGTTTTTGGTATCTCTTTGCCTAACCCCAAAAGTTAAAATGAAAACGGCAGTTATCACGGCTTCGCAACGGAGACAGCTTCTTTAACGGCCATAGAAGACAACCCCTCCGTCAGACCGTTACCGTTACCATTTAACTTCGTTGACTGTACGGCCATGCCGGAAAGATTAGGAGAAGAAGGACGACCTCCGACGTTAGGAGCAGCTCCAGAGATCAAAGGGTTACGAGGGTGACACGTGGCGGTTGAGATGGCAGTAGCTAAAGAGATAGGCATGAGACAAAGACCTTTCCCTTGAAGGTATTGCATGGCTGAGCCCATGTCTTCTTCCATTAGCTTCGCCACTTGATGCTCCGTCATCGTTACACTCTCGTTGGAGTTTCCGGCGGAGGATGCGTTCCCGTTGGACCCACCTGCTTGAGCAACTCCTCCCTGAAAATTAAATATAAAACATTTTTTAATTAAAAAGATGGGACAAAACATAAAGACAAGAAAGCGAAACCCTAAGTGGACAGTGGTAATATATAGTCGGCACGCGTGCTCTCTCTTTTCTCTACATACTTTTAGAATTTGTAATACTTTTTCTGTTTCTGGAAACTATTTTTTTGTCTTCTATGAATGTATGTCTATTTTGTTTGTATAAATTTGTGACCACAAAAATCGCTGAGGATATCAAGTTAACATTACAAATTATGAACTTCGTTCTTGTGATTTTGTTTGAGTAGAGGTGGTGAAGTTAATTACCTCAGAGATTTGAGAAGAAGCAGCACCACCCAATCTGCTCATGCTCAGTACCTAAAACGCAATAATAAATTTCAAAACATGATTATGAATATACACTATGTAATGCAACGATCCAGAAAAATAAATAAAGGAGAGGGAGCATAAGGAATTTTAGTTGCAGAGGCCCATGTTTGATTAATTGGTATGTAAATCTTGTACTAATATGTCAGCTTTTCTTTTTGTCTACTATGTCAACTATAAGGCCAAGAAAGAATTTTCTATCACTTATTTAAGAAGAGAATAGATTAAAAAAAACATAATGTATAGTTTGTAAAAAAGTTACCTCTTGTAGTAAAATAATAATACTCTGAAGACAAATGAAAAGAAAAATTGATCAAAGATAAGGAATATAGAAGAGAGATTCACCTTGACTTGGAGCTGTAAAAACTTGACATAATCTATAATCTCATCGAGCATCGATGCCTTGTCTGTCTGTCAATTATTATTTAAATAGATACACAAAAGCAAAATTATGTCAGAACTGAGATCCTAACCCATTTATTACTGCATTAGTTAACTTTATTAGTGTGGCCTGATGTATTAGCTAATCAGTGCTTAATCAATTGATTGATACAGTATTTTTTTATAAAGACTGAACAACTAACCACCACTCATATGAGTAAAACAAAACATATGGATTTACTTACTAACTTTAGTTTTTGGTCAATAGATAACAACTCATGGAAATATTAGTAGTTCTACTTGACATGCTAAAACAACTCCAATTCTTGATAATTGACTACTGAAGTGACTTACATAAGAATGAACATTCTTTTTGACAATGAATTCACTATTTTTCACATAATTTAATTTTAGGCTTAAAACGATATGGATCACACAATTGAGACTATAAAGTAATGATGTAAATATATTTTTTGCAAAATAAACTGAAAATCAAATAAATAAAATACCTTATTGCCGTTAGGAACGAGTTCTTGAAGAGCTTTCATTCTCTCCGCAATTCTCTCTCTTCGTAACTGCCCAAGAAAACATTTTTTCCACAACTTTTCAGAAAACACTCGAAAAGTTTTAAACTTTTTCTTCTCAAAACAAAAACATTTTCAATTTCCACGCCTTTCTCGGTAACTGATACGAATTAATGCATCGAAAAAATTACTTAAATTAAGATGAAAATAATAAATAAATCGAACCCGTTCGGCGATACTGTGAGGATCAGTTGCTTGACCTCTCCTAGCTCTGACTTTAGTCCTACTCTGCGGCGGAGCCGCCACCGTAGCGCCAGTAGCTGTAGACGCACCCACCTGAGGTTGCGTTTGCGTTTGCGTTTGTCCTTGTTGGTTCATCAACCCACCTCCCGACCCCTAAATTTCATCAAGAATTCTGATTTTAAACATCTAAACGCATTTTTAGAATCAAAACGGAGAGAGGGAGAGAGCGTATGCCTGAGGGATGTGGAAAGGAAGAGATCCGGCGGTGGAGAAGCCATTGTAAAGAGCGTGGACGGAGGAGCCATCGACAACGTCGGTTTGATGGTGAGAGGACAAAGGCATCATCATGATCTGTTGGAAGCCGCCATCGGAGGGAGGCGGAGGAGGATGAGCTTCGTCGACAGAGGGCCATGGAGGGGAGGCAAAGATATGATCGAGGAAGTCTTCGTGGTCAAAAGTCGTCGCCGGAGGTTGAATATGGGAAGAAGATGAAGATGAAGGAGTTAGAAGAGAAGAGTTCATCATGATGATGGCTTTTGCTTCTACACTTTTTTTTTTCTTTTTGGTAGAGAGGTTGAAAATGTTGAGGTTTGGCTTAATTATTATAAAGGGGAATTGTTTGTAGATATATTATTTTTAATTTTTAGGGTTTTAGAAAAAATGATAATAAATATTATTTTTGGTGATGGTTTAAAAGGAAAACTAAAACACTTTTTTTTTTGGTTAGCAAGTAGCAACTCATCTCGTATGTGTATGGTGATGTGTCGATGATTATCTTCGCTTCTCTAATTTCGTTTCCGTCTAAACTACTATGATTTCTCTTTATTCGATCCAAGTCTTAATCACTCCTTTTTACATCTTAACAAATAATTGACACACATATAATACAATGAAACTTTTGTAATTGCTACTAATTATCATCTAAGAAGGTCTTAAAATAGTGAGACTTTTTCACGAAATGTGCGGACTAATTTTTGAAAATATTAACTTGCTCATTCTGTAACTTGTTCCGCTGCTAATAATCTGAATTTGTGTATAATGAACTATTTATAAAGTTAAGAAAGTTCAAAAAAAGAAGTTAAGCATGTTTTTCTATTTATCCAATGGGAATCAAATATAATACGTAACTAATGTTTTTATAGTCTTATCACGATGAAAAATATCTATGATTATAAAAACTCGATTTGGTACATTCATCAATGATTCTGAACCCCCATCATAGTGTTCTCTCGAAATTCTACTGTTTTTTGCCTGTCCCCAAGATCACAAGCATCCTATCCCAAAGACGATACTCTTATTTGAGATTAATAATGATCACAAAGTGTGATAAGAAATTTATAAACTGAAATTCGGAATCAATATGATAGATTATCTTTTGCGATAATCACGACTTGAAACTCCTTTTTCCTTTGCAAAACTAGTTTTATATTCTGCCACAATCACCATTCTTTATTTTCCCATAACTATAACCAAAGTCGGAATACGTATCTACAATCACCTTCAGGGATTTTTTGACACCTATACTGTTTGGATCCAATTATACATGTAGATCGACTTTGTAGTCAGAAATTTGTTTACCTTTTCCATTGCTACATCATGATATTGTAGTTTTATTAAAAATAATTGTAGATAACTCTCCATTTTTCATTCTTCAAATCATATGTACTTATACGTACATATGTGTGCATGTAACTTCTCATGTTATGAACACATTAATGTAACAGCCGCTGATGAGTATGTATTATGTACACACACGTATATACATATTCTGATTATATACCACGTATTTGATCAGAAAAAAAAAGACATATATACTCATAGCATAACACATAACATTTATATACTACGAATGTATTGGTTCGCACCTTGGAACCAAGTTCATTGAATAGTCTTCCCAAGCCACGATTCTCTCAAGTTTATAGCAATTAAACAATATATATATATGCTGATCTACGTTCATGTATGCCTACGTATGTGCATGTGTGTGTTGAATATATTTACATAGTATGAAATATGTGACATATCGTACTTTCTAATCCCAAGAATCGATCTAAGGAACACATGTCTTGTGTTGGCGTGTTAACTTTCCACTTCGAGTTATAGGTATCAAAATGATTAAATTTCTTTCTATAACACAGAATTCATTTTTCGGCTACAAGTTAACTAATATAACTAAAACTGTTGTATGAAATTTTAATATGTGCGAAAATTTAGAAAACTATTAGATGTATAACTTTGATTTACGAAGCTCTCTATAACTTTGTAAGGAAACCAATATATATATATACATGCATCTAGGCATTTGTTTTTAGTACGTATGTAAATAAATGAAACAGTTTTAAATAAGTATATCTAAGTGGGATTAGTTTTGATAAAATATTCTGCGTGATTAAGCACATGGGACATTCTGCGTTTGCACAAACTCACAAGGGAGGAAAGATGGGCTTTAATTACAGTCATTTATTAATTGCAAATGTTGGTCAAATAATTAATGTACTACACAACAAAACAAGAGAGAAAGGTTGATGATGAGCTAGTATATTGTTATTAAGATAGAGAAGTACTTATTATAATTAAAATATGATGATAGTAATCTTTGTTTGTTCTTAATAAAGTAAATCGAAGTCATAAAATATGGTTTCTCACATTCTTCTGAACAAAATAACAATTAACTATAGAGATAAGTATGTATTGGTATACGTCTTTGTCATTTCTTCCTTTACACCTCAATCCACACATTCTGCATAAATTATACTAATATGTATACCACTTGCAGCTTACATTTTTTTTGGGTCTAAAGCAAAATAAATCTAAAGACCATATTCGGGGTCTAAATGGTAACTGCGGAATGTTGCTGAATGCGGAATCTGGCGGAATTAAATTATAACTTTTTGCGGAATCTGGCTGATTAGTTAGTATTATGAATGGTAACTGCTGAATGTTGCTGAATGCGGAATAACTTAAAAAAAAAATTCATTTCAAAATCTATCCTATAATATATTTAAACTTGAAAATGTACATTAAATATTGGTATTAAATTGTAAATATATATGTTTAACCTTATAAAATATAAACATAATTTATCTTTACAAAACAATAATATTATATTACAACTAACATTTACTCATAAATAAATGAATGAGTGATTTGGTTTTAGAAATATACAACTGATGTAATTTATGTTAACTATAATAAATTTAATAATTGTATTAAATTATGTAATTGTAATATTCAATAGTTATTATTATTATTACAAAATATACTTTCCATAATATTATTATCAAGATTCGGTTTCACAAACTTCAAAAACCCGAATATTCGGAGTTGATCGGATCAGATGCCAGATAATTTTCCCATTCCTAAAAAGGGGGAAAATCACAAAACATTTAATTATATCATAATTAATATTATTCCAGTTTAACAACTAAAATATTTTATAAAAAAATCTAAAATAATTACACATATATTTGTTGGAATAATTAATGAAATACCAAACTATCTGCTTAATTAATTTTATAAATAATTTAAGTTATAGTAAAATATTGATCATCAAATTTTAAATGTAATTTTTCAATTGATCATAGAAATTATATACATGAAAATAAATAAAAGTAATAATAATTGTGGATTTTTGTAAATTTATATTCTAATATATATAAAGTGAGAAAAAAGGGAAGACTCTTTGAACCAAAAAAAAAAAGTTTAAGACCATTACCAAACCACTCTTCCATTAATTTTTCTTATGAACCTTTTGTATAATTTTTAATAAATTTTGGAATAGATATATATTTGAGATATATCAAATGTGAGACTTGTCATAATTTCCAAAAGCATTCTGTGATTTTTATCTTTTTCTTAGCATTCCAGAATTCTTCAATTCTTCTCAACTGGTGTTTTGTAAAAAGAATTCAGCAACAATCTTCAACATTCCTCAAATCTTCAGTTACCAGTTAGGGCCTCGGTTTCGACTTTGATCCTAATGAAGGTTATACGTGATAATGTGAATATGAGAAAATGTAAAACAAATACATTTACCTTGTAAATTTCTGTCAAACGTATAAAATACAACTACAGTCCCTGTCACAACTAATTACCTCGAAACATTTTTATTTTTGCACTATTTATTTAAATAACGCACTAAAAAATACTCCCTTTGTCCCATATTATAAACTGTTTTGGCATAATGTATATGCAATTTTTTGGATGTATCTTGATGTGTTTCCATCCAAATACATCCAGAAAATTGCAGATATATAATGTCAAAACAGCTTATAATATGGGACAAAGGAGTACCTCTTATTTATGGTTTTATTTACCAATTTTGTTAAGAATAAAATTGGCTATCTAGTAAAGAACCCGAAAATTATATACTAACTTTTATAGTTAAAATATATATAATCTTTTCAACTCATTTCATCTAATTTTTTTTTGTTCTCAATATCAGAACTGTCAAATTGACAAATTTTAGTAGTTCTATAATATGACTATCTTTTTCATTGTAACTAAAAAATTTATTTAAATTGATTATACAGCATTACACTTCCACAATCTATTAGGATATTCTTCCAGTTCCACCTAATAATTTGGTGATCAATGTTTTTTTTAAAAGGTTAATGTCTCAATGTCTAATGCTAGCAAGGATGACAAGTGAGACTTGAGAGTAGACTTTCCTACATCAATCAAATAAAAATTGTTTTTTTTTTGTTTAAGAAAAAGTATCGTAGTTTGTTTATTTATTCTACTTAACTTTAACAGTCATTATCGATGAAACTTCTCCAGTGGTTTGGAACAAAATATTTTGTTCTATTTTGACTGTAGTGTAACGATGATAGCTATAATATAAATCCTAACCCATTCTTATTTTATTTTTTTTTTTTCGATTCTAGAAATATCAGGCCGATGTCAATATCGAATATTTTTAATATTTTTGAACCAAGTAGTAGTGGATAAGTGAATTTCACTCGAAGAATAGTAGCCATGTTGGTGTAGGAGCAAACGAAAAAAATGAAATTTAAAGAACACTATAAATCTATAATTTAATTAGTTAATAATTATAATTGATTTAGAAATGAACTCAATAATTGTTTTTCTAGTGAATTGTGAGAGTAGACTAAAAAAATCGTAGTCCAGCCATTGGTGATCAACAGTGGCGAATCTACTAACACGGATACGATGTCATGTGATTCCGTAACAATTTGTAAACAAACTTTTTTGGGTTAAAATATTACTAGTTTTGTAAGATTGCATTGAAAATTCATTCTTATGACTCCCTAAGAAAGAGTTCGAAACTCCATATGACACCATAATAAAATTATTTTTATGTTTAATTTGTTTACTGACACCGGTGAAAAAAAATTCTACATTCACCACTGGTGATCAATGTTCATTATTTGTAAAAGATGAGGTCATGCAGAACTTCAAACCATTTTTACCATAAGAAAAAAAGGAAATATTTATCTGAACAGTTTGTACTTTCGATACAATCTGAAAGAATATTGTATTGTCATACGTCATTTTCAATTCAT